CTTAGTTCCCCAAATGTTTCAGTGTCCCCATGTCTCCCAGTGTCTCTGTCCCTTGTGTCTCAGTGTCCCAATTTCTCCCAGTGTCCCCAAATGTCTCAGTGTCCACATGTCTCCCAGTGCCCCCATGTCTGTATTCACGTGCCCCCATGTCTCACTGTGTCCCCTAGTATCCTAGTGACATGGGGACACACTGAGACATGGGGACACTGAGACACTGGGAGACTAGGGGACTGGGCGACATGGAGACACTGAAACTATGATACATAGGGACACTGAGACACTGGGTGACTTGCGAGACTGGGAGACAGGGAGACACTGGGAGCAATTCCTCTATTCAGCAGAATCAAACTGCTTTACAGAATTTTCTCTTATGTCACTCCTTGTGAGTTACATCATGTGATGTCACGCATAACTAATTATACAAATTATTAAGGCTGATATTTTTTTTCCAAGAAAGGTGGCAACCTTTACTACTCTTCACATACTCTTGCTTAAATGAACACTATAGGGTCAGGAACACAATCATGTATTTCTGACCCTATAATGTAAAAACCACCATCTAGCCCCCCTGACCCCTTCTTGCCTCCCTAAATATAGCAAAATCTTACTTGTATCCTGTAGTTTGCAGCTGCTGGCTCTGCCTCTGAACTGATTCTCTCTGCTGACATAATCATAAGTGGTGGTCTGAGCAAATTGCAATGCTTCCCCCCTAGGATTGACTGTCAACTAGGCAGATTAGGGGCAGAGCCAGCACAAGTCAAACATATCCCTGGCCAATTGCATCTCCTCATAAAGATAAATTGGATCAATGCATCTCTATGAGGAGAGTTCAGTGTCTGCATGCAGAGGGTGGAGACACTGAATGGCAGTGCTGCACACTAGGCAGTACTGCCCCAGGAAGCACCTCTAGCAGCCATCTAAGGAGTGGCCAGTTTAGTTATTTTCTCTGAAAAGACAGTGTTTACTGCAAAAAGCCTAAAGGGAATAATTCTACTTACCAGAACAAATACAATAAGCTGTAGTTGTTCTGGTGACTATAGTGTCCCTTTTTAGTGAGTGCTAGGGGACAGTCCTTAGAAAGCATAGAGTAGGCACATCATTTGATGCATTTTTGTCAAGCTCTGGGTGCTGCCTGCATAGTATGCCCTTAGTTGGACAGCATTCATGCCAGGCTGGCCTTCCAATTCTTTGGACAGACATGTCCCCTTTTTGGGCATGTTCACCCCCTTTGGCAGTTCTGGTCATGTGATTTGTGTCAGTGGCACACCCTTTTATCCTTCCCTTTGACTTCCTGCTTCACTGGACACCGCTGTTAGTGGTTCTGGATTTACTTGAAAGATGAAAGCATACATTAGAGAGAGATTAGCATAGAGTATGTTTTCATATAGCTGCATCCTTTGAATTTCCCTCCAACACCATCAGATACATGACGGGAGGTATGGTTGTTTTAGTGTTTTTGGTCGATAAGATTCTGTAATTAGGCCCCATCACAATTGTCAGCTCCAGGCCCACTGGGCTCTTAATCTGGCCCTGACTTTAGGGATGGATTCTTAGTTCCTGTTATGTATTACTGCCAAAAAACAGCCCAACATGTGTTCAGCAACATCTCCTGAGTACAGTGATACCACCTATGCATAGGTTTGCTGGGTTGTTTGGGGGGAGGAGGGGGAGGGCAAGACCGAACTTCTGACATATCTTCTTTGCCTATCTTCTTTATGGGGGCGGCCTTTTTACATATCCCAATTTATTTTCTTGCCATGAACTCGCATATATTTTAAAAAAGTTGGCACCCCGAGATATTGTATATGGAGTGTTTTGATGCCTTTGATGCAACCATTTTAGCCAAGAAAATGTGTTGTGGTAATTTACCAATTTTCATTTTTACATACACATTGGTGAGTGATTTAGGGCAGCCTGTTGTTGGTTATTGCAAGAAAACACTCCAAGTTGTTTTCTGCAAAGTCTTCTGAGTACATCCATGCCCACCATGCACAGGTGGAACTTGATCATAAAAATAGTCTGGCACAGTAAAAGTTAAAAAAAAAAAAAAAAAAACTCAGGAAAGCAAACGTAACCACAAAATAAATTTTAAAAAATGGACCAGTGTGTGGTATCGCTTGAAGTAGTCCCCAATGCAGAGTCCAGGGCATCAGCACAGTAAAAGACAAGTGTCCTTTCTCTTCCCCCTCTTGAAACAGACTCTGCATCTTCTTTAAAGATTCTGCTTTGCCACAGTAGAGGGGATTTTAAAAATATAGTGGGTAGCCCCAACTCTGCTCTCTCCCATCACTGCCTGGGGAACAGGTGCATCTTTGTACAAAATCCCCAAAATGATCTGGAGCTGAAACTGTAAAAAAGTCAGTTTCATTCCAGGGTTTGCTTTTTTACACATTAAAAAAGCGTTGCGGATTGCAATCTGCATTAAGTAAATTGCAACCTTTTTGTACCAGGCCCTTGTCTTTCGTATAATTAGGTAGGGCTGCAGCAGCTGATCTGCCAGATGAACCCAACCCATATGCCGGTTATAGGCCTTGATGCACACTGGCTTCCTTTTGCTCTCAGCTCTGCCATGTACAGAGACCTCCACAGTCCTCTTAGTGTGGATGGTGGTAAGAAGGTACACATCCTTCTTGTCTCTGTACTTAACTGCCAACAGCTCCTCTTGGCACAGAGCTGAGGTCTTCCCCCTTCATAGTCAGGGCCGGATTAACATAGGGGCTGACGAGGCTGCAGCTCCAGGCCCAAGCCCATGGAATAGGCCCATTGATTTAAAAAAAACAAAAAAAACTTTTTTTTTTACACACTACTTTTAGGGTTGCCAGGTATTTCTCAGGTATTTTTAAGGGTTGCCAAGTATTTCTCAGAAGTATTTCTCAGGTATTTGAGGCTGCCTAGCAGGTGCCGGTATTGCAGTAATACCAGTAATACAAAGTCAGTCTCAGTATAAACAGAGATTATTCTGCAATAACAGCGTCAGCCAGTAGGGGTCGCTGTGTGTGTGGAGAGAGGCAAGGATAAGAAGTTACAGCATCTCCCTCCCTGCTCTACTCACTGATCCACGGGGAGCAGCTCTGAGCCTGCAGAGACAGTGAACAACTCAGGTAAATGTGGGATGGGGGAAAGGCTGCAGGGAGACTTGGGGACACAGGCACTAAGGGACACTTGGAGACAATAGGGGACACTGTGAGACATGGTGACACAGACACTCGGGGACACTGCTGGGAGACATAGGAACACTGAGAGACCTGGGGACACAGACACTAGGGGAAACTGTGAGAGACATAGGGAAACTTGGTGACACTAGGGGGCACTTGGAGACCTGAGGACACAGATACTAGGGGAAACATTGAGACATGGGGACACCTCAAGTGTCCGTGTCCCCAGTGTTCCTTAGTATCTCAGTGTCCCCATGTACCTGTGTCCCCTAGTGGCATGGGGACACTAGGGGACTGGGAGACATGGGGACACAGACATGCCCCCTTTTTGGGTATGTTCGCCCCTTTCGGCAGTTCTGGTTATATGATTTGCATCAGTGGCCCACCCTTTTACCCCATCCATAGACTTCCTGCTTTACTGGACACTGCTGTTAGGGGGTATTGATTTACTTGATATATGAAAGCATGCGATTAGCATAGGGTACGTATTTTTGAATAGCTGCATCCAGCACCATCTCCATCAGATAAATGACACTTGGGAGGTAGGACTGTTTTAGTGGTTTAGGTCGATATAATTTTGTAATTAGGCCCATCAGAATCGTCAGCAACAGGCCCACTGGGCTCTTAATCTGGCCCTGACTATAGATTATCTTTGGTTTATGTTTGGATAGCTAAAGCTATTTGTCTTTAAATACATAAAGCAGTGTTCCTCTCCCAAACCATTTCAAACAATTAAAGTAATTTTAATTAAATTGTCACTGAAAAATAAAAACAAAAAAAAACAACCAATATTGTTCATACTTATTTTTATATACAATTTGTAGTTATAGACAACTATTGAGGATAAATAAACCCAAGACATTTGATGTGCCTATTTACTTTATAAGGATACCACTAAGCAGTGATGTCATCATGCATCATAATAATCTGAGAGTATCTAACGGGAGTTTGAACAATCTGAAGCCAGTCAGTGTGGAGTTGGGACTACAGGATAAACAGGAACTCATCAGAACAAACCAAAACCTTCTGGATAATCTGCTGCATGGAACCAAACAGGATCTGAAGAGGCTGATAATGTATGGGGTAAATGATTCATATGAAAAACATTGAATACAGATCCAGGGACCGACTTGTAACCGATCGCCTTAATATGGGGTCAGGAAGGAATTTTTTACTTGGATATTTTACCCATTGTATGTCCAAGTTTTTTCGCCTCCCTCTGGATCACTAATTCACTAAATATTGAATTGTAGCAAATTTATCTGACCAGTTTATTCACTAAACACCAAATTTTATCCACGTGTGTTTTTGTAACTCTACTCTAACACTAATAAAATTAGAAGGCTGGATTCCTTATATAGTTACTTTTTAATTACGCAGGTTACATAAATACAAAGATAAACAAAATAAACTTTAAACACCTTAAAAAGGGGAAATAATATTTCATTGGATGAATTTCCATATATAACTGACACTAAATATATATTATCCTCATGCTTCTGTAAATATGCAGTCACAAATATAGTGCCATGTCCCAATAGTAGGGAAAAAGCATATTATGATTTCTAATAATAATAAGTCCATTCTGACCAAATCTCATCACATTTTAAACCACAGTTTTGCACTATATATTTTTTTGATCAATCATGGCAGCATTTACTCATGAGTTAGCTCCTCCCCTCACAACAGAAAGGACAGGAAACAGAACTCTGAAATTGGTATATATAGATTGATCCCCTCCCCAACAGGCAGTCTTTTTTTCCCTGTCTTTCACAGCAGTTTGGAAGGAGTCTGCTTAAACAAGCCTATATTTTTCTTCTATGCTCACCAGGCCAGTATTTTTGTGTCCATGCCAGTGTTTAGCCCCTAAGCCCTGAAGACCCAGCAACAGCACATCTCTATGAGTCACTAGCCTGGGTACCTCCTTTACTGACTAGGGGTCAGACCCACTCTCTCCCTCAGGGGATGAAAGCGGTCCACTCTATACATGCCAGTGTTCAACCTCTTATCCCTGAAGACCCAGCAACATCACAGCTTTATGAGTTGCTAACCTGGGTACCTACTTTCGTGAATGGGGGTCAGACCCAATCGCTCCCTCAGGGGATGAAAACAGTCCATTGCATACATGCCAGGGTTCAGACTCTAATCCCTGAAGACCCAGCAACAGCATATCTCTATGAGTCGCTAGCCTGGGTAACCCCTGTAGTGACTGGGGGTCTGACCTAACTCTCCCTCAGGGGATGAATGTGGTCCACAGTATACCTGAGGCCCGGCCAGGGTTCAGCCTCTTACCCCTGAAGACCAATCTCTATGAGTCGCCAGCCTGGGTACCCACTTTTGTGACCGGGGGTCAGATCCAATTGCTCCCTCAGGGGATTAAAGCAGTCCGTTGTATGCATGCCAGGGTTCAGCCTCTTATCCCTAAAGACTCATCTCTCTGAGTCGCAAGCCTGGGTACCCCTTTTAGTGAACGGGGTTCTGATCCAACTCTCTCTCTCCTACTGGATGACAGTGGTCCACTGCATACATGAGGTCAAACCAGGGTTCAGCCTCTTATCCCTGACGACCCAATAAACAGCACTTCTATAAGGTGACTACCTGGGTATGCTGTAGGTTTGTTTAAAACCTTCCCCCACTGGTGGTGACGAATAGCATGTTATTTCTAACAAATAGGTGATATTTAGGAGGTTTTAGTGGTGAGCATTTAAGAAAGTTTATACATGCAACGAAGCAATTTACAAAAGAGCACTGATAATGCAACAATGCATTTACAAAAAGAGTGCTGATAATGCAATGATGCATTTTACAAAAGAGTGCTAATAATGCATTTTACAACAGAGCACTGATAATGCAATGATGCATTTTACGAAAGAGTGCTGATAATGCAATGATGCATTTTACAAGAGTGCAAATAATGCAATTTACAAGAGTGCTGATAATGCAATGATGCATTTACAAAGGAGTGCTAATGCATTTTACAAAAGAGCACTGATAATGCAATGATGCATTTTACAAAAGAGTGCAAATAATGCAATTTACAAAAGAGTGCTGATAATGCAATGATGCATTTTACAAGAGTGCAAATAATGCAATTTACAAAAAGAGTGCTGATAATGCAATGATGCATTTACAAAGGAGTGCTAATAATGCAATTTACAAAAGAGTGCGGAGAATGGATACCCTGGTCGTACAAAGTCTGCCTGAATACCACAGTCCTGGAGGCAGAGAAGAGGCCAATACCCTCGGTAATAGAAAGCTTCCCTGGGTGACTGAGCCAATTGTACCTGTACACCCAGTGCCTATCAAGGGTGAGTGATTGCGTAGTGATAATATATACTTACCAGCAAGCGCTCCACTCACTTACTGATGTTGGAATCGTTATCAGGTCACACAGTATAAGATATTTTTTGCACAGTTCTGGTGTGGTGTAAAGAATGAACCAATCCAAGTGTTGTAGCAGCTTATTCTATGCATCTTTCTATTATTCATTATTTGTTCGTAAAAGCCTCTTTTATCACAGATAGGTTCTATAACATGGGCATACTGTAATGAATAACCCTGTGAATATTCAAATTCACTCAAAAAAGCCAAGTTGTGACTAGTTACTCTGCCCACATTTTTCCATCAGACTTTAATTTGCTACAAATCAAAATTTAATGATTAAAACTGTTCATGACGATTTTTTTCCTTTTCTATAAGAAGGTTTTTTTTTTTCATTATAAATAAATTAAATGAAAAGAAAATATTTTTTTGTCAATCATGTTCTTTCAATGTAAAACAACTCCATGGCCCATATACTACATAATTCAAACACCAGAGCCACTGCAACATGGTTATTGTACCCAGGGCTGGATTAGCACGGGGCTGATGGAGTTGCAGCTCCAGGCCCATGGACACTGCTGCTAACGGGTATGGATTTACTTGAAAGATGAAAGTGAGAGATTAGCATAGGGTTTGTGTTTTCTGATAGCTATATCCTGTTTCCCTCCAGCACCACCTCCACTAGATACATGACATTTGGGAAGTATAACTGTTTGTGTTTTCTGCCGATAATATTCTGTAATTAGGCCCATCATAATTGTCAGCACCAGGCCCAATGGGCTCTTAATCTGGCCCTGTTCATAGTCGGGTGCGTGCAAGTTTTCCTGGGAAACCTGCACGTCTTTTGATTGTACCAGACAATCTTGCCACTGGTTCCCATATGTTTTGGGAAACCTGGAGGGTCAAGGTGTCTATCCTTTCCTTCGTACCCCCAGAAGGCCTAAGTATACCCAGTCTCCCTCTCACAGCGCTTATAAACCTTTATATCATATCTGGAGTGCTTGGGAGGAATATGCTGCTTAAATCCTAGCCTTCTCTTATACTTCATCAGGTAATCATCCACGCATATATTTCTTCCAGGTGTATAAGCCTCTGCAAACCTGGCAGCGAAGTGGGTAATCAGGGGGCGGATTTTATACAGCCTGTCAAACTGGGGATGCTCCCTAGGGAGGCACAGGCAGTTGTCGCTGAAGTGCATGAAATGTAGAATCATTTCATACTTCTTCCTTGACATACGCTGGGAGTAAATGGGGGTAGAGCAGATGGGGCTTCTGCTCCAGTAGGAGCAGATGGAGGGCTTCTTTATGATGCCCATCAGCATAGTCAATGCCCACAATTTTTTTTTTTATTCTGGCACATCGATGGGGGCCCATTGCTGCTTTGCAAAAAGAAAAAAAAAAGTCAGGCTTTGCAGCACGGAACTGATGGGCATATAAATTAGTTTGGGCGACAATGTTCCCCAATACATAATCGCCCAGAAACACCTCCATAAAATCTTGGGGGCTAAATCCAGCAGGAGATCCACATTGATGCCAGGATTTACGGTGAAGGGTTGGATATCTGGCCTCTGGCAATTAGGTGCTACCCACTGATCAGCAGCACTGCCAGCTGGAGCAGCACGTCTCCTTATGGCAGGAGGACTAGCAGCCACAAATACATCATACATCATAACTAGATACATGACTAGCAGCAGACACTGTATATAGTGATGTATCTGAGCACCTGGCAGGGTCAAAATCAGGGTCGGAGTCAGACATATACGTGTTAGACTAACGCAAGGATGGCATACACCTTCTCAGCGCTATACGACCTCTGTGACATGATCCCAATCACTTTATTTAGTGATCTGTACAAACCCCCCCCCAAAAAAACACGCAGACAAAATAAGTGCTGCTGTGCAAGAGCCAGGGATCTATACAGTGATCACTGGCAGGATAGGGGTTAATCGCTCTGAAAAGAGCTTTTGGGTCTCTCAAAGAAAAACACAAAATAAAATGAACCCCCTTAAAAAAAAATGCACAGACAGCAACAAAGTGCTGCTGTGCAAGAGCCAGTGATTATAATGATCACTGGAAAGATAGGCGGTTAATGGAAAGACTGATCAGTTAATACCGCACTCACATGCATAAAATATGCTAAGAAAAAAAATCACTGTGTAAATATGCAAAAATTCATTTATTGTACACTAAATACACCAAATTCATGAACGTAGAAAAAAAGGAGACCACCGTTGCCAAATATATAAATTGATGATCTCTCTATGAATTGATCTATGATACAGGTAACAAAATGTCATAATATATATATATCCCAGACTATTTACAACTATATACAGTCCATGAACACCATATGCATGAAGCTGAAAGTTCATAAATATTCAGGATCCACCACTTGATTGCTATCCTGTTGAAAAAAGGCAAAAAAATGAAAAAAGCCAAAGAGAAAAAAAATGTAAGAAAAAAAAAAAGTTAAAGGGTAAAAAATAAAAATCTGACAAAAATTAAAAATGTGCACTGTTCAGATGATGAAAAAATGGTTGGATCTCACCACATATTATGTATGCTGTAGATGTGGACCTTAGAATTGAATCTGTTCACTACCAGTAAGATGTCAAATCAATTGTTGAAGGAGAGGCGTTCAGAAGAATATACCTTAATCAAATGAAGTAATAATAGGGAGTGATCCTTATTCAATCCGGTCTGTAGTTACAGTCTCGTGTCTGGCTGGGCTTTAGGGGGTTAAGGGCTCTGAAAAGAGCCTTTGGGTTGCACAAATCCCTACCTAAATCTCTCTATCTAAAACACAGATCTCTCTTTCTCTCTCACTAAAACACAAGTGAAGAGAGGGAGGGAGATCCATACTGATCAGTCAATATTTACTAATATTGAACTGATCAGACAAATGTGAATCATAGTTAGAATAATATGGTTGTAGGGGCAAGCTCTGATTGGACGTTGAGGCATCGTTGCAATACCATCAGAACGGCTGGAAGCGATCATGATTGCTTCCAGCCCTCTAACTCGCCGCGGACGTATCAGGTACGTCCAAGGTCATTAACAACCGTTTTTTGCCGGACGTACCTGATACGTCAGAGGTCCATAAGGGGTTAATTTCAGCCATAAAAAAAGGGATTAAAATACAATGCAAAAATGTTCTTTGCATATGGGCCGAGCAAGATATTTGACATGGAGCAGTATCAGCAAGTTTGTTGGCAAAATCACATTCTGACTTTGAGATGTACATATTTATACTACTCTATATAGTACATTTTAACTGGAGAAAGATAAAACACAAAACTTATGTGATAAGTAATTTGAGTTATAATAAGAGACACTGAAGAGCCTATATACGGCTATAGAGCATAATCTATTCTACATGTATGTTTTTTGTAAAATAAGCTGTGCCAATAACATTCTTTTTATATATGTTCCAACAAATCTGAAGGTAAAGGAGGCAGCAGATATATTTGAGACACACCTTTAATATATACAAAACGCACATACTCAATGCCGCTTAAGCTCCATTGTAAAACAAGCAGAGACAACAGCATATAAAGGTTTATACAGAAATACATCTCTCCAGCTTGTTATGATCAGCAGATTGTAATGCAACTCAGTAAAAAAATAAAAAAACTGAGGGAGGAGCAAATGTAAAGGAATTTAAACCAATGTATGCCAAGTACATGCAGTAGGAACACCGTATATTTGGACATGTATTAAAAAAAAAAAATCAAAACAAATTTAAAATATATTACAGATAATGAAAACTCCTAGGAAATAATTGTATGATAGAAAGATTTTTTTTTAAAAATATATATATATTTTGAAAAGACAAAAAGCGGTTTTATTTATAGGAACAGAAAAAATAAAATAAAATGGATCTGTGTATATTTTTCTAACCAAAATATGTACTAATTAGCAAGAACAGCATGGCTTTGAAATCAAAATGGGTACCATTCTTTCAGAGTCTACGAAATCATTCACTACAGGTCTTATAGAGATTGCAAAATCCATTTAAAGTACAGTTTTGTGAAAACAATGAAACAACGAAATAAATTATGATACAATAATTAAGGGCTGTTGCCGAACAGAGAAAAAGGGGTAATGAGCAGTCTTGCCTATTTCTGTCCTATATCCTGTGGCTGAATTACTGTCAGAGCAACGGCAGGCCAATAACCTAGACTCTTTTTCCACTGGCTCAAAAGTCCACAAGAATGGATTGCAGAAGTATGCTACATAGCTATACGTTCCTCCAGAACTAAGGTGGTCAACCTTTCATGTGTCAGCCCTGTGTACAAATCCGACTATTCACAGATTAAGCACAATGGGATCTCTAGACAACAGCTGAACTGTTACAGGTTTCCTTTAGCTCTCCAGTGGTAGCAGTAAAGAAAAGCGAAGGAAGGGATCCAAAAGGTGATCATCTCAATGAGCTTTGTGCTTCCTTTTCTTGTGCTTTTTATCTCTCTTCTTGGTATCACATTTCTTACAAAACCATTCATCTTCAGTTGGGTCATCTTTGATTCCAACGCAAGGCCTGTAAAAGCAAAGAGTGCAGGGAAAATTTTAATTTTATCAACAGGTCATACAATCACAAATACAGTACATCAAATTCTCCAGACGCACAAAACCAATTTTTATCGATGCCACTGCACTTGCTATACAAGCTCTGTAATCTTTTTGGATCTTCTGAATGATACTCTCAGAAGATCCAACAAGACTACTGATGTCATACTTCGTAATTGCTTGTAAGATATCAGCAGACAATGCTTCGCACCCTCCAGAAAAGCAAAAAAAACCCAGTAAGGGAAAGATCGACTTTAAATATTTACAGTATATACTTAGACAGATTGTCTGCTATAGTAAAATATTAGTAAATGACAAACTTTCTTGCTATACTCTGTTGTGGAAGATAGAACGGAGAGTCACACAATCATATTCTTTACACTATTTAAAGGATCACTATATAGTGTCAGGAAAACAAATCTGTTTTCCTGACACTATAGTACCCTAAAGGTGCCCCCACCCTCAGAGTCCCCCTCCCCTGGTGCTTAAGGGGTTTAAACCCCTTCAGTTACTCTCCTTCTTCCACCGCCGGGCTCCCTTACCTCTCCTCCCCCGCCGACGTCAGCGCAGCGGAATGCGCATCAGTGCCGTGCGCGCAAAGTGTCCAGAGGAAAGCATTTTTCAATGCTTTCCTATGGACGCTCTGCATGATGGAGGCATTAAATGCCTCCAGCGTCACAGATGCGCCTCTAGTGGCTGTCTGGAAGACAGCCACTAGAGGCTGGCTTAACCCCAAATGTAAATATAGCAGTTTCGCTGAAACTGCTAAGTTTACAGCAGGCAGGATTAACCCTAGAGGGACTTGGCACACAGACCACTTCATTAAGATGAAGTGGTCTGGGTGACTATAGTGGTCCTTTAAAGAGTCCTCTAATAAAACACGGTGCAAATGTGAGGACCTATAAGACCACCATTTGCATCAGGCATGAGTGGGACCAGGGCCAAGAAAAACAGAGCTAGTCATTTACGAACACACATATAAATAAAATATTTCCACCTTAATGAGTTCTATTAAAAAAAACAAAAACAGGATTTTTAAAATCTGGCATGGTGATTCTCCTGTCATATTGTCCAACTCAAGTATACTGGAGCCAACTTAAGTTTTAACATGAACTAAAGTTATGACTTCAAGTAAAATCTGTGTCAAATAGGGTAAACAAAAAACAAAGTAAATAAAAATTTGTGAGGTTCTGTAAACAATTTACTTGATGCTCAATGTTTGTTTTGTGCAGGTTAAAGAACAATGTAATTTCCCAATTGTATGGAAAACTATAATGCTGATCTCTGGTCAATCAGTTTAAATGGAAGAACAGGCTGTCAATCAGTATTATTTCATTTATGCATGGTGCAGATAAACAAAGCCTCTTAGTTTCCCCTTCTCTTATCAGCATGAACGGTAAAGGTGAAGACAAGCTCAGTGCCCATAAATGGATAGTTTGACCCAGAGCACTAAGCACTACCAAAATTAATAAAGATACAGCAATCCAGGTAAAAGGATTACTATGCTATACTTTCACTGTGCATACATAGATGTCTGGGAGTTTCAGAAATATTTGGTATCACAAAGGGTAACTTACAGTATTAGCAGAATGTGGATAATGCACAAATTACATAAGGCATTTAAAGGGACACTATAGTCACCAGAACAACTACAGCTTATTGAATTTGTTCTGGTGAGCAGAATCATTACCTTCCGTCTTTTTGCTGTAAACAGTCTTTTCAGAGAAAATGCAGTGTTTACATTACAGCCTAGGGATAACTTCATTGGCCACTCCTTAGATAGCTGTTAGAGATCCTTCCTGGGTTATGGCTGCCTAAAATGCATCCAAACATTCAGTGTCTCCACCCTCTGCATGCAGACACTGAACTTTCTTCATAGAGATTCATTGATTCAATTCATCTCTATGAGGAGATGCTGATTGGCCATGTGTTTGAATCATGCTGGCTCTGCCCCTTTGTCAGTCTCAGCCAATCCTATGGGGAAGCACTGTGATTGGATCATGTCACCACTTCTGATGATGTCAGCAGACAGGTTTTGACTATTGACTATTCTGAGTCAAACAGCATGATACAGCTTCAGGCTTGAATACAAGTAAGATTTTGCTATTTTTAGGGAGGCATGAGGGGCCCAGGAGGGCTAGATGGTGGTTTTAACACTATAGGGTCAGGAATACAGGTTTGTGTTCCTGACCCTATAGTGATCCTTTAAAGTGGACCTGAAATCTATAATGAAATCACACAAATACACCACATATTTGGGTGCTCTATGAAACATGAGCCTATTTGGGGATAAAATATATGCTATTTCAAACATTTTTGGGAGGGGGGAAAAAAATTATTTGAGTACATTTGGACTGGATGCTTACTACTTCACAACCACATGTAATACAGTAGTCTGAGGCTGCTTTCATACAGAGCAAAACACTACAATGAGAATCACCACATTTCTAGATGTACGTCTACCCATTTACAATCTAAAAAAATAAATCTTACCAGTGATACCAGTCATCACATCCATCACAACCAATCATTGGGCTGCCGTCATCAGGCTTGTTGCACCCAGGGCAGATCCATATTTGGTTGCCCATCTCATCTCGGATCTGTAAAAAAGAAAACCTGTTAAATCAAAAGTCAGACACCCATTTTTATCCACTTGTGCAGCTCTGTAAATAGGTAAATATTTTTAGTACATGTTGGGATTAGGTTCCGTAGGTTTGAGTGGTTTTAGCAATATGGTATCAAGGATGTAAAATTCTATTTTTGTCCTTGGGAAAAAAAAGCTTTTTTTTTTTAAAACTGGCTCCAATCCTAGCTGTTTATGTATGCTTCTCTGGTCCTCTACCAAACTCTTGGGAGTCTAACAGCTCTGCGCAGTATCTTATCTGTACCTAGAACTGCACTCTTCTGCACAGAGTTATCAGATATCTCACCAGGAATCTGCAGAAGCCACTCTCCCACTATCCCATCACAACTGGTATTACTACTGCCTAATTTTCCCACAATCTTTTTTAGCTTCTCTTTTAGCTCTAGATGTGTGGGAGTAGGTGGGTATGTATGTATGTTTGTGTGGGTGTGTAATTCTTAATGTACTGGTTCTGATGTCTATAGCCTGACACTGCAGGCTTTTCAATGTTTTAAATGCTTTTCAAAGAACATGCAGTGTTTACATTGCTGCCTAGTAACAGTCACTCAGATGGCCACTAGAGTGCTTCTTAGTCCAATGCTGCAGTGCGTAGCATAGAACGCTGAATGTTCTCCATAGAGATGCGGATTTTTGCCACACATGCGCAACAGCCTCCCAATGCTTTCTAATGGGAAGGATACGGACACTCGTTTACACACACGCACACTTACTTTCTCATACACTTACAAACCTTTTTTTATTTTTATTTAAGTGCACCCAGCCTCCCTAACCTTTGGGACAGCTGGATTGGAATATTTTGCCACAGTCTAGTGTGGGGCTGTGCTGAAATCTCCAAACTCTTCTTGCTCTGCTCCCTCGTGCGCCATTTAGTGATGCTGGGGCCAGAATGTCATGTTCAGGCTCCTGGGATCACAGCAGGATGTGCAGGGGAGCGGAGTAAGTAGGGAAGGAATATTACAGCTCCCTCGTTGTCCATCTGCGTAGTTTGCCACCACCTCGATTCTCCCTCAGCTGGCCTCCTCGGAGGGAACGGGCTGACCTATAACCAAGTGCCAGAACAAAATTCCTAGGAGCCTTGGCGACCTAGGATTTGTCAAGGCCTTCCATAAATGGGCACATCTAGATTGCATAATTTATATTTCATAGTAATGGCCCCATTAACCTTTCAGTAGAATTCTAAATACGTTTTCATGCAAAAATATCTACTGTAAATGCATGCATTTGGATGTCTAGAAATAAGAATAATAAGAAAAAAAAACAAAAAAAACAAATCCTGCACAAAATATATTTGTAGTTTAAAGACACATTGCTGTGGAGCTCAGCAATGTGTAGCTCATAGAAGAGGGACATCAAGATATAAAAGAGGAATAGAGGGATTTGCCAAAAACACACTGTGTTCCTACCTCCGTCGCTCAATTTTTTTATTTTTATATAAATTAACACAATTACCTCCAAAACCCCTCCCTCGCACGCCAGCTCAGATTGGTGTATGTGCTCTGAACCAGTGAAACTGTCCAGTCACACACAGGCTTCTCTATGATAAGCCTGTGATTGGACCGCGTAAGGACCTCTGTGACGTCAGACAGAGGAGGGAGATCAGCACCGGAAGCATTGCCTGCCACTGGGTTAAAGGTAATGTTAAACTTTACTTTAAAAAAAAAAAAAATATTACACTTTTCATGGCGTGGGACCTGGTAGCAATGCCCAATAGTGGACTGTAAGCTGAAATAGGTTAATTTTGAAGAAAAAAAAAAGTGTTAGTTCCTTTAAATCTTTATTTTATTTATGGATTCCAGTTAGTAGATTGTGTTTCCCTGTACTCTGTCATGTACCATAGAAGTCAGACAGACTGTTCAAATCTCACTACTGAACCGTAGAGCACAGAGTTACAAAATATGTGTGCGCAAACAGTTCACGTTTTCATCACTGATCTCATAAATGATCCAAGAGATGTCCCACAATGCACCTGTCCCAGGGTCATTGTAAGGTAAAACTGTATTCTGCAGAAATAGTTTAATTTACAGTGTGTGCAAATACTGACTGAAGCCTTATAAATCTAAAGTATGCACCTTATTAGGGGTACACCAAACATGTAATTAGCAGCAGAGGAGACTGTTCCTTGTTTTGCATATTTACTTATTAGCCAAATACTTGAATTCAACTTGCTGATAAGATCAAGTATATAAAAAGTGGTTACTGAGTAACTTTCCATTTACTTTATGACATCTCTGTCACTTTGAATTAAAGGACATGGGGAGGAAAACTAAACTGGAAAAGCTACTGCTTCCAAGTGGTACAGTTCACAAATGCCATTTAGTCACAAAGAGTTCATGAACCAGTGCTGCACATGCTAACCAGATTGGAAAAAAAAAATCTTTTATAAAAAAAATTCTCAGAAATGGTTTTGCATGGCTGCAATTACCCCTGAGTAACAACTTAGTCATTTTGAACGTTACATACTTGTAACACATGCTTCTTGCATAATGATGTGATAGGAATTCTATGTGTCAGTCTAGTTTAGAACAGAAACTCACGCAGACTATCTGAATGGGAAACATCATAGGTACCAGCTTGCACACACTTCTGCATCAAACCATGCCTGTGGCCCAGCCACTCACTGTCCATATCATTAATGTGTAGTACAACTTCTGCATTAGCAATAATCATTTTAGACACAATCCATTGGCTGAGTGCATCTACTAACACACCCAACCAATGAACCCTTCCATATATAAACAGAATTAAAACTACCTATGCAAAAGTTATATGAACAGCAAGAGTCTCATCTGTGGGCACCCTTGCATTCCTCTGTTTGTATACCGGTTAAATATATGTACTCACTACATAAACGCTGACTGTCTCCGTAACCACACTCCTGACTGGTGTTCTAGAGTTGCTAGTATTTCCAGCAGCAGCAGGAGGAGGAGCAGGTTTAGGAGCTGGTGATGGAGCTGCTGGAACTGGAGGAGCTTTGACAGGAGGCGGAGGAATGACAACTGGTGCGGGAGCAGGAGATGGGGCCGGTGGTGGAGATTTAGGCAGAGCTAGTGGAGCGGATTGTTTGCCATCTGGAGTAGGCACCACTTTACTGATAACTCTGAAAAGAGAAAATAAAGAAAAGAGAATATGGTTAACAGTTTTGTTTAGCTAGTGCAGGCAGCTATTTGACACGTCAAAACTATGATAATGAAGATAAAAAAAAAACAAAAACAAAAAAAAAACTATATTTATGGACATTGCAAGTACTGTATAGCAGAAGAAAACAAATGACTGGAAAAAACTAAACCGAGAGGGCATAGCAACTATATCGGAAAGTAGTTACCAAAACCAAACTAGAGAAATATGGAATATTTCTTCCATTCTGGCTATTTTTAATAGAAATTTGATATTCAATTGTCAATTTTTCAGAGATCCCATTAACTAAAAATATGGAGCCCTGTAACTAAAATCATGAAAATTTACATCATTTTACATTTTTGTTTACGACTTCCAAATATACCCTGTCCATTTTTGTGCTTAAAGTTTATAGGAATATAATTAATTCAAGACAAAGAAAGGAAGATACACATTTTCCAGCTTTGTTCCCTATACAATCCATAATAATTATTATGCATGCAATCAAATTGTCTATACGAGACATTCTGGTTGAATAGCAGAGTTTAATTCTGCCATGGAGGAGGAAGTGGCTCTAGTGGCTACCAGCCATTAGAGGTGCATTTGACCCTTTCTAGAGAAAAAGCAAAGTTTAACATTAAAGGGTCAAAATGACAGGATTACCAAAACTGAAGTCATTGAGATGAAGTGGTTGGGGTGACTTTAGCGGGCCTTCAAAAGGGCATGCCAAGTACCAAAACCATTCATGGTAGTAGGTTGCAGGTGCAGTCATTTGGTTCTGTGTCAAACTACTGGCTCCTATCACCCAAAAAACTAAAACCGGGTGTAGATGTTATGGCTCTTACAGTGTTCCTTTAATGATAGAAAACGTAAACTGGATAATGAAGGAAATCTTTTACTGCTTTATAGCTGCATAGTAATCTAGGTTGAGAAAAAGACTCTGGTCCACTGGTTCCCAACCAGTCCTCATGGCACACCAATAGTAAAGGATTTATGTATTTCCCTGTTTTATTCCAGTGAAGATACTGACAAAACCTGGACTACTCGTGGGTCTTGAGGACTGGTTTTGGAAACATTGCTCTAGTCCAAGCATGTCAAAGTCAAAGGTTAACACGGGCCAAATAAACAAGGTTTAAGTTTATGTGGGCCGTAAAAAAAAAAATTCATAGAAATGTAGGTTTATTTAGAAAATTACATTATAAACAAAGTTGCCTAACTGACACTGGACGTCCTCAAGCTCGTAGGGCTTCTAAGTAAACAAAAGAGCAAATTTATTTTAAGGACATGTGCATTTGCATATAGCAAATGTTTCAGTCCAAAGAAAAGTTTGGTAATGAAATGATGAATGTATGCTGTTGCACAGCTGAAAAAAAAAACCAAATAATGTTATCTAGTTGATTTTGAAGTCCTGGGAGTGAGTTCTGCACTTTGGCTGAGATCAAACTTGATGATCCCCACAGGAAAGCATTGTAAGGCTATTGTGCATGTGTGGCCAAACAGCATCTCCATGCAGACCCAATCTAATACGTTACCCCAAATCCAATACACTGCCCCTCCCGCTCCCTTTTTTATATCCTGCCCCTTAATCTAATACACTGCCCCCTCCCTGCAGTCTAATTGAATACAATGCCCCTATTCCTACCATTAATTTAAAACACTGCCCTCCCCCCCAATTTAATACACTGCCCTCTCTCACATTACTCTAATACACTGCCCCCTCCTTATCCCAATTTAATACACTGATCCCCTCCCTTCCTCTCTTAAAATGAATACACTGCCCCCCGCTCCCCAATTTAACACACTACACAGGAAGGTCCCACAAGCCCCTCTTCCCCTGCCTTAAGAAGATGAGCCGCCCGTCCTCCAGTTCCAGCCCTGCTCTTCTCTGCTCAAGCAGGCCAGACACTCCTCTGGACAGCTTTGTATTCCTAACACTATAGTGTTATTTTAAGAACTCCCATTTCTTTTCCTAAACTGGCATAACATTTGGATGTCATTTATAACCATCACTTGGTTAAAAAAAAAACAAAAAAAAAAAAAACGGCTAGGGATGGTTTCGTCATTCACACTTTACTCAGCAAATCAGGGTCTGATAGTTGCCAAGCTAAATCTTCCTATGTTAGAATCATGCTAAGGAGAGTATGTCAGTCAACGGGCTGCAAATTGAAGTGGCAACAGGCACCACGTAACTGCTCCAAACAAATAGAGAATATTCCCATTCAGCCTGTAACAGTCTAAATGGGAACACAACTGTAAACATTTTTCCAAAGCACCGCAAGACTTTAATTAAAAAAAAACAAAAACAACCTAAGCGCTGGAGTCTGAAACTTCTAACATGTGGGAACTACTCAAATGAACATTAATAGAAACCCATTTTAGAACTGATAACGTTTATCTCCAAGATGAAGGGGTATTTTACTCTTTCAGCTTCCAACATTAGAGACATTTCAAATATTTGCTAATTCAATACTTCCTTCCTCAAACGATTCTAGGACCAAGGATATCTGGCAGGCACAAAGACAAATGCATAAACATAGTAACCTCAGCAATGAAAATGCTTCCTGCTGACTTCCTTAGTGGTGTTAAGTACAGTCTAACTAAGATTTCTTTAGAGAAATTTAAAAGGCCCTGTGTAGCCACATTAATTTGGCTCAAAACGAACAACCAACACTAACAATTCATAATCACTGCATTTATTCTGTAAAAACAATAATTTAGCAAATTAAACATCTTTATGATGTAAGCTATAGAAAAACTACTCATTGAACGTATGTTTCAATGGGAAAAAAGCAGTTCAAAAAGATGAAGGAATAAAAATCATAATTAGCATGTGTCATGTGGCCTCATCACGGGTTAGAGAGTAAACCCTAGCATTAAGAAAAAAAAAAAACAAAACAAAAAAAAAAACATGCACAAACAACCTGCCAGAAGCACAAGTTATATGGTAGCTACACATATAAATTGCCTATTCTGTGCCAATAGTATACACCTACACAGCCTGGCCCACCGCATTACTAGCAAATATCAACAGGTCACTAACACATGCCAACACACCTTAGTCTACTACATCATTTCAAGTAAGTGGCTAGTTATATTACATGGGGGGACAACAAAAATAACCTTCTGATCATTAAAGGGGAAAAATTATAATCGTGGCAGGACCAGGGTGCTGCTGATTGAGAGGGGAGTTTTACTTTACTATTTCAATTTGTAAAGGGGAGCCTGATGCTCCAATACCAATAGGACGACAAACGTTAATAAAAACAAGTAAATGCAATGTTTTGATATTTCTACACATTACAAATCAGCAAAGCTCTCTCCCTTTGATTTCTAATAAATGACAATAGCCTGCAATTTCTTTTGAAGCAACAACATTATGTAACATTTTATATGGCTGGAGAGCTCTAAGAAATGACGGATTGTCGAATGCACATTATACAACTTACATTTCAGTCCTTTGGGTATTAAATAATGGCTGCACCATGAGGATTTTAACTTCAAGAACACAATATGCTAAAGAATACAGGTTTGCTCTATAAAGCAATCTTCACTCACTAATTACAGACAGAACCAATCAATGACCTACTATAAAGAAAACAACCTGCTGGCTCCGGAAATGAACCACAAGTTCCTATCAGTCTATTTGTAGTAATAAGATCTAAATTCCTGTGGTGTTTACATTTTTTTAGTGCACCACAAGAACAACTCACACAGATCTCAAACTATTGAACATTTTGATTCAATGCACTCTGCTGCAGGCGGATTCTCATTGCACTTTTTAATTCAAAGTATAAGATAGCTTAATGAATCCTAATCAATCTGGAAATTGAAAATACATAGATTTACTGCATACATCCTCCCCCGCCACTGCCTATAGTGTTAAAAACTAATTTCTGTAGCATTTATAGCAAGGCTAACATTTGTTTTCCCATATTTACTAGTCTGACTAATACGGCCAACAATTTTTCATACCTCAGAAATAGGGCACTAAATTTAACATTGTAAAATAATTTGGAGGCTCATTAGCACAGCAATACACACATACTATCACTGCCAGTTCTCTATTGTTTAAGTCTTCCAAACAGTGGTTTACTCTTCCCCATTTTTCCACTGCACAGTATCATTTTTTTCTCCTTCTTATTTAATTCCACTGCGTGTTCTCCTTCATAGGCCCTCGTTGAATGAGCAATCTTTAGCAGAGTAACCAACACCGCCCACAGCTGTGCCAGACAATAGACTCCTACTGCTAGCATTACGTTTTCTGGAGAATTTGGTCACGCTGCCTTAACTGCTGCAGACACTGGGTTTATTCATAAAAACGTGCGGAAGGAGGGATTTTAAGTAGGATTCCTTTACCTGTTTCCCCACCATAAAACAGAGAAATAAATGGATCAGGTCATGAGAGGTTTGGCCTGAAATGCAAACCCACAGTTTGACAAGTCAATAAAGAGCCACCCATTCCAACTCCGCTACACGTAGAAAGCCAAGGTTAAGGGTAAACACAGTTTGGATATGCCCATACAGGGGCCCTTAAATGATCCCTATTATTCTCTCTGCACATGCAGACATTAAGGTGGCAGCTATTAGACTTTAATAGGGATAATGGAAACCTAGGAGCATGTCATTCTAACATGGCATTTCATTCACACTGAACAATATTCTCAGTAACTGCCTGTACATTATGGGTGCAAGTTTCGAAGACAGCAGATAGTTACTTTGCAGAATTAAAAATGTAAAAAAATTTTTTCCCTTAAAATCTAAATAAAATTATTTGAGACAGCTTTATTATGCACATGCATTTGGAGATATAAAAGCAAACAATAGAGGACAGGAACACGCTGTAGTTGTTATAGTGCCAGGAGTACCCTGGTGTCCCACATTATAAGCAGTCAAACTGTTTTAGAACTATGTGTCTTCTAAAGTGGTGTCCACTGGTGCCGCGGCCTGCATCCACTTACCCAGAGAGAGTCTGCTTAGGAACTTACGTTAGCCCTCCCAAGCTAAGCACTTGGTGCAATGCTGGCTCATTGGCTAAGAGTACCATCTGATCGCTCTCAACCAATGAGCTAAGTGCTTCGCCGCTCTGTAGTTTGTAATGGAGATGGGGAAGCAGAACCTGGCAGACTCCAGGTAAAATTGTTCTGAAACAGTTTCACTACTTGGCACTCTGGGATCCATAACCACTACAGCATAGTATTGGGGTGTTCGTTTAAAGTAACTAACAATTCATATAAAATGGTATACACAATGTGACGGCAGATAAGAACCATTCGGCCCATCTAGTCTGTCCAATTTTCTAAATACTTTGATTTGTCCCTGGCCTTATCTTATAGTTAGGATAGCCTTATGCCTATCCCATGCATGCTTAAACTCCTTTACTGTGTAAACCTCTACCACTTCAGCTGGAAGGCTATTCCATGTATCCACTACCCTCTCAGTAAAGTAATACTTCCTGATATTATTTTTAAACCTTTGTCCCTCTAATTTAAGACTATGTCCTCTTATGTGGTAGTTTTTCTTCTTTTAAATATAGTCTCCTCCTTTACTGTGTTGATTCCCTTTATGTATTTAAATGTTTCTATCATATCCCCCCTGTCTCGTCTTTCCTCCAAGCTATACATGTTAAGATCCTTTAACCTTTCCTGGTAAGTTTTATCCCGCAATCCATGAACCAGTTTAGTAGCCCTTCTCTGAACCCTCACTAAGGTATCAATATCCTTCTGAAGATACGGTCTGCAGTACTGTGTACAATACTCCAAGTGAGGTCTCACCAGTGTTCTGTACAATGGCATGAGCACTTCCCTCTTTCTACTGCTAATACCTCTCCCTATACAACCAAGCATTCTGCTAGCATTTCCTGCTGCTCTATTACATTGTCTGCCTACCTTTAAGTCATCAGAAATAATCACCCCTAAGTCCCTTTCCCCATATGTTGAGGTTAGGACTCTATCAAATATTCTGTTTGATCAAATATTCAAGTATACTGTGACTGGTCAGATGTAAACGTATGGTTCTTGCTGGTCACTGCTGTAAAAGACCTGTATTTTATAGAAATCCAGTAATGATGTGCAGGACAGACCATAATTAAAGCAGTACTCTAGTTAGAGAGCCCCCCCCCCCAAAAAAACCCAAAACAAATTGCAATAGATAGATGTATTAATCAACATGCTAATAATTTACCAGAGGTGTCACAGACACCATTTGGCACAACACTGAACAGTAGATGCTATATCTTAAGCACCTACTTGCATTTAGAAAATTAGTGATCAGTGGCTTGATAACATTTCAGAGAAAATGCTTTAATGCACAGTTCAACTCATATATTACCCACTAGTCTTAAATATTTTAAAACCAAATGAACTACCACCACCTTGCCCATTATTGATAAGATCTCCTAAAAAACATTAAAATACAATTTATGGAAGCTGTGGCCAGAGATAAGCTTAATTGGCAGACTGACCTTTTATTTATTTAAGCAACCAAATGAGGTCTAATTGCATTAAAATTGAATTCAGTATATTTCTCAGCTATACTTATTTGGCAGCCATGGAATTGGTTAGCCTGCAGCTAATCTCAAAGTACATAGAAGGGGTTTAATTTTAATCAGATTAGATTATGTCAGAGACCTTTATTTGTATATAAATAGGGAATACAAACCCACCAAAAACAATTACAACAGTTCAGCCAAAAATAGATGGTTACTCATGCAACTACTGATGTTACATTACTAAAATATCTACATTGTATTGGAAGCAGAAACTCCAAAGCACAGCATTATCAAGCTCTCAGGAATTTGGAAGAAATTGAGATCTATAAGCAGAAATGAACATTTTAAGCACCCCACAGTATTCAGTGCTTCCTTGGTTGCATGGTGAGTATGAGAAACAATTTCATTAAGTATGAGTAAACCCGGGGTTAAAAACTAGTTGCATTATAAGTCAGGGCTTGACAAATTTGCTTAGAATCTAGGAGCCAGGTTTTTCAATGTCAAAAGCTTAATGTAGTTGTTCCCGTGACTATAAGCTGTCCCTCCACACTTTTCAAAGTAAACCCTGCCTTTTCAGAGAAAAAGGCAGTATTTAAATTGTTGACTAGTAACGCTTCTAGTAAAAGTCACTCAGATTGCCTCGAGTGCATCCTGGGTCAGTGTTGCACAGTACGCAGTGAGGCGCTGAATGTTCCCCATAGAGATGCATTAGTTCAATTCATCTCTATGAGGAGATGCTGATTGACGCAGCATGGCGTTTTGCCACACACGCGCAATAACCTCCCAATGCTTTCCTATAGGAAAGCATTGGATTGGCTGAGATCATCAAGAATGATGATCGCAGTCATGAAGGCAGGGCCAGCTGCGGCGGACCAGCACAGCATGGGGGGGGGGGGCAGGGGGAAGGTGAGTAAAAACCCCTTACCCATATGATTGGAGGGTGACTGGTCACCTAAACACACACAATCATTGCAATAACACACATTAACTCCTTAAGGACCAAACTTCTGGAATAAGAGGGAATCATGACATGTCACACGTCATGTGTCCTTAAGGGGTTAAGATGACCACCCAGCCTCCCTACCTGGAGCTGGAGTGGTTTGGCTTTCCCTCGGGTCCAGTGAGGCTTCAGTAATCTCCCTGCTCTGCTTCATAGAGTGCGGTTTAGTAAAATATATCCACTGCAAGCCAGAGCATTCAGCACAAGCGTTATCCCACACTGCTTCTGTGATTGCACATCTGATTTTAAAAGAGAGCATGATGGTAATATTGTTGGCAGGTATGCTGTAAGGGACACTATAGTCACCAGAACAACTACAGTTTATGTGTATTTGTTCTGGTGAGTATAACCAGTGCCTTCAGGCTTTTTTCAGTAAACACTGTTTTCGAGAAAAGGCAGTGTTTATTTTACAGCCTAGGGATGCCTTCACTAGCCACTCCTCAGATGGTTACTAGAGGTGCTTCCTGGGGCAGTCCTGCACAGTACTGCCATTCAGTGTCTCCATCGAGACATTCAACTTTCCTCATAGAGATTCATTGATTCAATGCATCTCTATGACGAGATGCTGATTGGCCAGGGCTGTGTTTGACTTGTGCTGGATCTGACCCTGATCTGCTTCCTTGACATGCTCAGCCAATTCAATGCTTTCCTATAATAAAGCATTGTGATTGGGCGTTGATAAACACTTCTGATCAGGACAGCCAAGCAGGCAGCTCAGGAGCAGAACCAGATGCAGCAGTCTGGAACCAAGGTAAGATTTTTACTATATTTAGGGGTTAAGGGTGGGCCAGATAGTGTTTTTAACAATAAAGGGTCAGGAATACATGTTTGTGTTACTGACCCTATAGTGTTCCTTTAAACTTTAGAAGACAAATAGAAGAGACAGCTACATACAAAGGCAGTTGGGGAAATAAAAGTAAAAATAGAGGACTGAAGAGGTAATGGGAGAGAATGAAACACCATGTTAATAATGGTTTGCCTTAAAGGAACACTCCAAATGCTAACCACTACAACATGCTACAGTGGTTATGGTGCCAGGAGTACTGTGCCCCCCCTTCCCTTATAAAGAAACAGTTAAGTGGTTTTAGATCCTCTCTTCATCCATTTAAAAGTGTGGAACATATAAAAAGGCATTAATCACAGATAAAATATTTAAGTCCCTGTATATCAATATTATCTAGTACTGTGGTACCTCTGTTTACAAATGCCTAAGTTAACAATTTTCGGTTTACAAATTAAAATAATGCCTCAGTTTATAAAATTTTTTCCCCAGGATGCATTATGCCTGGGAGGTTTACAGCGCTGCCCCCGTGCATGCAGGAGTCTGTGGGTAGCACGGAGCGCCGAGTCTGGAGATGCTGAAGCGGTTTTTGAATCATTCTGGATTTTTCTTCAAGCGGTTTTGGGACTTTTTGAAGCTTTTTTGGTGCATTTCTCAAGTGGTGGAAAGGTAGGGTTCTACATTGTGTGTTGGTTTCCATGCCAGCTTATTTTGTCCCGGAGAATGCATTACATTCGTAAACCGAGGTACCACTGTACATGATTTAAAAGTCATTAACACTATTATCTGTACATTGTAACAGTCACATGGTTAGCAAATCAGCTGAAATGTTATTGCCATTTAGAGGTTTACAGTTTCCTGCTATGTAATCAACATAGTGTAATTAATATAAAAATGCTGTCAACAGGCGTTTCCCAAATTATCCTCCAAATACTAGCAAATACTCACACATTAGTAATTGTTGGACACTATACAAGTCATTTGAAATCATGGTGGCTGTGTGTGCTGCAGCCCTGTTCTTTCCTTGAAGTCAAGAAGTAGGGCGAAGTTTGCAAGTAAGTTTTAGGGCTGGCTAAAAAAAAAGTAAGAATTTTGTGCCCTGTTTCACCCCCCCCCCCCACACACAAAACCTGTAATACTGATTGACGCAGCATGGCGTTTTGCCACACATGCACAATAACCTCCCGCGCAAGGCCTGTAATTTAGTTTTAAATATTTTAAAAATTAATAAACACATTTATTTAATTCAACTATAAAATAGCAATAATTTTGGGAAAAAAACAACAACATTTGATAACTGCATTAAGCACCTTTTGTTAATGTGTATAAAGGTTTTTCTTACAATCCTGCACATTTAATTTTATTAATGATCAGGCACGTAACACATTTTAAACAGTAATCCAAAAACTCCTAACAAGGAATACATTTTAAACAGAGTAGGTGATTGGACATAAGGGCAGCAACGGTTCAGTACTTACATCGTATCTTGACCTGCACCCACCCTCAGCGTCAGCCTAGGGATTACCGGTGCAGACGCAGGAATGGATAGCTCTGTTTTAACCTGCTAAATAAAAAAATAATAAAAAAAATGTATAGATCAGATAAGGTGGTTTAAAATGTCAGCCCTGAATTACTCTCAAGCCAGGCCAGACTTTAAAGATAAACTATTGCAAAAATATAAAATAAATTATTTATTAGAGGTTTTATATCTTGACAGGTTTTAACGCAACTGGAAAATATGCTAACTTTGTCATAAAGTGTTCAGGCACTATTAGGTCAAGCGAAGATTGCATTCTCTGGACTTTTGACAAAAATATACAATATAATCTTTGCTCAGTCTGCTGAACAGCAGCCAGACGGACATTATTTTGTATCTATATTTCTCTTCTAGAAGAGAGAAATCACTTCCCAGGATTTTTTTATTTTTTTATTTTATTATTTTTTAGTTATATCCTATGTTTAACAAATTGAATGTGATGCCTGATATAAAAATAAATAAATAGCGAAATCCTGAAAGTAATAGAGAGTACCACTAACTTGGCTCTCTGTTCATCAATGACAGAAAAGTGAAGAGCTTATAGCAATGAACACAATATGTTGAGGTGAATAAATATAATATTTAGGTTTCTCCAGCTGCTATGCCTGGGCTGAATTGGATTGTGATGTCAAATGCTAAATCTTTAAAGTGGCTCAGTCACCTCAAAACTTTCCTTTCTCCTATTGTTTCCTCTACTCTTCCGCATTCAGAATCCGTTTTATTTTTCCTTCATTTCTGACCTGTTTATTTTTCCTTGGACTACTTTTATCAAGATTGTCAATCATAGGAAAAATACATAAGACAGAGTGGAGCTCAAAGCAAGGTCCCACTTCCCTTCTAAATATAATGGCACTTGTATTAAGCTCCACCCCTTTGTCTTATGTATTTTTCCTACGTTTGACAATCTTAGCAAAGAAGTGCCTGCTCTATCTTAAACATCAGAAACATCAGATTCAAAGAGAAACATCAGAAATGAAGAAAAGAACAGATTCTGGAAGAGGAAGAAAAGAGGAAACAATAGGAGAAACTTGGAGGTGAGAGTTAAAGAAAAATGACCCACATGAAAAAAATGAACAGGTAATTTGTAATGTTTTGTTTAATTTAGCAGTTCACAGAAAAAAGTGACAGTTGCACAGGCTGAAGAGAGACATAGGTCCATCAAAATTCAGCATCACATCTGTTTTTGCTGTTGATGCGGAGATGAAACAAAAAATAAAAAACAGTTTGAAGCACTTTCCAATTTGTAACAATTCCTCTTAAAACACAAAAGAATGCTTAAAGTGATATATAAAAAAAAAAAAAGCCTAAAAGCTTAAGTGTCCTAGGACATAACATACAAGTCACCAAGTAAATTAAAATACAGTATTTGTGCATACAATTAAACTGCTAAATCATTTACAACTGTATTCTGGCTAGACTTTGAATTATTATGCCAGATTACATGAGAATCATTTGAAAAAAATACAAAAATGTGCAACAGGGGCAACAAAAGGGAAAAAAGGTATATATTACAAATATTGGTAGTAAAAATGGCCAAAACCTTTATTTAAACAAAAAACGTAATAAAATAGGTCCACAGCGCGTTTCACCCACAATGTGCCTTTTCAAGTGGTAATTAAGCAAATACCTTATTTGCTTGATTACCACTTGAAAAAGCCCATTGTGGGTGAAACGCGTTATGAATCTATTTTATTACTTTTTTTGTTTAAATAAGCCTTTGGTCATGTTTACTACCAATATTTGTGCCATATACCTTTTTCCCCTTTTGTTACCCGACATCCAGTTTTTATCTTTCCAGAGAGGACCTCACCAAGTATCCCAGGTGGGGATTATACCACCTATGCTGATTACAGTGAGCGGGCTATCTGCTCAGGCAAATGTGAGTACAACTTATTTATTTTTACTTCTGGTTGAATATAGCAGTGCATTGCTGAACACAATCTCAAAGCTCATGTGCATTATGTTAGGTTTTCTGTAAGGGCTTAAAAATTATTTCTACAAAATAATCTAATTTACATTTTCATTAGCACTGCTGCTCTGTTAATGCGATATCTCCAGTTTCATTAAGATTTAATCACAGTTCCATTCTACTATCATTTTATTTGTCACAGGCTAGAACCTTCGTGCTAAAAGGTTTTGCAGGGCAAAATCTCACTACAAGGAGTTTGGACAAAAAATGATATATAGAAAACTTGGGTCAATTTGGGTATATAAGCTTCTGGAGTTGCTATAGAGGTAAAGTCATAATGGTCACAACTTTTTTTTTTTTTTTTTAAACTAGCTAAAAATATAGTCTAAATGCACAAACTGATAAAGTCCCTTTTTAATTTTTTTTTTTTTTTTACATATTTTTAAAATTCAAAATACACTAAAATCAAGCCATTTTAGCAATGCATCCATCTGGCTATGAGACAACTATGCAACCTACTAGAGTACTCCACATTCTAATAGCAGAAGGACAATATAACGAGGAATGGGTTTACAATCTTGCTGGAGAAAGATTTAGGAGACGCTCATCAGCTTTACAATTTAATTCAATACAGGGATTCTTTGGTGCATGTGAGCTTTGCAATTTATCTTTTTGACATGGGCTTTTTGATGGCTACTGAGCAGTCCTGTCAATTTAAACCGTTATTATTGCATTGCAGTTTGCGCTCTCCCCCGCCCCCCCAAAAATAAGACCATAACTACATTAAAAAAACCAAAAAAAAACAACCAAGAGTTGAATTTCTCAGACAGTACTTACATTGTACAAATAGATATATTTTAATCTGCGGAGTACCAAAAGTGGCTTGTTACAATGTATTGCTTGCACCTCAAAAGGTTTAAGGGAAGCTTTTATACCATAAATATTAAATAAGAAAACAAATAATGAAAATTAGAAAACTTACTTTCTCATGCTTATGCTTGTCTTTGTCCTTCTCCTTCTTGTCCTTTTCTTTTTTATCCTTCTCCTTTGCCTTCTCTTTATCTTTTTTCTTCTTCTTCTCCTTCTTTTCCTTTTTCTTGTCCTTCTCCTTAGGTTTCTCTTTATCCTCGAATAGTTTTTCAGGGAGAAGCGGTGACATGGTAGAAAGTAAAGATGGCAGTCTGACTGAGCTGGGGGTGCTAATTGTGGGTAGTGCAATTTCCTTAGGCGTTAACAAAATAGGAGCAGACGTTTTCAGCTTGTCTTCCTTATTCTTATCCTTTCCTTTGTCTTTCTTTTCCTTGTCCTTCTTACCCTTATCTTTCTTTTTATCTTTATGCTTCTCTTTGTCTTTCTTTCCAGAATTTTCTTTCTGTTTCGATTTTACCTCTGGATCATTAAAATCTTTGAGCTTAAATCTTTGCATCTCTGTCTCATCATCCCGGATTGCGTCCTTCCACAAACTTTTTGACTCTTTGCCCCCATCTTTATCTTTTTCCTTCTCTTTGTTTTTCTCCTTATTTTTGTCCTTAGTCCTTTCTTTGTCCTTGTCTTTCTCTTTGATCTTTTCTTTGTCCTTTTTTTTCATCTTAGCCTTCACTTCCTTCTTTGCCTTTTTCTTCACTTCCACTGGAGAAGCTAGTTTTGCTTTGTCCTCAAAGAGTTTTAGAAGGGGTTCTGGAGTAGGTGGTGAGGCAGAAGGAGAAGAGAAGCATTGAGGATTGCCAGGTATATTTGATGGTGTTTCTTGGTTAACTTTTCTAATTACCTCATTTATAGAGTCATCCATTGTCCATGAAATATCAGAACTTGATGTACCACCAGAAGGAGGTGCTGGATTACTTCCAGGCTTTGCAAGGCTGTTGCTAGAAGATGAAACCTTAGGAGTGGTAGGCTCTGATATTGTAAGTCTTTTTGGACTTGTAAAAACTTCATCTTCTGACTCTGAACCAGAGGAAAACTCAAATGGGTCAAGTTCTTGCTCTGCACAGGCACGAGCAATTACAGCGTCAATTGAGTCTTCAATAGTATTATCAGTCACTGAAGGTTTTTTTGATGGAGTCTCAGGGTTCAATTTCTCAGTGTCAAGTGGGGCTAAAGTCTGTTTTATCTGTATATTCTCCTTTCCAATCTTTTCACTCAATGCAGCTAGAGGCGTCCGGACTGGTGTTTCTGCCTTAACAGGTACAGCTGCAGGACCTTTGGGGCTCTTGGGACTCTTAGGACTCTTGGCACGTCCAGGAGATTTCTTCTCTTTTGGGCCACTTTTAGGTGACCGCATGGGGCTACCGAGCACGGCAGCCACTGGAGTAGATTTGGGCGATTTAGTTTTCTGCCCTGGTGAGCCACCTTTTGATTTTGATTTGGAGTTCAATGCTTTGGATTCTAATGGTTTTGAAGGAGCAGGCTGAGATTTTGAAACTGGAGGCAAGGTTAGTGGTTCTGAAGAGTCAGCCAGATCTACATTGTCCTGTATAGGAGTAGGTGAAATAGGGGGGACTTTCTGCGTGTTTATTGAACTAAGTGGCTCTCGTGGTTCCAGATTACCATCTAAAACATCTCCTTTAATATTTGCCAACCGTGGGCGTTTTGCAAAAGGCATTTCCATGTTCTCTGGACTACTTAATGGTCTTTTACTTAAATAGTTTTCATCGTTTACAGTTTCATCATCTTCCATCTCTTCTTCTTCTTCTTCCAGTGGTACTTGCATGGCTTCCGCGGAGGTCCCGCCATCTGTGGGCACTTGTTCCTCTTCTTCCTCTGTAATACAAAAGAAAAAATGTACTAACCAATTTTCTTCAAATTATTAATTTTAATATGTAATTACAACATAAATTGTACTAACTACAAAGGATAACATTAAAATAAATACTATACACACACACATATATATACACACACACACACACAGCAAATATCTCCAGAGACATATTGATAAAATGCTATATACACACACAGAAGCAAAATAAGAAATGACAAGTTGTATTATAAATGGACTAATCTATATGGTAATATTAGTGTATCACGTAACTGCAGCAGCCCCAGATAACAGTATGACTTTAGAGCTACATTCCAACCCAGTGTGTTTACAGAGCCTTATTGCTGACACCACATGAGTATTAAAAGTGCATCTCATTGGTTATTTATGATATAAGATTTGAGTTATGATAAGGACATACCCACCTATTTTTACTGGATGTCAGATACAATAAATTAGAATCATTAATCATAACAATTTGTAATCACAGTCACGCTTTACAGAATCAAACAGCAAAAGCACGTTTTTATTTATTTTTTTTAAATGGGGGATTTTAATAAAACTGAAATGCACAATAACTCCATTAGGACATACATGCATAAAATGCAACATGCATGCAATCCAGAGACAAATAAGAAAAAAAAAAAAAGGCAAAAAGTTTAGGGCACTGGACACTGCACACTTTAAAAAAAAAAAACAAAAAAAACCCTAAATAAAATATGTTTCTGAAATCCAGGGTTTATGGCAAATACCAGCTGTCTGCAGAAACCATGACATGAGTTTTTTTTTTTTTTAGCTGAACTAGCAATTGCTTTCAAATTGACTTTTGTATGTAAGTGAGTCAAAAAGTCCTTTCATTCCCAAATACTGCCCATATTCAATATAACATTTATGTGGTCTCCCAATAAATCAAGAGGATTGAATCTTTGCTTTTACCATTTAGACCAATTGTATTTTGTTACTACAGACATTTCTCTTGCTCAGTTTATAGTCACCAAAACAAGCTTAACTTAATGAAACAGTTTTGGTGTATAGATTATGCCCCTGCAGACTTACTTAAAATTCAATTCACAGATCAAGAGATAAAAACTTCAAAAGTTAACATCCGATTGAAAATGAAACCTTTCCCCCCTATGCAGGCTGGCAGGTGGGGCGAGGGCTACAGAAACAGGAACAAAGGTGATTTAATTTCTGAATGGCAGAGAATTAAAGGACCACTATAGTGCCCTGAGGGTGCCCCCACCCTCAGGGTCCCCCTCCCGCCGTGCTCTATGGGGTTGAAGGGGTTAAACTTACCTCTTTCTCCAGCGCCGGGCGGGGGACTCTCCTCCTCCTCGGCTGAATGCGTGGCAGGAGCCGCACGTGCATATTTAGACAGTCCATAGGAAAGCATTCACAATGCTTTCCTATGGACGCTGGCGTCTTCTCACTGAAAATCACAGTGAAAAGCGCAGAAGCGCCTGTCAATGAGACAGCCACTAGAGGCTGGATTAACTCATAGGTAAACATAGCAGTTTCCCTGAAACTAAGTTTATAGAAAAAAAGGGTTAAACCTAGCTGGACCTGGCACCCAGACCACTTCATTAAGCTGAAGTGGTCTGGGTGCATATAGTGGTCCTTTAAGCAGTGAGACTCAGGGGCATGATCTACACATCCAAACTGCTTCATTAAAGGAGCACTATAGGGTCAGGAACACAAACATGTATTCCTGACCATATAAGGTTAAAACCACCATCTAGCCCCCCTCATGCATCCTCCCTAAATATAGTAAAATCTTACTTGTATTCAAGTCTGGAGCTTTGTCACCGTTTCCTTCAGACCAGCCCACTGCCTGCTGACATCATCAGAAGTGGTAGCCTGATCCAATCACAATGCTTCCCCACAGGATTGGCTGAGACTGACAAAGAGGCAGATCCAGCACAATTCAAACACAGCCCTGACCAATCAGCATCTCCTCATAGAGATGAATTGAATCAATGAATCTCTATGAGGAAAGTTCAGTGTCTGCATGCAGAGGGTGAAGATACTGAATGTTTGGATGCATTTTAGGCAGCAATGACCCAGGAAGGATCTCTAACAGCCATCTAAGGAGTGGCCAATGAAGTTATCCCTAGGCTGTAATGTAAACACTGCATTTTCTCTGAAAAGACTGTTTACAGCAAAAAGCCAGAAGGTAATGATTCTACTCACCAGAACAAATTCAATAAGCTGTAGTTGTTCTGGTGAATATAGTGTCCCTTTAAAATAAAACTACTGAGAAAGCAAACAGCTATCAAAAAGTAGGTGAGACCTAAGTGCACATCAGTGGTGTATTTTGGATTTGTGCTGCCCTAGGCACAACTAAATTCGGACATCCCCCAAATCTAGATTTGCCCCCCCAATTCGTGTCAAGGCCAGTTTTTTTTGACCGACAGACACAGTGAGCCCTCATTGATACATGTACTGACGTACACTCAATGAAAGATACACAGTTATTGGCACACACATACAGTCATAGGCGCACACACTGTTTAACCAATACACACTTTCACTGACAGACACACCCTCCTCACTGACTTGACACACTGACAGACACACACAGACAACTACATTTACTCACAGACACACAGAGCGTGAGAGAGCAAGAAGCGCGGAGGACAGCGCTACCTTGCTGCCCGGTTATAATATTAGTAGTTTAACACCGAGGGGGTGATGGGGACCTAAGGAGGACAGCCCCAGGACACGAGGCAAACAAGGCATTTGCCTAGGAGCCTTGGGTGGCAGTGCCTCCCTAGGCAAATGCCTTGTGGTAAATACAGCCCTGGTGCACATGTGGTGTATGCACACACCACATGAGATTTTTTTTAGTGGTTGTCTTGGCAATAAGTGCATTTTCCCCTTCAAAATCACAGTGAAGGTTGGGAAAGTTGCAAAAAAATAAACAAAGTAATGCAGCACAGATCAATAGGAAAATGTGATCAAATGTGCGGCCAGATCACAAGTACTATTTACACATGTAACATTATATTGTACAATAAATTGAGCACTGATTGTCAGAGCATCTCATTTGGAAACTTGAGCCTAAAACAAATCTAAATTAGTAAAAAGCTGATAAACCACCAATTTTTGAAAGCAAAAGCATTGTAACTTGTCGTCAAGCCTTAAATGATAGTTTAGACTCCTTAAGCCATATAATGCAAACTATCACTGATGAAATAAGGGCAAATAAGTACCATAAAAAATTAAAAATAAAAATAAAAAAAAAGTTGGTGATTAGTGAGTGCATGGGATATATCTCTCTCTATAATATTATATATATATACATATATACATATACATACATATACATACATATATACACATATATACATATACATATATACATACATATATATATACATATATACACATATATACATACACATATATACATATATATATACATATATACACATATATATACATATATACACATATATACATACACATATATACATATATATATACATATACATATATACACATATATACATACACATATATACATATACACATATATACATACACATATATACATATACACATATATACATATACATATATACATATATACATATACATATATACATATATATATATACATATATATATATACATATATATATATACATATATATATATACATATACATATATACATATATACATATATACATATATACATATACATATACATATATACATATATATATACATATATACATATATATATACATATATACATATATACATATATACATATATACATATATACATATATACATATATATATACACATATATATACACATATATATATATATACATATATACATATATATATACACATATATATATATACATATATACATATATATATACACATATATATATATACATATACATATACATATATATATACATATATATATATACATATATATATATACATATATATATATACATATATATACATATATATATATACACACACACACGTTTGCATATAAAACTAAACATACCTTTCCATGCACGACCTTAACACAAATTTTGGGAATAAAAAAAAATAAAATGAACTTGCTTTTTATAACATGTAGACTTAATCGTATTAGAATAATTCACAATAAGTAAACAGGATCTGAGGTTAATCTTAGTTACACGCACCAAATCTCTCTCTGTGTTCTTTAAAAGAAATAAATGGATTTAGCTGCTAATGAGACTAATATTTTGTCAGCAATTGTAACTCGTGCTGCATTCCACTGAAAACAAATAGGTGATAATGCATCAATGTTTGCCACTTGCAGAGATGCCTTATTTTCCATGCAGGACCTACCCCACTGCTCTCAATGACCTTCAAAAAATTCTGGAAAAGTATCTCAGGACCCGGGGCACTAAAGCTATTTTAAAATTAGCTTTGGATAATTGTCCCGCAATATATGAGTTTCTTGATTAATTGCTTGAGATAAGGTCTCGTTTTCTTCTTTGGCCTCTAGTGGCAAACCCCCATTTCCCATAACTGCTTGTCTCTCTCCTCTGTACACTGGGAATGGCAAAGAGAAAAATCTGAGATATACCAATTCCATTACTTACGGATTAGCTTTGAGATAACCCTTCGTACTCCATTACTAGTCATTATTGGAATAATTATTTAATCAAGTTTACTCCTCTGAAAGATACACTAATTGTTTTCAAAACCTTATTAAGACAGTGAAAATGGCTTATAAAATATAAGAGAACATTTAAATAAAATGCAAGGTACACAAATTGTTTTTTTTTTTAACGTATGCGTTACTAATGTATAATGCATGCAATTGGGCTACAAGCTTGATCTTATAAGCTTGATCTAAATATTTGTGATGTTAGTACCTAGAAGTTTTTAATTCCCACATTATCCTCTATCTGGTTTTGATTTACAGGTTTAATAAGAGGCAGAAGGGATCAAATGTGTGTTCCATAGAGCCATTGGTCATAATAGCATGACTGGGCGTCCTTTTCACTTGAACAAGCAATTATCCATTCTGAAATAACAGTACTTAAAATCATGTAAAAAGGTCAGTGTAAAAGTGCTTAATTATAATAATAATTAAAAAGAATAAAAATAGGAGTAGAGAATAAGTCCCTGACTTAGAGGAAGTGTAAGCAGTTCAGTCATGGATATCTATCAATCGCATAAGGTACTGCACACCAATGCAGGAGCTATCAGTACCAGGGCTGATTCCAGGATGTCCTGACCATCCCTTGAGGTAAAATAAAAGGATCACAGGAAACAAGCAGATCAAGTGGAAGCTGACCAAGCCGAGAGAAGAGTCCAAGATGGAAACTCCACTCCTCTAGGTGAAAGACCTGGCAAAAGAGGCAGTCCACTTCACAAATGTCTACATCGTTATGTGCATTACTGACAGCATCATCCATCTTCAAGATCTTGTGGGAAATTCAGAGGATATATGGCTCCTGTAGGTGTTCTGGATGAGCCAGATAAATATTTCTGATCTTGAGAACACTGATTGGAAGCCTTGCCTCCTGAGACACTCGAGTCCCCTGAGCTCATATATTGGTCAGGCTGTCATCTAATTAAACAAATGCCCACAAGTGATTCCTGAAGGAATAACACTGTCACCGATACGGACTTCATACTGGTAGCAACTTGATCTGCTTAAATTTTCTTCCAACAGGCCTTGCTGTGCTAAAAGACTGGGATGCAGAGTTAGAAGAGAACCAAAAACCCATTAACCATTATGAAAAAGGGTCTTGCCTTGAAAGGGAAGTGGGAAGTAGTGAAACTTGGAGAGAAATTCTTATCTCCTGGTCCCCATTTGAATTTTAATGACACAGAAGGGTCCTGCATAATCTACCAGGCTCTAAGCAGAGCAGGAGATATATTTTAAAGATTTTAGATTTCTTTATAGCACAGTTTTAGATTTTATTTTTCAGGAAGTATGTAGGGAGGCTGTGTGTGTCAGAGTGTGTTTATGACCAGGACCACATAAACAAAGTGTTATCCTCCTGAGACCAAGCCCATTAACTTGTGTCCTCTGTACTGGACATATCGTTCCCATGCATCTCCTTTTATTCTTTTAGCTACTCTATCAATCCCTGCTGTATTGTAAAGATGACATCTTGGGCTTTCCAGGGATACATCATGTGATAGACTGGGATGCTGGGAACTTCCTTTTCAGACACTATAGCCATGGCAATGAGATGAAAAAGTTACAGTACCGACAGTGTCTCTTTAAGATTGTTTTGGTGTGTAGAGTAAGCCTTTAAACAGCCAAGGTTCCATCAGGATTCCTGTAAGCCAGTTTGTGTGTGCACATGATCCAAGGCCAAAATACCCTTAAGATCAGAATAATTCTAGGGTGCTACCATGGGCAGTTTCAAAAGTTCATCCAGCACCTTGGATCTGTCATCTTAAAGTGATATTATAGGCACCAAAACAACTGTACTTTAATGAAGCAGTTTAGTGCACAGATCATGCACCTGCAGTCTAGAAAAACAGTCTGTTTAATTTAGAATTCCTCACCTCCTGCTCTGCTAATATTCTTCTAGACCTAACAGGAGCCTCTGGGAGTGATTAAAGCTCAATTTACTGAGCACGAGATAAAAACTTCTTAAAAAAAAATAAAAAAGAAAAAAAAAGAAAAAAAATGAATATAAATAAAAATAAATAAAAAATAAAGATAAATCCACATTCACTCACAAGGAGCTCAACCCAACTGAGTTCCTTAGATCGGTTTACCAACCTTATGTCGCTAGATGTGCTCCCATTTAAAATATATGGGCATCTTTTTGACGCCCCACAGGCTTTAAATGTATTAACATTTTTTTTTAATGTAATAACCAGCTAGCAAACTCGGGACAGAATATAAATAGCTTTCATAAGGTCTGCCAAAATTTGAGACCAGGGGTGCCCAAAAGGTAGATCCCCAGATGTTTTAAAATTACAGTTTCCATCATGCTTTGCCACTCTAAAGGTACTCAAAGCATCATGGGAGTTTTAGTTATACAACATCTGGGTAAACCTTTTGGGCACCCCTGTCCTAGACAATTCATAGAATGAACAGCGAAGACACTGTCCATCCATAAAAGGAAGCAACCGTTTCGACAAGTCATTAACAGAACTGCAGATGTCAAAATATCCTGCAATCAACTCCAAACAGTTGATGTGTAATACTCTATAAGGAGCACTGGATTGGACCATCACAGAAGAGGCCATGCCTCCTCTGTGACATCGCTGGGGAGGAGAGCAGAGAAGCACAAAGGGAGCCTCGACACAAGGTGTGTAAATAAGGGTTTTCAATTCCTTCTTTGCTGAAGAGGGTAGTACCTCATACCACTAGGAACAGTGACACCAACGTTCGGAATACATGTGTACGTAATGTCATGGTATTCTGGGGTACGGGAGCAGGGAAATAACAGTCCTATTCAGCCGGCTTGGAGGTGTGGTTTGAAGCCATGGTTCCAAGCCTTTAAACTATTAAAATATACAGCACTTGGGTTAAGACTTGAGGGTGACGAGCGGTGGTTCATATAGTGTCTTAAGACCTGATTGGCTCACAGTCTCATTTTACTAAGGAAATTCACTTCATGCTACATACATTTTCTTTTTCTGGTCATTTAGGTATAACTTAAGAATGAGGATAAATTGACACATTTGTTGCATTACATTCTTAATGTTTTTATTTTATGGCATTATTAAAAAATGTTACGAGCTAAATGTTAGATATGCAAAACTTCCGGAAGGTTTCCACAATTTAGGCCACCGCTGTATATAAAATATAAGGAATTGGAAGTACTGTAAATTGAGGAATCAAAGTCTTCACTGCCTTGCATAAGATACGGTTTTCTGAATTTTAAGTCTGCAATAGGCATCAACCCAAAGGAACTTCATAAAGAGGAATCATTGGACGGCATGGGAAAGTAGATGACCCTACATGCTGCCCGGCAGGGAACACTTAACACAATTACGGTGGTCAACCCATGAGCCAAATAGGACTTGGCAAGGGAACCGGGTGTCCCACAATATTTAATATTTAACACATTTATTCAGACTTTAAAAAAAAAAACAACTTATTTTATTTCAAAGCTCCAAATCATCCATATTCTTCAGAGGCAGAAACAGAAATTAGATTTCTAGTAATTCACAGGTGTTTGTATCTGCAATGTATGGAAGGGATTTTATCCCATAGGTCATGAACGGTTGTCTCTCACCAATGGAAGGAAATTACAGTGGTACCTCGGTTTACAAACGCCTCGGGGTAGCACGTGACCTGAGTGTGGAGGTGTTGGAGCGGCTTTTTCATCGAGTTTTGGAGCCATTCTGGAATTTTTTTGCAGTGGTTTGGGGACTTTTTGGAGCATAGCTCAAGCGGTGGAAAGGTAGGGAGCGGAGCTTCATCATTTGCATGCCTTTCACTGTGTGTTCTGCATTGTGGGTTGCTTTCCATGCAAGCTCATTTTGACTGTTCTGACCTCCAGAACCGATTAATTGGTTTTCAATGCATTCCAATGGGAAACCGCATTTCGGTTTACAAATTTTTCGCAAGAGGAAACGTACAATCATACAAGTGGAGCAGTCCTGGATGTGCAGTATAATAATAAGTGTAATAATATATTTGAAATCTAGCGCACCCAAAAAACATACTTTACAATTGAGCGAAGGAGTTTTAACCCCTTCAGCGACATGGGAGGGGGGCCCCAAAGGAGGGGGAGAGCTAATAACCCTATAGTGCCAGGAAAACTGCTTTGTTTTCCTGGTCCTGTAGGATCCATTTAAGGGGTTAAAACGCACGAATGGTTTTACCCAAACAGTTGCCTCCAGCACCGATCTCCAGATCCCCCAGGCGGCATCGGGCTACTAAATTTGAGTTACAAAGTTACAAAGAGTGCCACCGGCCAGGCTAGCGGGGTCAGCTAACATTCTAAACCAAACCGTAAGCCACCATTCAAAAAAGTACTTTAAAGTGCCTGGGGCCTCCTGCCACCATAACATTATTTTGATGAAATTGTTATGATGAGAGGTATCTTCCTTTATAAGCTTTTCTTCCTTTTTGAACACATGAACAGGGTTTTTTTTTCTTCTAACACAAAAGTGAGAATAGAAAGTGAATATCATATTTAAGGTCAGAGAAACAGATTTTTTCCAGTTAGACTATTTTACTTTAAAATTCCATTTAAATTCACCTTGAATTAAACTACAGTTCTAACAAAGAATGAATAACAATGGAGGTGTAGACAGAAGTCTTACAAAAATTCTAGAGAGGTGCCGTGGCTGCTCTGCTGTGAGATCATGAATAGTGATGTCCCGAACGGTTCGCCACGGAATCATCATTTAGTAAACTTTGACCCTGTACCTCACAGTCAGCAGACACATTCCAGTCAATCAGCAGCAGACCCTCCCTCCCAGACCCTCCCACCTCCTGGACAGCATCCATTGTGAAGCTGCATTCTTAGGGAGCTGTCCAGGAGGTGGGAGGGTCTAGGAGGGAGGGTCTGCTGCTAATTGGCTGGAATGTGTCTGCTGACTGAGGTACAGGGTCAAAGTTTACTCAATAATGAGTCCGTGGCGAACCGTTCAGGACATCACTAATCATGAATAATGATCTTGAGGCTATTCCATGCTTCTCTTGTAGAAGCATAGCCCATTGACATGTGCGCTCCACCAATTGGATTACTTGCCATCCTTATTGAGAAATGCAAACAGTTTTTCACAAATGCAAATGTTTACATAAGTCAAGAGTGCAGGGTCAAGTTTATTTGCACCAAAACAACTACTCCCTTTAATTTGTCCCAAAGGTGTGTGTATGCACACTGTTCTGGGCACAGAATCATTTAAGGAGCACATTATAATACATTACTGCACTCAAAGTGTTTCTTCTCTGATCAAATGCATCTGTTCCAATCACAAACCAACATATGACATTAAAATGAAGATGGTATCGCTGAACCAATGCACATGCAATAAAGATATGGCCATTTTACTAATCAGCACATTAGTATAAAGGCAAATGCTTTTGAAAATGGTGGTTTAGTACCTTCCTATGGTTGGTAAACGACTGCAAAGTAATATATGAGTTGTACCTTTATATATTGTACCTGTATATTGAAAATGCCTTTTAGATTAATTCTCCATTTCATAGGGGTACAGAAAATCTAAGTGAATACATGAGTCAGCCATACAATTTTAGGAATCTGGCTGTTTAGACTTCTGAGGATGAATACATTCACATAGTCTGAAAAATACACAGCCAAATACACAACCAAATAAACTAGGGATGCACCGAAATGAAAATTCTGGGCCGAAACTTCAGGATGCCCTTGGCCAAAAACCGAAACTTTTTTCCCCAAATGATTCTTAAAAAGTTTTTTTTCCTATAATTTTTTTAAAATTAGACTTTTTAAAGAATTTAATCTAATATGAAAAACTTCCCTTCTCTTTTAGTGTTCTAGCCCCCTTAATGTTCCTCTCCCCTCCCTCTTTTTTAGTGTTCTCTCCCCCCCAAGTCTGTCCCATAGTATTCTCTCTCCCCCAAGTCTGTCCCATAGTGTTCTCCCTCCCCCACCAAGTCTGTCCCATAGTGTTCTCCCTCCCACCAAGTCTGTCCCATAGTGTTCTCCCTCCCACCAAGTCTGTCCTATAGTGTTCTCCCTCCCACCAAGTCTGTCCCATAGTGTTCTCCCCTCCCTAAGTCTGTCCCATAGTGTTCTCCCCCTCCCCAAGTCTGTCCTATAGTGTTCTCCCCCCAAGTCTGTCCCATAGTGTTCTCCCCTGTCCCCCAAGTCTGTCCCATAGTGTTCTCCCCCCAAGTCTGTCCCATAGTGTTCTCCCAAGTCTGTCCCATAGTGTTTCTCCCCCAAGTCTGTCCCATAGTGTTCTCCCCCAAGTCTGTCCCATAGTGTTCTCCCCAAGTCTGTCCCATAGTGTTCTCCCCCCAAGTCTGTCCCAAGTCTGTCCCATAGTGTTCTCCCCCAAGTTGTCCTATAGTGTTCTTGCCTACACCTGTCCCATAATGATCTTTCCCCTCTGTACCTCCCCAAAAACCTAAAATAATATATATATATATATATATATATATATATATATATATATATATATATATATATATATATATATATATATTTTAACATCACTGGACTAATACGGCTACAATCTCTACTTGAACACTATATATACCATGTAATTATTATTATTTTTGACAAGTTTTCGGCCGAAACGGGATAGGCCCATTTTTGGCCAAAAATTTTGATGCATCCCTAAAATACACACATAATAAAGCATTGGTATAGACTTCAAAATGTTGCATTGTTAAATCAGCATAGTTAACTTCTGTGCAGGCCATTCGGTGTAAACTTGAAATTTCAACAATGCAACAGTAAGTGATCAGCCCTCTGTTTATATCAAATGGGTTCCATTAAATAGAATTAATTGTACACTATAGGTACCATAATCACTACAGCCTAAAGCGGCATTGTCACCCCTCCCTGAAAAATTAGTATTTTATAAAGATAGAATCTTATGAAATGCTCATAATATTCATTTGCAGGGAAATTAGCTCTTTCTATAGAGCTTTCTACAGTCTACATTTAGAGATCATTAGGGACAGAAAATGCTGACAATTTCATATTAATGCGACTGTTAAAAGGACACCCCATACAACTAAATGTGTGTAAGGAGTGATTTTTTTTCATTTTTACAAAAACTAAAAATTTTAATAGATAGTAGAACTTTTATAAATTAAGTGCATTCTAAATTATAAAGGCGGAGTAAAAAAATTAAACCATTGACTGCAAAGTATTTGACGTTTTACCAACATAACTGCTGTTTTGTGGATGTGCATTTCTCAAAAAAATTGTATTGGTTGTAAAAACAAAACAAAACCAAAAAACAACTAAATCTAATACATACACACATTTTTATTTATAAAAATATATATTATTTTTCTTTCCTCCTTCAACCTTTTTTGGCAGCTATTAGCTCAAGGCTTCTGTAAATTGTACAAACCCGACCAAAAGTTAAGTTATCTACATTAAGCTATAGTGATTATGATACCAGGAATGCCCTGGCACACCCCAACTTTAAATAGTCAAACTGTCTTTGATCAGATATATCTTAGCTGGAGTCTTCCTGTCTATATACACACATATACATACACACAAAGTACAATGCCCAGCATTAATAATGGTACCTTTATACTTAAGCCCCAATGTCACAACATAATTTCATCCTGATACTAATGCATCAATGATGCTACTATATGGGCAGCAATACAATTAAATTGCCTATTTTTATTATCAGAATTATATAATATTAAAAATCCAAACAGGCGAAGGAAATGTTAATGTATTTGAATGAAAATGGATAAAGCCATTCAAGACCACTGACACTGCATGCAGGCAATATATATTTGCGTCTCGAGAATGATCAGTTTATCAACTCAGGCTCAGAAGTAGGATTTAAAAAATAAAATAAAAATATATATATATATATTTAACAAGAAAAACCTATTACACACCATTAAAGAGGACCCTACTTAAACATGTAGTAAGGCACTCAATACCGAAAAAAAAAAAAAAGTCTTTTGTAGTTCAGTTGTGTTAATGGTATAAGGAATCACTGTTACTTAAGAGGTTAACCCTTCAGCAGCTATGCGATTAGTGTAATGCACGTGTATTACTACAAAGGGAACACGAGCAAATTAGGATTGGCTATAAAGTAAGGCCCTAAATATTTAATGGTCAAAGAGGCTTTGCTGCATTTTCCTTTGTTAAAAAGATGGCATTAAAATGAAAAATTTAAATTTTTTTTTTTTTTTTTTAAATCAACTTAAGGAGGTAATATCTGCATATGACATGGGTTTTCACGACACTTCAAAGAAAAGAAAAAAAAAAAATAATATAAGACAAAGGACTTCAATAACTGCACAAGGCTGTGAAAATACCTGCATGTTTGCCCTGGACAGACTGTCTCCACTACAAGGGTTTGGTATGCGAATTTTCTTTATGTTTTATTTTGTCTTTGAGAACAATCACAACATCCCCCTCCTTCCACCCCCCCCAACTACTGAATTTTACAGAGGTATTATAGTCCATAAATCAAAGCCTAAAACAGGTTTTAAAAAAAATGAAATAAAAAGCTGAAATATAAATTAGATGTTAAACTGGTCAGAGGTCATATAAAGGATAAACCATTATATTGGTATTTAAAGTGTTAAAATTCCAGCGATAATAGAAATTGCTAGGTAAAATGCAGCTAACCTTTCCATTTGGCTGATCTGTCCAAAATTGTTTCAATATTTTAACATTAATAACCATTTCTAATATTTTAAAGGGTTGCGAATGTAAGATACTTTAAATAGTTAATGAAGAAAATAATTAAACACATGTTTTTCACCTACCCTGCTTCAAAGGACAATTGCACAAGTTTAAAATTGTAGGTACAGTACAATTTTTTTATTTATTTTTTATTATTTAAATTATTGTCTATGAACCAGATTAAAGGGACACCATAAGCACCCAGACCACAACATCTTATTTAAATGGTCTGGGTGCAGTGACCCTATCTCCTTAACCCTGCAATTGTATTTATTGCAGTTATTGAGAAACTGCAAAAATTACCTTGCAGGGATAACTCCACCTCTAGTGACTCTCTACCAGACAGCCCATTATTCGCTAATTGACACTGGACGTCCTCACACTTTGCACTAGGACAGGGGTAGGCAACCTGTAGCAGGACTGTGCCGATATAGTATTGTGATGTCCCGATCCTATTTTTATAAATTGAGGTGTGTATGCTGCCGTATTCGGCTTTTGTTATTTTTACTGTAATTGCTTTGTATCGTGGTATTTGTGCGTATGTGAGCTATTATATTGTATATGTTCATTAGTAGTTTATGGTATCGTGTATGATACATATGAATGTGGGCTGCTTGTGGAATTGTGTGTGGATATGTCACATTGTGTGTTTGGTAGTGTCTGGGGCCTGTTTGGGGTATTGCATGTGAGGTTGTGTGCATATGTGTGGATTGTTAGTGGGCTGTTATTCTGCATTTCTGTGTATATCTAGCAGTGTGGGTGGCTTCCCTGGGTTCCAGTGGGGACCAGGCTGGCCAGGTACAGGTCAAGGACAGGAGCTGCAACACCAGCTGCGGGCTGCTCTACTACAGTGTGGATTCCCATTCACAAGAGCTGGGAAGAAGTGATCTGTGATCACTTCATCTATGTGCTGCAATGCATAAATTGAGGATTGTCCTTCACCATCTCTTCGTATTAGCAGATATCTGAAGTTTTACTAGGAATCCTGATAGGCCAGAGCCTGTTTGGCTCTAGCAGCACTGAGTGCCGTGCATGGCACTAGTGCCGTAGGTTGCCTACCCCTGCACTAGGACATCCAACGTACGCTAAAACCCAGTAGGTAAGCATTGATTCAATCTTTTCCTATGAGTTAGTCCTGGGGGAAGTGGTATGGGTACAGGGATCCTACAGTTTTAACTCTGCAATGTAAAAAACTGCAGTTTAGTAGAGACTGCAATGATTACAATGCTGGATTAAATAAGCCTCTAGTAGCCATCTTCCTGACTGACACTAGAGGCTCTTCCTACTCGTTGAATCAAATGCTGTTTTGGAGGAGCACAGAACTTTGCTGCCCATGCCTAGTTCCAATCCATGTATGCGGACATCATTGGTGGTGGAGCTGGAGGCTGCAGTGGAGGACTCTAGGCGCTAGAAACAAGGTACCGTATATACTCTACTATAAGCAGAGTTTTTCGGCACATTTTTTTGCTGAAAAAGCCCCACTCGGCTTATACTCGAGTCATGGTCTGTATTATGGCAACTTACATTGCCATAATACAGACCAGGACCGCCGGGCTCATAAGCCTGGCGGTCCTGTTTGGGGCCGGAGCTAGCTGTTACTTACCTTTGTAGCAGCTCCGGTCAGCTCCCTTCACCTCACAGCGTAAGTCTCGCGAGACCCACGGCTGTCAGAGTGTTGCCACGGCTTACCGTGGCAACGCTACGCACGGCACGCAGGCCGCAAGACTTACACTGTGAGCTGAACGGAGGTGAAGGGAGCTGACCGGAGCTGCTACAAAGATAAGTAACAGCTCACTCCCGCCCGCACCCCCCCCCCCCAGTAAAAAAATGAAATAAAAATAATTAAAATATTAAAATTTTTAAAAAATAATTAAATAATCAGCCAGCAGGGTTAACGCTTGTTTTGCAAAGTTTCTAGTTATGCAAGGTGCACAACTGCATAATTCTGGGTTCTAAATGCTGTCCAACACTTTGCTTTTACAGTCTGTTGATGCGAGGAAATCTCTGTCAGCATTTTCTTAGCGTCCTCTAAAGTGAGAGTGTTTTCATCCCTTAGTACTGTACGATATTATTGGTATTAAAAGATACATAATCTGATTTATTTTTGGCATTATTTTAATTTTAGAAGAACTAGACTAAAATATTAAAATAATAAATATGCCCTCCCCCCACCCAGTTTACACACATTTTAATGAACTAATTCAGATAAATGTTGGAGGGGGTGTGGACAGGTGGACTCATTTTGTCACATACTGTGGACATGTTCCAAGGTGGACTCACATTGGAAATCAGTCCACAAATTAATATATACAATCACAGATTCAATCCCCCAGTTGACCCCCGAAATGTGTGTTTAAAAGAATTCCAAATCACCTCCAAAACACCAAAAGTTATGTTAGGTCATATTTTAATTGCAACAATTACAACCATAACCAGATATTGGAAAACTAGGGACTTGCCAGATGTTAAAGATATTTTTATACTCCATTCTAGATAATAAACATCACAAATTAATCTACCGTGTATACGCTGAAAATAATATTTTAAGACAAGAATGGAATGAATGGGAAAAAAAGTTCGAAGCAAATAAAATTTAGTAATAGGATATCCATTTAACCAAACTATGTAAATATATACTGTTAATATTGCAACTACGTTCTGTCATTTTGTAAACAGGATATATTAAATAATTAAAATTTTAATTTTTAAGGATGATTTTACATATTTTTATAAATTTTTATTGTTTAGTTTCTTTTTATTATCCCCCCAGTTTTATTTTATTTTTCATAATTTTTAATTTGTTTTTATTGTCATTATATTGTTGGTAACTTTGTAGACTCGTTAAAACTCAAGTATTAACAATAAACATATCGACAACGCACATTGATATTACATGTATATATATTTGAAAAACTCAAAAATATTTGAAAAAGAAGTTTGCCTATTCATGCAAAACACATCTGATTAAGTGACACAAAGTATGCCACATTAAAACAAAATATATATACACACACTGAGGAAAATGCACTCACAGGACTCAGTAGACAAATTTTCAAACATTTATTGTGTCCTGTAAGTGCACTTTCCTCGGAATGAATATATATATATATATATATATATATATATATATATTCTCCAAAAAGAAAGCCAGCACTCAAGGACTTCAACAAGATCTGGAGTGCAAAACTGCCACCGTAACTGTCTGTATTGTATTTGTTGAACTATAACCTTAAGTTAACGGTTTAGACACAGGAAAGGATGGTACACGGATTTTATTTTATTTTGTCCTGCGTTTGTTCGTATTAAAACCTACTGTGGCATAACTAGCCATTTTGCTTCAACCAAGACAATGTAAAGTGTTGTAAAAAGCATTTAGATTGATTTTGGAGACAATTATGGAATAATCTACTTTATGTCTATGATAAATGATTATTTTTAAAGCTATTCTGAGACAATATCGAAAAGTACACCAGGGATTAACACCGCAGATTTAACATAATTCCCACAATAAGTTCTGTACGCGTTGTTATATCATTTTTATCCAATACATTGTCCCGTGCAAGCACTGAACATTCCTAAATATTTTTTGCATAAACTTACTAAAGGTAGCTTTGTGTAATGTAGATTGAGAAAAATTGGATGTGCTCTCGCTTTACTAGGAGAGATTCATCCCATCATTATAATGGAACAGGAGTTTCATGTATAGCGACTTTTTATAACCATCATTCTCAATGCATGTTCAGCTGCTATGGGACATATAATTGCTGCTCCAAACCAGATCCCAACCCCCCCTTTAAATTACAATTACCAAAGCAGATTAACTCATCCATAACAAGAAAGGAGAAAAAAAAAATACAAACTAAAATCAGCGCTGGCTTCTGTTTTATTATTTTTCTTATTATTTTTACATTTTATCCTCCTCTGTCAGAGTCTGGCGCCAGCTGAGAACAGTAAATAATAAACTTGGGCTGAGGCTTGAACTGCAGACTCACTAATGACATATGACTTTCATATGCCCTCTGCTTTTAATGTGTGGAATTTGGATATTCAGGTGATGCATTGTTTTCACAGGTTACATCCTCGGCAGTGTGAAGGTTTCTTCTAAAGCTGATGACAGAGCAGTCATTGCAACCAAACTCAAGTTTTTTGTTTTTTTTAAATGCTTTGCTATACCCAGAGTCTAAACAACCCTTCTGTTTGTCATGATTGATTTAAAAAAAAAAAAAAAAAAAGAGCAAACAGTCACCCCCCTCCCCCACACAAAAATGTAATTTTATATAGCAATAAATTATGCATTTTGATTCATTATGGCCTACACAATTTTAAAGGGACACTATAGTCAGCAGAACAACTATATAATGTAGTTGTTCTGGTGAGTATAGTCCGTCCCTGCAGGTGTTTTGCTGTAAACACTGCCTTTTTATGGAAAAGGCATTGTTTACATTAAAACTTAGGGACACCTCCAGTGGCCACTGGAGGTGCTTCCTGGGCCAGTCGTGCATCTTGTTCAGCAATGACTTTCATCATCTCCACGCTCTGCATGGAGACGTTGAACTTTTTCCCATAGAGATGCACGGACTCAATGATTGGCCAGGCTGGCATTTGGCGTTGGGAGGGGTGGCAAGCCACCGTAATGGTGATTTTAACACATTTGTGTTTATGACCCTATAGACTTCCTTTAAATAATTTAAATCCTAAGTAAGGCTAAAAACCAGTACAAAGTAACAACACTGAAACTATGGAATATCATTACTTATTTACATTTGTATTAAAGGAATATAAAGTTAGAAATAAAGTTCTCCTAATTACTACAGACGGCACCCTGGTAAATAAATAAATCAGAGCTTTATTACTTACCTTTAGTCACACGGAGCGCTGGCTCCATTTGGCCATCGTTCTTTACCTGGCTCAGTACATTGCTGATTATCTCAGCCATTACAATGTTTTCGCATTGTTCCACTATGGACAAACGTATTGCGACAGTGCACCATTAAACCTACAGAATATATATATATATATATATCTATATATATATCTATATCTATCTCTCTCAAATTCCCTGCAGCAATCACTTTTGACGGCTGGGAGACAGACACTTCTACCAGTGGCAGCTCCGCCCAGTGTCTAGAAAAAATACTGAGACAAAGTAGTCCCTACTTTGTCTCAGTATATCTTTTGACTGGGTTGAAATTTAAGAGAGTCAAATTTTAGAATGCATTGTATTTTGTGATCAAGTTTGTACTTTCTATGATTGAGGAAATAGAAAGGCACCCTGAGGGTTTTACAAAATTAAGTTGCATATGTATCAAATAAGTAAATTGAATCTGGAAAATATATTTTGGATAGATTGCAGCTAAGTGGTCAAAAGAGCACAAACAAGTATTCCTGATCCTATAGTGAAAATTCACCATTTAGGTGGCTTGCCCCCTACCTTACCCTCCCACAGACCCCCAGAATGGGATAAAGGGACACTATAGTTACTCTGACCACTTCAGCTTCCGGATAGCCACTAGAGGCGCATCTGCGATGCTGGAGGCATATTTTGCCTCCATCGCGCAGAGCGTCCATAGGAAAGCATTGAGAAATGCTTTCATATGGACACTTTAAATACGCGCGCGGCACTTGTCGCGCATGCGGCTCCACTGATGTCAGATGGGGGAGCTGAAGTCGTCAACGGGGGAGGAGAGGTCACCAGCGCTGAGGGAGGCCGGCGCTGGATTAAGGTAAGTAACTGAATCAATGCATCTCTATGAGGAAAATTCAACGTCCCCATGCAGAGCGTGGGGAAGCTGAATAACAGGGCTGAATAACAGGAAGCCCCTGCATTGGACATCTGAGGAGTGGCCACTTGGAGGTATCCCTAGGGGCAATGTAAACACTGCCTTTTCTCTGAAAAGGCAGTGTTTACATGAAAATGCCTGAAGGAGCGGTTATACTCACCAGAACAACTACATTAAGTTGTAGTTGTTCTGGTGACTATAGTGTCCCTTTAATATTGCCAAGTATTGGTATGCCAAACAAAAGACGGTTGCATTCTGGAAAATAAACAGAGTATCCAAGTATTATAACCACTGCAATCTGCTGGCAATCTGTTGTTGTGGTTTTGGGGAAAGGGAAAAAACATTTTGAAATGGTTTGCCACTCCATTACCTTGGTCTCACCAGGCTCCAAGCCTCCTTTCATTCTGAATAAACAGCATCTAGCTGATGTAGAACTGCACAAGCCTAATGCTGATCGAACCACTTATTCACTGGGTAAGTGTGTGCGAACAGAACATCAGCCAGCCCATCATTTTTGCTCTGGGGCAGTCTACTGAAAAGGTGCATATACATTGCCCTTGCACCATGATCACTACAAAACACTGAAGCGGTCATGGTGTTTAGTAATACATTATTAAGTGGTGGTGTTGAAGTTAAGGGTAACCACATATTTAGCAATTATGAAGTAGAAAAAAACAAAACAAAAAAACAAAACAAAAACATTTGTTCTGTTTTAGAAACCATGTTTCCCGTATCAGTGTTCCAGGAGGGCCAACACGTAACTGGAGACATGGTACACAAGTGGCATCACTAACATATAGATTGATAGAGGAAGCCAAGTTTACAGCAGCGACAATTTGCCATTGTGGGAAATATAAAGCCGACTGAGGAAGCCTGTTGTATCAGGCGAAACGCGTTTTGGCAACTTTAAAGCATTTTAAGGGACTATATAGCCCTATTTAAGTTTTTAACTATCTTTAATTTAATAATTCTTTTATTTTATTTGAATATAAAAAAAATTATACTTTTGTGGAAACCCATTGCTGATTTGACAGCCTTTGTCTGTGAGTGACCACCAACAGAGCCCTGCATGGAAAAAGGATTTTGGACATCCTGGAATGGTCCAAAGGCACACACCATTCGAGTCATATGAGATTATGACTCCAGGCTTGTGAGTGGATAACCTGCAGCATATATATTTTTAATCATATTTACATTACTGTATTGCACTATGGTCTCAATTTTATTTTACAGAATATCTGTTATACTACTGTTTTAAGAATCTCCACCTGATTTATGTATGTATATTGTGGGACATCACCAGCAATTTTAAGAGGCCATTACATAATGCCAACGGTGGAATGATACATGGCATAATATTGGTATTACAGACACAAGCCAAGAAAGAATTCCACCAATTTGCACCCTTTTCATACAATGGTTTAAGGCTTTATTTGCTTTCGCATGAGTATATGAGTATTTGAATGCACATCTGTGTGTGAACAACATTACCATATAAATACATGGACCAGTCTAATGATACAGATTTACAAGTTCAACATTACACTTATGCACCTTAACATAAAACTAATCTAACAGCATGAATTTGTATAGCTTATTTCAGGGGTTCCCAATTAATTTTTCCAGTGGAACCCTTTGACATAGTGTATCATCATCGTTGAACCCCCATCCAAAAATATCGGACACACATACACACTGACACAGTGTATGTGTGTGTGTGTGTGTGTGTGTGTGTGTGTGTGTGTGTATCAGTGTGCATGTGTATATATGTATCTGACACAGATACACACATCTTGACTCACAAATACACACAGTGACATATACATACACTTGCACCCACAGATACACACTGGCACATACAAACACACTGATACACACTTAGATACACAGTGACACATGCACAAACCTTGACACAGACACACATACAAACATATACTCTTACTGACAAGAACACTGACAAACACACACATACAATTTTTATTTATTTTTTTACATTTTACTCCACCCAGCTCCCCTACCTTTAGGAGTGCTGGCATGGAGTCCCTTGAGACCAGTGGGGCTGCTGAACGGCTGGCGTGCGAGGGAGCGGTGAGCTCCTTGCGCGCATCTTAGTGATGCCGGAGTGACGTCATGTTCCGGCTCCAGCATCACTGCTGTGCGTGTGAGGGAGCTGAGCAGGGAGATCACCGCTCACTGCTCCCTCGCCGCCCGTGGCCATTTTGTTTTTTAAACTTTTGGAGTAACCCCAATTGGTGTTCTGTAGAACCCCAGAGTTCCGCGGAACACCAATTGGGAAACGCTGGCTTAGTTGTATCAGTAACTGCAAATAACTAGACTTTCAAATTTCATTCGGAAGGGAAATGCCCTAAAATAGGTCTTGACAAATTTTCTTGGAATCTATGAGCCAGCTTAAAAAGCTATCAGCCAGGTATTTATTATTTTTGTTAACCAACAAAGCTTTATTTTCAACAACAAAATTGTAATTCTTACAGGAACACTATAGTCACCAGAACCACTACAGCTCAACATAGTGGTTCTGGTGTATATAGCTTGTCCCTGCAGGCAGTATTTACATCTAGTGCCAGTCACTAGAGGTGTTTCCAAGTCCAGTGCTGCTCTGCATAGAGGCGCTGAATGTTCGCCTCTTTGATTCAATGCATCTCTATGAGGAGATGCTGATCGCTGTAGCACTGTTTTGTTGCGCATCTGCAATAGCCTCCAATGAGATCATCAAAATTGATTCTCAGCATTGTAGGAGGAGCCAGCCAATGCAAAACAGGCATGGTGTCAGGAAAAGGGTGAGTAAAGACACCTTTCATGCAATAAGAGCGAAGTGGTCACCTAAACAGACAGTCACTGACAGACAGACATTCCTTTTACACACTTTATTTGCCCTCCAGCCTCCCTACCATTGGGAGAGCTGGAGAAGATCCTTTCCATGGGGTTCAGTGTGGCTACTTTGGCCATAAATTTTAAATTCACTTTTAATTCTCTCTTTAGTAATAACCCTGTCTGTTTTCAGGTTATGTCCACTACAGATGTTGAGATATATTCTATATATAATCGTTTTCTTTCTTTTAACTTTTCCCATTTTGTTCAGCCTTTTTTCTGGTCTGTTACTTCTTAACTACTCCCGTGAAGTCTTGACTCTCCCAGGAGTGAATGTGACCTTTTTTGTGTTTTGGAAAAGTGGTAATACCTACTGATAAACCAAGAATATTAATAGCGGCCAAAACACATAATGCACGGCTTCACACGAGTGATCTTTAACTAGAAACTACCAAATCAAATAATATTTCTTGACTTTTTTTTGTTTATTAGAGAGAGCAATAAAATTACATATACTCAACTAGCTTTCAGAATACTAAAAGCTCTGATTTACTGCACAAAATAAATAAAAATAAAAAAAAAAAAAATAAAAATAGCTTGGGTTTCATCATTTCAAGTTTGCCCGCTTAGAGAACTATTTTAACAATAAAACTGTCAAACATACTATGCAAATCTGATGTTCTACATAAAAATAGCAATGCTGCACAAAGGCTGGTTGAAAAAACAAATGTACAGTAATTTGTTTTGTATTTATTTTTTTACACACAGAGTGCTGCTCCAGTTATACTTGGTAAAAGCAGCACTGAGAAGACAATAAAGGTCTATTTGGGGAGCTCCGATTATCTCTATTTCTGTAAAGGGACTGACTGGGGTCTTAATATTATGCATCCAGTTGAGAAAAACTGGGACCAGGTTTTTGGGTTCTGACTTGGAGGGTAAGTTGGACAGAAGTAAGTTATGGTGAGAACAAGGATTTTGCCGAAAAGAAGCCAAGTCCTGGGGTGAATCCCCTAAAAACAGTCCCGAGGTGAATCCCTCTAACACAAAAAAACGAAATAAACAAAACAAACTACTTCTAGGAAGAAAATTATGAGTAGGTTTCTTACGAATTTCTAGGGTTAATGAACACACTCATAATAAACAAATAATATATATTTCTCTCTATCAAGGAGGAAAGAGAAAGGCCTCTAAATATATGTTAAATAAGGCAGTAAAACAATTCACACGCTACTCATCGTACCACCCAAAGAACACAATCACACTGGTTTGGAAGAGGCAGTATTTGCCCATTGAATAGAAGATCCACTTGTGTAATGGAGCATTCCCTGCCGTACACATACTGTGATTTACCACAGGCATAAGAAGGATATAGAACAAATCTTTTATTTAGAGCACAAATTATATACTTTGTACATTCTATTGTTTTCTGCTTTCAAATCAAGCCATTTGTTTTACTAATTATATCTAATGAAGAGAGAGAGAGAGAAAAAAAGGAAAGACAGCTAAGCAAAACATTAGCAACAAACCCTAGAAAACTTTAAACAAACGTTAGATCTAGGGTTGGAAAGGCTCCTGACAAATACCAAGGGAATAAAGCCTCCCTAAAAACACTGTGCCACTAATACTCTCCAGATTTGCTGGGTCTGCATTGAAACATCACCAGAAAATGTTTACATTCATTCAGGGTTCACATGGAAGGTCACAGCATGAAAAGGCCCTGGAATTAAATTGCAACAGTGTAAAATAATTTTTCTCCTCATTTAAACAGTTCTAGCAAATAATGCTTTTCAAAATATTGCACACTATTATTACTGTACCGACTCTTAACGTAGCCTAACCCCATTTAATTTTATGGTCCACCTCCCCACTCCACAAGTCCTTTGTGTACCCCCAAACAGCTTTTGTTTTTGCTAAGGTTTGCGGTGCTGGGTCCTTCACCCCAAGGTGCCGCAATCTTCAAGTTACTGGCACTGATGTACTGTCATTGCCTTCATATGCCGAGAGTATGCATCAAGACTTGACTCACGCACACATACATGATTGGAGACCAGTCATGCCATTCTGTGCGGCACGTGGAAATGATAAGTGGTGATCTTGCTAGTTTACAGTGAAAGGACTGGATGGGAAGATTTGCATTATGTGTAAAACATTTTTTTTTTAGAGCTGACCTCTTACTATTACGGTCACAATTATGTTTTTCAGCGATTTGAGCTAGAGTAGCCGATCTTCGTGATTGGACCAGAAGGCTAGTCTTCACACGCCATATGCATCAATGAGTCTTGGGAGCCCATGGCACTGATGCTGGCTTACCTGTAGTCCTTCCTTGCACCACTTTTGGTAGGTACTAGAAAATGCATTCCAGAACACTCCACAAGACTTGACTTTTTTGAGATGCACTGACCCAGTAATTTAACCATTGCACTGGATGTTACCTACCCTGTATAGGGAAACATTGAAAGCCCATTCCATTCTGATGTCAGATTCAAGAATTGTCCCTAGCACCTGCTCGACAGCCAAAAGAAAGTGTGGGCACTAAAATGTAAATAGTGCTGCTTCCCCAAGACTGCACAGTTTTCGTTTGCATGGCTGCTGGGCAGCATATAGGACCCAAAATCTTTAGAGGGAGATGACGTTAATTTGGTCCTAAAAAACTGTCCCTTGGCAATCTACACTTTCACCACTTTGACTCCCTTGTACAAAAGTACACAATGTACAATTGCATAAGAATGTTAGATCTACAGAAGAGATAAGCAAAAGTATGCAATGTATTCACTTCCGCACATATACCAGACATTTTCATATTGTAGACTAATAAGGATGTAAAAGCATTACAATTTCTGACTGATAATCCTAAACAACACCCTTTAAGTTCATCATTAAGCTGTAAATCATAACTTGACACAATGACAGTCATTGGAATAGCATGTAGAAATATATAGATCGTAATCAGAGTACATGTGCAATGATAGTCTCCATGTTATTGTCAGATTATTTTTGCATCTGAACATTTCAAGGTGCAATGCCACTTCCCCTGAAAAGTTAGTATTTCATAAATATAGAATCTTTATTTAATACTCATATTGACTGTGTTGGAATTTCACTGAAATTCCATCCCTGTCAAAAGCTATACTGAGACAAAAGTAAGGAGACTGGGCGGAGCTACCGCCATTTAGAAGTGTCAATCCCCCAAGATGTCACCAATGATGGCTGCAGGGACTAGACTATGGAGAATCAGCAAGGCTCACAGGATCCTCCACAAACTTCAATGCTCTACTCATGTGCATGCATTACAGTACAGCAGTGACATCGGCTCCTACTGGTTAAGGAGCAGAAGAGAAAATGCCAGAAGAAGACGACAACAGTGCGAACAAGGGACATGTCCAGATTCACATTTGCCTGCACACACACCCCACCCGTAATGATGAGCATATGAGTCTGAAAATTAAACTATACAGTATTTTACAGCGTGCTGGATTGACATTCCACTAAAAAGAGCCGAAAGACATCTGTTTCAGGAAGACTGATAACTTGCGCCAAAGGGGTTAACTAGCACTTCATAATGAATATAAATACACACACACGTAATGTAGACAAGCCTTTTCTCTTAAAAAATGAATTAACCCACTGGAGAGGGTAAAAATGCAGGCTGTTTTCCATTTCATTACTTGAAGCACACAAGAAATCAATGCAATCAGATGGATGCTTTGTGGGTGACACAGGGAGCGTTCAATCATTTATCAGTTATATCTGTAAACTGATAAGAGAAGAGCTTAGGGTAATATTACACATGCAAACACAATACCAGCTTGAAGGCAAGTGCTTACTCCCTAAAGCAATAAAATCACCGCAGATAAGTGAAACTATCCAAAAACGTAATTTAATGGACTGTATTCTGATTAGCAAAGAAAAGCGGGGGGGCAGAGAGAATAATTTTTTTTATTTAATAAAAAAAAAAAGCCAAGTGCCAGCAAATATATTAACAATGGCCAGGCATAGAAATTAAGTAATAATCATTAAAACATATACATTTCCAGGATAAATGAGAAAAACACTTACATCGTAAGCCTTGCATACCTTTCACAAATATTAAAACCGACTTCAATAACAAAATTATTACTGGAAATAAAAGATGACATGTAATCTAGCGTCTCTCTGCATTAATTTACAACAAACACATTTATCTTACATCTTCTATACATCTTTTCATTGCATCTTCTGGCTAGCTCTTTTGTTATGAGGCAGCCATTGTTAAGTCCTCTTGGTCAAAAGCACTACTTATTTTCCAAGATTATGCATACATTGAATGGCACATGATGTCACTGCCCCTTGATTACCTGCATGATCTATTATTAAAATATGTGCCAACGATCAAAGAGGACATAAAGATGGCTGCCTCCAAAGAGCTAGTGAAAGTCAGAAGACAAAAAAGTTATTTACTTGTTTGAATTAGTTTGTGTATTTTGTGATGCATACATATAACCTCCAATTATCTTGGCATTTCTACCCAAGCAACCCACCTCACCCTCTTCCCCCTTAAAAACAATTTTGCGCCGTTGTATAAACCTTTTTATTGTATGTGCCAGTGGGTGTGTGTGTGTGTGTATATATATATATATATATATATATATATATATATATATATATATATATATATATATATATATATATATATATATATATATATATATATATGCATCTGGCACACAGGTACACACCTTGACACGCAGTGTATGTATTTATGTGTGTGTGTGTGTGTGTGTGTCTGTCTTAGATGCCCGCGGCACCTGACCGGACCCCTGTTTAGCGATACCCATCGGGTGGCCCTAAAGGCTTGGGCCACCTGGCTGGCAAATCGCTGCGGACCACCAATTTTGTTCTTGCGGAACACTAATTGGGTCTAGAGTGTCACTTTGAAAGGACAATCGTAACTTTTTTTTTTTACGCAAACCAATTGAGTCTTTCTACGAGGCATTTAAAATAAACTCCATATACCCCCTGGCTCTAACACTTTCTATGACGGCACCTTGATCTTTGTTATATTCCACCGATAGTAGACACTAAAAGCTTGGCTCAAAGCTGAACACATAATGATGTGTGTCCATGTTTGAGAAGCGATCATTTGATATGGTGACCGGGTTCATTTACAGAACATAAAGAAACATTTAGGAGAAATGCTGCCCCAAACTCAGAAAGCCTGAATTTGCAAATTGTTTTACTAATCTCAGAGGATTTTTTTTTTTACACACAGATTTGTTTCTTGCAAAACTGGTGGGTCAGTTTACTATTGCTGCAAAATAAAGTTTCTAATACATTGCCAACCCAATAAGCTGCAATTCTTCACTAAATTCTGATAATATTACAAAACAGGTCGCTGTGGGTCTTTAAACGCAACTGTTTACTTTACTAAAATTAATCTTAATAGAGTTTGCTGTAATTTTGTTGAATCTTTTGTCTATGCCCATGTTTGTGTGTATTTATTTATTTTCTAAATAGTTGTACAATAACACAAAAAATCCTACCTTTTGAGATACAACACTATTTATTATGGAGCCAAAGAAGCATTCTCCATCTAAATTTATTAAGAATAAAGAACACTGAGCTGCTCAATGTGTTGTAGTATGATTTCCTATATAAATAAAGTTTGTATGATAGATGCAAACATCAACAGTAGTAGTCATAACACGTTTTAAATGTTACCCAATCTAGAAGCAACGTATGTGATCTTCCTAGCCTGCGAACACTTACACGTGATGTGTGAGCCTTTTACTGATTTTGACAGAGGATGTGGGAGACTGTTTAGTCTCTAAGACTCAAGTCTTGGAAACTTCTGAAGATCTGTGGAGCAGGGGGTGGCGGCAGTAAAGACACGTATTCCTCAGAGAGGAAAAAGACCTGCATGTACCTCCATGTAACAGAAAAGAAAAAAGAGAGAGAGAAGGGGGAGGAAATAACTGACATGCAATGAAAGAAAAAGGCACCAAAATAGAGACGGGCAGGAATGCACACAAGTAAGATGAAATGAAGGAAAAGACGGGGAGAAACATCAGAAAATATTGTTTGAGGAGAAGACTGAAGAAGAGAGCATGATAAATACAAACAGCTAGCACTTAAAGGGATACTATAGTGTAAGGATTACAAAGCTATCTGATTGACAGCCACTAGAGGCACTCTTATTCCTGTAAGGTAATCCTTGTAGTTTCTAAAAAAAACTAATGATTTACATTGCAGGAATAGGGGGGACAGGAACAATGCATCCAGACCACTTCAATTAAATCATAGTTACTTACTAGACTGCAAATGGTAAGTATTTCAAATAACCAGCACCATAGCCATTACACCCATTCCGGTTTAGCTATATATATTTGGACATTATGACAATCCTAAGATCACACTATTGGTAGCCAATGTTACCATATTTACAAATAAAATGAAGTAAAAATACAGTTGAACGTTGAAATAAATACTTTACCATCACCGGCTCGTTTACTACAAAATCAAGGATGCCAACGCTAATTTTGAGCAGAGGATACACAGAACAATAGAATTCAAATAATTTGTTCCTGTTTCATACGTAGTGGAAAGCGGTAAACCTACTCCGAAATAAGACTGATTGGTATGCGCCATTTGTGACAGTGTTGCTTCTTTTGCACCCTAAGTGGCATTTACAACATACTTTTAGTGACACACCCAGGACACAAACAGGACTTTACAATAGCCTTCCGCAAGGAGAAGAAGATCTCATAGAAAATGATAACAGATTGGTAGAATCACAGGAAGACAGAAACTAAGAGCAAGGGTCAACATAGAAAGAAAGGTAGAAAAGGGGGCATATAGAAATGGGGCTTTGATGAAGAAAGGGTATATATGAAGATGGCATGGATAAGGAAAGGGTGTACAAAAGGGACGACCAAGTGGCATAGATGAGGAGAAATAGGGGCAGTGGTGCGCATACACTCCTGCATGCATACGCACGCACATTTCATACAAATACATCAGTGCATTTACACAACTACACCCCTGCATTTATGAACACACTTACACTTCACCTATACATTCCTGCATTCACAGACACACCAGTCCTCAGGGTCGTATTTATGCATGGGCACGCTGGGCAGTTGCACTTAGGGAACACATTGTGATACAAAGCAAATACACAAAAATAAGTCCTGCATTAGTGTTTCCTATTAAGGGTTAATAAGTATGTAGTGGTTTAGAAAAATACCTCTCTCTTTCGAGATTTTGTTTACCTAAAGCTGAAGGAAGCAAGGTGAATTGTTAGCGTAGGACCCACCTAAGAGGTTTGCCTTGACGTGGCTTATACCTAATGGCCATTTTAGTGGAACTAAAAACCTCTTTTTAAATAAACATAGGGATTTGGGATTGTGTTCTAGTAACTCTTATTTGTGTTTTATTGTATTTATTTGGGCTGATTGCTGCCGCTCAGGAGTAGTGGAAGTCTGAGCGCTGGACTTATTTTTGTGTATTAAATTAAAAGAAAAATGCAAAACTCCACTTATCTACAATATCGATCAGATGTAGTAACCTCAGATTTGTTATCAAAAATAAACTTGAACATTTTTTCTATTTGCAAAAAATAATTTTTCTGGGAAACCATGATCACATGAAAAGAAAAAAAAAGAAAAAAAAAAAAAGAAAAAAAAAAGAAAAAAAAAAAGAATATAGTGATCCACAAACTGCCAGGGACACTCATTAAGCTGGCAATGGCCTTCTTGCCAACTTACTTTGAACAGATATTAATCCTTTGGCGTCAGCAAGGTAAACAGAATAATTGCAGACTTTTATTTTTTTTACAAGAATGCTTTAACATTTTATGTGGAAGGACAATTTAATAGTTATAGCAGAGCTGTCAGATGGAGAAAATGAAAGGGGGTGGAGGGTTAAAAAAAAAAACCAAGTAACTAAACATGAAGAGAAAGGAGAAAATAAATAAAAATGGGCATCTATGCGGTTCTCTGCCATTTCAGTTTTATCATGGAGTAATACAGAGAGTGAATGTCATACATCTTTATTTCAAGAGTTCCATAGCATTACAGGTTGGTTGAGATCTCATGAAATAATTTCACGATTAAAAGCGATTTTGTCACCTTGAAGGAGGTTATATTTAATTGAGGTTGCCCCCATGTTTCTTCTTCAGCTCCATGAGCTAAGTCAGTGCTCTACTTTGCACGTGCATGAGAGTGCAACTCTGATGTCTATGTGTGATCCCAAATGAGCCTCCATGGATCATGTCTTGCAAGTGACGGCTGTGGGAAAAGACACAGCTAGACAGTAGAAGCTCTGCCGTTTGCCAAGTTACACATTCACATTACAAGTAATTGCTTACCATCATATAGATCTGGGACGTATAGGTGGTGACTGAGCACACCCCTAAAGGATTACTATAACCCCTTTCACCGTAACTAATTTTTTTTTTAACATTTAACCTTTTGAACCATGTCCACTAGAATCGCACAACCCCTGGCACACAAAAAGTGCAGATAACTCCATATGCGCAGGGTTTCAAGCTAACTAAAACACTGCACATACATATAATCCTACCACCATGACCACTTCAACAGGGCACGTGATTAGCATATATGAGATCATATGAAAGCACATTCAATATATTGGAGCTAAAGGCCATGGGAGTCAAACCGTATGAAAGTTTATGTTTAATAACAAATAATCACTTTTTGCTGCCAGTGGATATCTCCGACTTAAAATCATTCATTTTATTTAAAATAAACACAGGCTTCCTTCATATTAAGCAGAGGCAGCCAAATTGTAAAAGATGATCTGCTCTGCCACCAGTTTGGTGGGTGAAGGTGACACATCTGGAAGATGGATGCACAAGAGAGGATTCCTGGCAATCAATCAATAAAGATGGTTTAATTGGTTTATTGTCCCTGCAGGTTTCTTATCTGCTTGTACAGACACAGGCTTGGTTTGCAACCTGGGGAGAATACATATAAAGCTCAGGTTTTTACTCTGAGAGACTGGATCCAATGTTACAAGGAAAGGCCATTAAAATCCCCCACATATGTCAGTGCTATATTATTCAAATATTCATACACAAGAATCATCATACCTGGAAACATATGCACTCACATTTATTGGAATAAAACATTTTTCTCTGCTCTCTTAAAAACCTGCTGTGTCTTACAGAAACACCCTGTAGAACAGCAAAACTAACAGTAAAAATCTGAAAGGATTACCTTTGCTTGCCAAGTGATATACCACATCAATAGCAGTGCCAACATATTCCATAGTGCCAAAAAGAAATTAAAAACATTGAGATTTTAAATGGAGATTTAGTCATTCCGAAAATGAAGTGGCTATGCAGTCCTTGAAAAATTGGATTGCTATATAACTGTTGGGAATATAGAAGACCAAAGAGTTTCACTGAAAGGTGAAAAGGTCAATTTCGGTGGTAAATTCCAAATGATTGCCATAGGCAAACCAATCTGCTACTGCACACACCAATATAATGAAGACCAGTGTTACCTTGTTAACAACTACTAAACAAAAGAAAAAGGTTACCGAGGAATAAATTCTTATGGGATGATGTAGTCTAAACTTATTTAGCTTTCAAATATTGTAAAAATAGGATTTTAACATATCAAATTTAATAAAGTAATATAAATCCAAGATGAAACAGATTTCATAAACAACTTTAGCTAGATTTTAAATACATTCTATGAAGATATATTTTAATTATTTTAATGAAGGAGTTAGGACATGCTGTAATGATTATTTTAATTAGTGGTTTAACCCCTTGAAGCAAGATGACAGCAGAGAACCTCATTGCACCATAATATTTTGACTCTGAAAAGTTGTAAAGTCTTGAACCCGGCATCCATTAGCTTTTCCAATTAACATCTGCTGAAGTCTGAGGCTTAAATTTAGAACCATCGCACAGAGCCGTTGATATACACTACAATCCCCATTCAGAAAACCTAGTGAGAAACAAACTAATTTTTCCTCACTCCATTTTGTGAATGGGGAGCGACTAACCAGCTTTGAGTGTCAGCTGATGACTCAAGCCTCAGTTTGCAGTAAATGTTTGTGGGATGAGGTAACAGGCACCAGATTTTTTTTAGGTTAAAATTAAATGGTTTAACCCTTTCAGGTAAGCCAGCCTCTGAAGATCATAGTATTTATTGTTTTTTTTTTTTTTTAAAGGACAGAAAGCGATTTATTTTAATTCCCTATATGTATACCTAACGCAACATTAATTGTGAATAAAATGTTAAAAATGGGGGAGGAAAACAAAAACTACACATCCGTGCAACTACATAAAAACAAAAAAATAAAAAACAACTCAAAATAGCTTCACATATCAGTCATGATAGTTAAATGCCTAATAGGACTAGAATCTAAGTTAGCTTTTGGCAGTTAATACTAACCCTATACCAACAACTCTAACTCTGTACCAATCATAGCATTTATCCTGTGCTTACACTAACCATACACATAATCTACTCCTTAACCTTACATTATCCCCAACACTACAACAACAATAACCCAACACTAACCCTAAAACAAACTAACCCTACAACAAGCCCCAAGAAAACCCTCCTTTAATGTCAGTACGGATATCAGCATTTGTGTTTCGTAGTTAAAACAGCAGTTGCTGCCATCTACTGGCTTTTTTCAGTATTAGATTTTCAGGTATTACTAAATCAAGCATGCTTTTCCAGCTAATTACATGGTGATGGATTTAACCCTGCTCACACTGCATCACTGCCAATGGGAATTTCAATCTCCATTTAAAGAGCTGCATGCCGCGCTGAATTGCAGCTCACATGTCCGTATGGGGCCACTAAAAATAGCCCTGATAGAGGGAGGCCGCAAGTATCAATTGAGGAAGGATCTAACCATGCTCACACCAACACAGGATGCGTCATTACACCCTAATGGCATTGAAGCCCAGTATAGTTAGGACTTAGTGACACGTCCGAATGTTAAAGGGTAATACCTACAGAACAAGGATTAATGTACAGCTGTATTTATCAGCCTCAATGTTTTAATTACATTTTCATATAAATGTATACTTAAGTGTAGTAACAGAATGCCATTTACACTTACCCACATCCTTTTGCCTGGGTTTTCTCCTCCTTAGTTCTTGTTAAGATTTAGCATAAAGGGACATATCAAGCTCTAAACAATTTGCCCAAAAATGAATTACTAGCAATGGATAATGTTGATATTAACTATGATTTTGTTCCTGAAAATAGCAGTGTAGTTTTATACCCTGAGATTAAAAAAAAAACAAAAACACACACAACACACCTTACAAATCCATTAGGAACATTTTAGTTGAGGGAAGAGGGGAGATAATCAAAGATCCAGAAACACATACAGGTACTTAGCCATCCAAACAACTATACGCTTAAGGTTTAATGTACAGCAAGCAATAATGGAAGTGAAGACGTTATAAATTTTAATTACAATGAATTAACTTAACCAAGCAATGCAATTCCTTCCAGTCAGACACTTTTTAGCCTTCTTCAAACGTTTGCAACAGCACTCCTAGCCTCAACATTATCAGTGCATTTATCACAGCATTACCACCCGCGCCAGCTCTGTGAGCCAGAACTGTATGCTCAATGCCTTATTTGTATTCAGCAGGCCAACCTTTGCATTCTGCACCAGGTTCTTTAAATTCTGTTTTCCAGGAGAAATCCTTGCAACTTTGCAAAGTAATCACTCTTGCACGGTCTAGATTAGATTTTAACTTGTTAAAAAGCTATAAAACCCATTCACCAAGTTAGAAAGCTACAATAAAAAAAAAATATTTATAAACTTGCCAATATAAACATTGCCTTTATATTCAAATATGGTTAACACATTCCATTGTTCAGCCAACTTGGACACATTTTAAGGACTTCTGTAAATTACACATTGTTAGGAGGTACTGGAATAAGTGTAGCCAATCAGTATGCACAAATAATTACCCATCCTATGGGATCCTTCCCCTAATTATATGTTACCCTCTGATAACAGGTAGGTAGATATTAGAGCTGGACAGCAATTTTCCCATACCTTCTGACACTTGACACTGTGTGATGTTGTTCATCGAAGGTTGTATTGACCTAATTTTAAGACCTACTAAGGAACAGATGATTGTTATATCCGGATATGTAAAACCATAGAATTCAAAGAAGGTGTGCTTTCTTTTTCCCAGTGTGTGTTTTATTTTCCTTCTCTGCATGAGAAAACAGGATGCAGCAAATTCCCGGGGAACACAAGTAAGCAGTTTAATTCTAAAATGAAACAATGATACCAAGCATATGTCCAAAACAATTTGATTTACCATGTATGTAAAACACCTACTTTACTGCAAAAAAAAGTTGAACAAATCAATATAATTCTTTGATGTTAATGCAAGCTCTTCATATGGTACGTGTTTGTACAATGATGCTTGAAAACTTTCAATAAAAGTTTCCTTAAGGGGTGGTAGGAACTCTGTTCTAAAAGGTTTAGCCCCCCCACCGCATCAGTTTTAAAGTCCATTATTTTGCGTAAAGCATAGAAAAACCTAACAGCGGGAAAGGGTTAAGAAATGACTATGGGTGGGTGCCAGGGCAAATAAAATCTTCCATTTTGCAATGCAAACACCTACTAAGGAACAGTAATCAGAGAGTCAATAGGGGCTTCAAAATAAATAGATTCGATAATTGCATCTATGCGATGTTCTGTAGCAGCATGCAAAGTATGTTGACACCTGAAGACAAATATATCCAATGCTGGTCTATGAGAAGCATTGGATTGATGGTTGACTGAGAATGCCATACATTTATGGTATGTCCTCAAAACTTCTCTATAGGAAGCATCTGACTAGACAAAAATCATGATTAACGACTTCACTGTAGAAGGACTGAATATAGAAAGATCAAGCTGCGCTGAGGCACCTATTCTCGCAATGGATTTAAAATTACTTAGTTCCCCAATCTCTATTTAGCCGAAAAGGTTGTCCGGATTACAAAACCTTTGTGATGCTTAACATAATAGGACACAACCAGAATGTATTAATTGGTGTTTAGAAGCCAGTGGGGTAAAGCAAAACTACATGTGGATGAAAGAATTTATTAAAGTTGGTTTTTGAACTTCAGATACTCAGAAGCTGAAATTGTTCCTACATTTAGACCATGGGAAAAATGTTGATGAGCCGTGGAAGGGACTCTAAAAAACAGAACAGTGCAGTGCTATGTACATCTGAGCTGAGTTTCAAAGAAAAGTCGTTCTCCATGGTTCACTGGTCAAACACAACATTAAGCAGCAAGCACTAAAAAGTTAATTGAATGGTCGCCAAAAGATGCAGGAACCTTAAATGGGATAATTAATTTCTTTGTTTTTATAACGATTCTAAAAAAAGCAACTAACGTGCGCACCCCTGAGGGCAATTAGGTGCACTGAAGGAAGACTACCACGACTTAATCACTTGGGTCTCAAGGAAAGATTTCTTTAGAAGATCCAGTCATAAAAAAAAGCAGTACTCAGAAGGTCTTTACGCAATATTACATCTAAGAGTATGTGACGAAAATTAGATTCCACTGGTAATGTGTGGCAGCAAGAGTGGAAAAGTCCAATGTGCTCTCAACAAAATCCAAATCAAGGTTACTTTATATACACCATGATACAGCCACATAGGAAGATTCCACTAATAAAGATACGGTAATGCTACTATAAAGAAGCCGAAATGTAATGAATGGACCCAATGGAAGTTAAAGGACCACTATAGTGGCAGGAAAACACTCGTTTTCCTGGCACTATAGTGCCCTGAGGGTGCCCCCACCCTCAGGGTCCCACTCCTGCCCGGCTCTGGGGAGAGGAAGGGGCTAAAACTTACCTTTTTCCAGCGCCGGGCGGGGAGCTCTCCTTCTCTCCGCCTCCGATCCTCCCCTTCGGCTGAATGCGCATGTGCGGCAGAAGCTGCGCGCGCATTCAGCAGGTCTCATTGGAAAGCATTCATAATGCTTTCCCATGGACGCTGGCGTCTTCTCACTGTGATAAGCACGCAAACGCCTCTAGCGCCTGTCAATGAGACAGCCACTAGAGGAGTTCGAGGCTGGATTAACCCAAAAAAAAAAAAAGTGTTAATCCTAGAGGGACCTGGCACCCAGACCACTTCATTAAGCTGAAGTGGTCTGGGTGCCTTGAGTGGTCCTTTAATGCAGTTGTCCGCTTCATAAATTGACAACAACCTTCATAAATTTTTGCTGTACCCAGCACTGCTTATGTGAGAACACCAGCAAAATGTTAAGTGAGCATCATGATTGAATAAGTGACATCCTGTTTGGGGATCAGATTAGTGCACAGTCTACAGATTTAAAGCAAAAAGGAAAAACTAAAATTACTTTTTAATAGTTCATTGGTATTTAAAAAATTTTTTAAATTTATTTAAATAGAATAAACAGAAAGTGAATAGGTTTTAGGACCTGTAGCTCAGTATGGTGCCACGGCCACAGAACGTTTTCCACACTCACTATTTTCTTTCAGCCCTGCCTAACATACAAACCTACAAAATCCCACATGCACAGCTTCCTAAACCCTGGCTTCTCTAAAAGAAAGGAAAGTTAAATATATTTGTTAGTGTAATCCATGTCAAGAATGTATTTGTTGCATAAATAGATTTTCAGTGTGACTTGTCACTTCTTTGTTACATGATACTAAAATGTCTTGTTTACTTCAATATAAAGCAGTATTCAACGCCCTTGCAGATATAGCCACATGTGATTATCATTTTAACATAACTGCTCCTTCTTAAACACGCTTGTACTTTGCTAAATAAACTCTTTACAAAAAGGAAGCAGATGTTAAATATCTAAATGTTTAGAAAAGGAGTAAAATCACCATTGCACGGTATTATCCCCAATGCACAATATTTCTAAATAAGTGTGTAATTATGTAAAAGGACCATTAGCCTACATTCAGAGCTGCGGAATATTAAGGCATTTTATAAATATATTCCTCTTTGTCTAAATTTTCAACCTACAACCTAAAAGACAGGTAATGGGAATCTTACACAAAAGTTTAAGGGATAATATTTTCAAGTGGAGTGGGACTAAATGACAAACATCGCAGCAGAAAAATTAGATGGACAAGTGCTTATGTATACAATAATCCCAAAATGTCTTGCTAAGTGCCTCTACTGTTCTGATGTGGTAAACACTACACCATGGTGCTTCCACAGCCTCTGGTGTGGTAGTCTGCAGACAGAAGCTCTACGGGTTACTGACCTGTTCAAGAGTGAGGTCAGGCCACCCAGGGAAGGGTCTCAGCAGGAGGCAGAGATAGGAAAGGAAAAAAGTTTCTATCTGTGGCAGAAAGGTTAGTATATAAAAGAATTAACGGTTGCAGTAATTAAACTTCAGAGCTCGCCTTGCTGCCTGCAGTAATCTTAATTTCAGAAAATCATTTTACCAATTGGGGACTTTAAGCTGGAAAAAAAGACAGCATATAAACTAGAGTCTGAAAGCAGTAGACCATGAAAGCACTTACACCACCCTTTTGAATCAATTAACAAAAATAGTTTACTTAATTAAAATATGTGTAATGGATTTATACAAAGCAACTGTTATAGCTTTCATGTTTTCCAGACCAGCATAATTTTGACCAAGTTAAAAATGACAATAAGGACCAGAAGTTACGCTTGCTGCGTAGGTCATAGTGCAAGTAACAGGTCTCCACTGTCAAGGTCTCCCAATACTCAATAAAACAAACATGTTATAAAAAAGAAAAAAACAACAACAAAAAAAAAGCTGTAAGTGTAGATCACAACACAGGCTAACCCAGTGTACAGTCCTCCCTCTATCAGTCAGCTGCCCAGAAATCTAAATGCAATAATCAACAGACTGCTAGAGGCCACACATCAGCTCCTACCAGCAGTTCCACCCATACAAATGGATGATTGGAACGGTTGCAGTAAAGGGCAGAACTACAAATACCATAAACTCCTGATGGGCATAGTCTTATGCGATAAGAGCAGGCCCAAAGACCAGCATGAGAGTTACCTGACCGGAAGCCTATTCCTGCTCTGAAAAGGGACTCTTTCATATTGCCAGCAAAAACTCTATTGTATTTATGTTCTTTATTTTTAAATTCATTTTTTTGCATATTACTCTGCAATGTTGGTCCTACGTCATAAATAAAAGTAGCGTATAAAGACTGAAACCCAGCATACTAATTTGCCTATGTCAAATTTGGTTTAATAACATACCTCGTCTATACCCTTCCTCATAAATTGTAAGCTTGTTTGAGAAGGACCTTCTGTACCTCTTGTCTCTTATTTAATATTTTATATACCAACTTCTTGGTCCCACACTAAAGGAACTCAAATCAATGCAATGATTACCAAACCAACAGTGCAACTGTCTAGTCAAGAGAGATTACCTAATTTTAAAACCTGTTTATTGAATAAGGGACATCTCTGGAGGATATGTTAACAGAGGGTGAAAAGGAAAATAATTTATCTGGTTTCAAAATTTCTTGACAATCGAAACTTTGAGGTAAGGGCTCTCTTCAGGAAAACTGTAAGCTCAGAGGTAAGAGGATTTAGATCTACTTAAAGTGTCAGAATCAGAGTGAGAAAGTGTTGCCTGCCATTTTCTCTTTAGTCCAGATGAATTCTTGAACCCAGGACAAGGATTCCGGAGTAGCTGATCTGACACCCAGAAATGTCTGTTTCAGATTCTCCTGGATCCCATTCATGAAAGAACTCACATCTGCTCTTAGCTGAATCTGCAGCTTCACTACTACATTGACTGTACAATATATTTTTAAATCCACCAGGCAGGGGCTCATCACTGGCTAAGTAACAGATGCTGGTTGAACATCCTAGGATCAAAACACAGGCAACATTCTAGTCAAAGGGAAAAATGTTATAACAAGGCATAAGAAAACTTGCATAACCCTAAAACATAAAAAATTTACTTGGCTTAGGTGTAGGCAATATGTCACATAAGCAGATAACACTGCTGTTTGGGCATTTATGTAAAAATAAATAAAAATGGAGCCATAATAATCTGAAAGATCTTTGCAGATGTGTGGAGTGCAAACCCCTTGCAGAAGAAGGCAGTGTAGCCCCTGCAGGTCTTAAATCACTTTAGCACAACTTAACACCCATAAGCGCTGTGCAATTTGTTGGTGCTTTATAAATAATTAATAATAGGGACTGTGGAATGCAGGCTTTGTATGTGTGTGCACCACGGCTGCCTATAAAAGCAGAAAAACGTCAACGAAGACAGTTTAAATAAAAAAATAAAAATAAAAAAAGCCATGTCAATCCTGATTGAGACTAGAGGTTATGTAATATGTAAATAACCTGTCCTGAACCAGAACAGGCATAAACTGTGGTGTTTGGGTGTTGCTGTAGTGATTGTGGATCGCAATTCCATGAGAGACGCTTCTCCACGGCAGGCGTGGAGAGCCACTATCCATATGAAGAATAACACTTATGTAGTGTTAGACAATTTTTCCTAATTTCGTTTTTCATTTAAAAAAAAGTTCTGTTCAATTTCCACAGTGCAAGGAAACATTGATCAGACTGGCACAAAAATAATTTGCTTAATATACCTCTTTCTCAAACAACCCTGCCATTCTAATAAAAGAGAGAATCTCCTCTGACTGTTCCAGAGAGCTGCAAGGAGTGTATAGCAGGACTTTGCTACAACTCCTCTAGCACTCCATCTCGGCCGATCCCATCTCCCGATCATCTTCCACCTCCATTTTTTCCCAATACCCAATCAGCCAGGAGAACGCTTTTGGGGGAGGTATGTTGCACAACATAGAACAATCACACTCTAAGAGCCAGAGGGGAAGGGGGGGGGTGAACATCATTTGTTTTGTCTGCAGGAGCTTCCGACAGTTGACCGGCCAAAGCCCCATTCACCATGGAACTCTTGATCATGAACATTGCTAGCAGCCGGTCAAATCTTTACCCCGGTGGCAATTAGTCAATTCTGCATTGATCCGAGAGCTATTTAGCCAATACGGGCGCTCAGATCGGAGCTATCCGGGATATATTATGTTTTTGGGGTACTTTTGTGTTGTGCCCACTGTATCTCGGGAGATAATTGAGTTACTGCTAGCTAAACCACTTATCTCCCAGACAGAGGCACCAGGGCGGGATCATGATGATGTTAGAGTCCCCATGCTGGGGGTCCTTGTATAAATGACCGTGCTTCGACTAATAAAATCAGATCTACTCCCAATATTAAGTCTCAACTAATGTATGGTGGGAAAGCTGTAACACTATTTCTACCTGTAGGTAATAAAACAGTGAGGTAAAGGGAATCTGGCGGTAATACAGTGGTGATTCGCCACATTACGCTATGTTTTAATGCACTATATAAATGCATTAACACAAAAAACACCCCAGATATTTAAAGTTTCCCTCAATGCAATGTTTAGTCGTCTTTCCTAGCAACGAACAAAATGGTATCCCACAAACTTCCACACAGCACAAATTTATGGGAGAAGTAGATTCTTTCCCATAAGAATTCCACTCATCACACAAAACAGCAGCCATATTGTTGTTGCTCTAAGTTTACACATCGCGGAATTTAGTCCATCTGGCTAGGTTAAGTAGATTGAGCTATTAGCAGAGCCATAGTTCATGCATGCAAAGTTAACCCATGATGTATGTGCAGCTTGCATACATTGGACTATTTTACTCAAAATATTAAACACCAAGAGTCTAAAGTCAGATTACGGTGCTCTACGCACCATCACATTTGCAATAATCCAAAGCTGTGATGCTGTTTAGAGACACTAAGTTTATATAATGAAAGATGTAAACCACTTGAAATACTCTAAACCACCTACAGAAAAGAACAGAACATAAAATATGAGGATGAAAAAAAAAAAAAGTTCAGAGAATAAATTTACCATAATCACAAAAGCAAAAGGTAAGAGGGGTTGAGGAAAAAAACAAAAACAAAACAAACCAAGGAGCACTTCAAATTTCATATTTTTTAATTACTTTCTGTAGTGCAAATATGCTATGTAGAACTTACCTAAACAGATTCTCACTCTTATTGGCAATGCTCCATAAACAACAAAGACATCTCAAATGGAAGCAACATTTGCAAAACGCGCATAAACCATTTATATGAAGTCTACACAGTTATTTTTCTTATATTATTGACAATCCCTAGGGATCAAGCTATAAACGATTTGTTTTACCCTTGGAGCTCTCAGCTCTCTGGGGAGCGGATTCAATTGAAATTTCACATCCAGACTAGCCAGGCAGTGATAAACAGATGCTTAAATTAGCTGCATTACACCACAATCAAACATCTGAGTTGGAGGAATAAAGGCTTCCGGGGGGCCCTGGGACAGCACAAAAGAAAATATATAAAAAAAAATTAAAAAGTTTTTAACAGCATCCTTTCAAAACTTTGGAACATTCCATTTTGAAATTTAAAAAAATTTAACCTAGTATGACCAAATTGCAAGGGAAAAATGAGTGGAAACACTGAAATTAGGCTAAAACCTTTGTTTTAAATAAATTACTGCCTATTAAGATATGTACATTTAAACTATGAACATACAGTTTAGGAAAGAGAAATTGGTGTTAATGAAGAATTTAAAAAAAATGGCTTAATTGAAAATCAAGCTTTCAGTTCAGCTACCACACTGCTAAATTGTACTACCACCAGTATGCACACAACCTTTTACAATTACTCCCTTTAGCACTGAAGGTAAGTGTGCCAAATGCAATGTAGTTTCCTAAAAAGGAGTCTTACCCTGAGAGAAGACATTGATAACAAAGATCTGCTGAAAACCATAGATTAAAATGATGACCTTTATGCCTGTTTAGGTTCATGCAAGTCTTTACTTTAATCGCATTACTTCCCATTGCATCAATTTCATAACAGTTCATAACTTTGTAAGATGAAACTAAAATACAGAGCAACCTGTTGACCTTAGCACTTCATAAACAAATTCACATCTAAAGAAAGCTTCTTGAAATTTCAGAGCTTGCAAAAGTTAAGTTCTGGAGTTCCAATAATAACAGCAAGTTTTCACTTAAGGCCTTTTCCAGTCTTGATTACTGTTAACAGCTTGGTTAGAAGTTAAAGGAACACTATAGGGTCAAGAACACAACCATGTATTCCTGACTCTTTAGTGAAAAACCCTCTATTTAGGTGGCTTGCGCCTTTAAAAGGAATTAAAACTTTCCTTATTTCCAGTGCTGCATGGCCCCACCGGCACTGGCTTTGCCCCCTTGGTGACATCAAAATTGCCAATTTTTAGCCAATCCAATGCTTTCCCCTGGGAAAAGCACTGGATTGGATAAAAATCGGCAAGGGGCTGGGCCATATACCATTTTGGCCAATCAGCACCTTCTCATCTCTGAGGAAAATTCATCGTCCCCTGGCAGAGCCCCTTGCCTACTGTGCAGCACTGAACCAGTAAGCACCTCCAGTGGCCATCTGAGGAGTGGCCACTTGGAGGTGTCCCTAGAGGCAATATAAACACTGCCTTTTCTCTGAAAAGGCAGTGTTTGCATAAAAAAGCCTGAAAGCAATGATTATACGCACCAGAACAACTACATTAAGCAGTAGTTGTTCTGGTGACTATAGTGGCCCTTTAATTTGCAGGAAAATGCAAGAAGGATAGAAGTAAACTTCCAACACAACATGTAAATCGGGAGATGTCCAGTAATGCCTTATGTACGGTATTTAAAAACATACAATGCAAACAAATAGTTTTTGCTCACAAAGCCCTACAAACAAAGTTGGGATTGCCTTGCAGGATAAATAGGTACATGGGGAAGGGAAGTACAGAGTGCACAAACAAGGTGGTATACACAGGTAAACGATTAAATGTAAAAAAATAAAAAATAAAGTTACTCCACCATCCATAAACCACCCAGCTTCTCAGCTTGATGTGTAAGCTGGACTACTGTATATGACATCACTGGAAATGGGGACAGATGAAAATTAAAACATTTATACACTAGTAGAAGCTGAAGTTAATGTCCTGTAAGGAGGGTCCCTTTAAATATTTTATGATAAAAAAAAAAAAAAAAAAAGGCATAATAAAATTGGGGAGGGAGAGTAACAAGTACAGTATACCCCATTTTGCATTAGTTTATTTTCGCTTGACTAGACTTATGTCTGAAATCATGGTAAGCGCTGAAAGTGCAAAGTCCACAAAACATTTCAAGCAAATAAAACCAAGCTGATGTACATTTGCAGCTCTACCTAAAATACAATGCTACCCTCACAGTTCTTGAATAATTCATCAGCACTAGTTGTGTGCTGCTCAAGTGAGTTATCAACAATTTAATGCATAATATAGTAAGTACATCCTTTAGGCTTCACATTTTGCGGCCCTGCTGATTCCTTATCGTACCAGAACCACAACAACACTACGCTTTATTTATTTATATTGGATGGCAGCTGCTGAATTATTACTACTATCCACACATGTAACCCTTTCATTCCTAGGCTGGATGTAGACAGAACAGGTAAATAAAGTTGAAAGAGCACTGATATGATTTAGACCAGGGTTGGCAACCTTTGGCATTTCAGGTGTTGGGAGATTTAACAAGACGCTTTGCTGGCATGACCGCTGTTAGAGCATTCTGGGAGATGTAGTCCAAAACACCTGGAGTGACAAAGGTTGCATACACCTGATTTAGACTATACACTAGATAGGTTATTCTTTAAAGGACCACTATAGTGCCAGGAAAACATACTCGTTTTCCTGGCACTATAGTGCCCTGAGGGTGCCCCCACCCTCAGGGTCCCCCTCTCTGGAAGGGAGAAAGGGGTTTAAACTTACCTTTTTCCAGCGCTGGGCGGAGAGCTCTCCTCCTCCTCTCCGCCTCCGATCCGCCCCGCCGGCTGAATGCGCACGCGCGGCAAGAGCTGCGCGCGCATTCAGCCCGTCGCATAGGAAAGCATTTACAATGCTTTCCTATGGACGCTTGCGTGCTCTCACTGTGAAATCACAGTGAGAAGCACGCAAGCGCCTCTAGTGGCTGTCAATGAGACAGCCACTAGAGGATTAGGGGGAAGGCTTAACCCATTCATAAACATAGCAGTTTCTCTGAAACTGCTATGTTTATGAAAAAAATGGGTTAACCCTAGCTGGACCTGGCACCCAGACCACTTCATTAAGCTGAAGTGGTCTGGGTGCCTAGGGTGGTCCTTTAAGAATGTATAATACAATGGGGGGGGTGGGGGGGGAGGTGGAAGAAATCAAACATTTTGTTGCAAACTTTAAAGATACATACATCATACACTTTTTAATTTTTTATTATTTTAACATTTGCATAGCTAGATTTCCTTTCATAATTAGACATAGGAAGTTTGATGTAACAGCACAATAAGTGGTAGTCTTACACCAAAAATGTAGGAGTTAGAGGTATTGAGAACAATGAAAGATACAGATTGACAAGCATGTATTTGCTTCTTACAAGGGATGACGCTATAGTAATCTATGGCTACAAGTTAGTATTTCCAATCAAGAATATAAATATGCCACATACTGTTTATCAACAATGTGCAAAGTGTGCAGCGCTATTTCTCTTGGTCACCACTGGGGCGTCATTTGAAGCTCTAAGACAATCAGTAGCTCCCCATTCAAAATACGGACATGAAAAGCTCTACACATCCTTTCAAATTTTTCACTTTCAAAAGTAGTATTCATAATAAGTGAAATCAAGGAGATGGGTCGACATATGACAACTTCATTTTAACATAGGCTACGAAGTCCCAATGAAGCCTCACTTTTCCAAGTTTTCTAACAAATACTTAAACCAATCATAAGAGCAAGTGTGAATCCAAAAAAATACACGGTGCTGTTATTACCCAATGCATCTGCCCCTCACACAAAAATATACACACAAACAAATACAGCAAAATACACACAGTTAACTAGGAAGATTATGCAGCACAAACTCAAATCATTGTCTTTTAAATCTACATTTATTTGCAATATATGCAAGACAGAAAATCGTTTGCAATCTTAACATGCGTTAGGGGCTTAGCAATAAATATTGTCAATATAGTTTACAGTAACTGTATTGATTGCAATACACTTGACTTATCTGTGCAGATTAAAAAAACAAACAAACAAAAAAAAAAAAAAAAAAACTTATCTTGTCCTTGCTCAATGGCCAGAGCCTAGACACACAAAAAAAAAGCCCACTGATAGCCTCTCCTGAAACATTGCAAGATACAAATATTTAAAATAAACAAAAACAAATAAAAACACAGTGCATTAATAAGAAATACACAGAAATTAAATGTTCACAATGAAGAAATTGCTGTAGTAGCTTGGCAAATGGTGCACACGACTAGACAGGAGAAATCGCAAAATATACATTCAGAAAACAGCTCGGAACAAACAGCACCATAAGTGGTCCTCGTATGGAGACTCGGAAAATGAAATTAATTTTATACTGGTTAAGTTGTGAAACTATTTTTCTCACAAGCTTATTAATTTTATCTAATAGCATGATGGTAAATTTATATTTTAGAACTCTTTTAAACGGTTGAAGTGGCCACCTTTGCATTTTTTTGTTCGTGAAGAAAAAAGGCTGTTGAATAAAAATGACTTTTAGATAAAAGTAAAAAAAAAAAAAAAATTAAAAAAAAAAAGCCAGACAGCAGCATGTAAGCATCATTTTTGTAAATGCTATATGAGGGTGCACAGAAAGAGTATGAAAAATATATATTTTTTTTTTTTTAAAGTTACTCGCTGACGCAAACCTGGAGGGTCCGTGGCAAACTCACCATGTGTGAATTACGATTTGCCAGGGTCACACTTTTACAAGCAAACAGTTAGTGGTGATAGCAAATATTGAGACTTGGACAAAACTACACCCTGTTCCAAATTATTATGCAAATTATATTTTTCTCATTTACCTAAATAATTGATGTAAATGTCAGCATAATTCTCATGTTATCAACTATTAAGAGTACAATTCAAATTTTATTGAACAAACCTCCTAATGAGAACAGTATTTTTAAAAAAAAAAACCAAAAACAAACTTACAATGCACTGTTCCAAATTATTACGCACAGTAAGTTTCAAAACACTTTATAGGTTGTAATGAACTGAAAATTGTCATTTGTTGTGTTTGCAGCATATTTACTGAAATCAAAAGCTATTTCAACAAAACTTATAACAACATTTTAACTTTTTAAACATTTTAACAGATCACGTTACATTTTAACATAGGACCCCTTATTAGAAAGCAGCTTCACAAGTTGCATCCATTGAACGTGTGAGTTTTTGGACAGTTTCTGCTTGAATTTGTTTGCAAGATGTCAGAATAGCCTCCCAGAGCTGCTGTTTGGATGTAAACTGCCTCTCACCCTCATAGATCTTTTGCTTGAGGATGCTCCAAAGGTTCTCAATAGGATTGAGGTCAGGGGGGATGGTGGCCACACCATGACTTTCTCTCCTTTTATCCCCATAGCAGCCATTGATGCAGAGGTATTCTTTGCAGCATGAGATGGTGCATTGTCATGCATGAAGATTATTTTATTACGGAAAGCATAATTCTTCCTTCTGTACCAGGGAAGAAAGTGGTCAGTCAGAAACTCCACATACTTTTCAGAGGTCATCTTTACACCTTCGGGGACCCTAAAGGGGCTGACCAGCTCTCTTCCTATGATTCCGGCCCAAAACATGACTCCATCACCGCCTTGCTGACGTTGCAGCCTTGTTGGAACAGGGTGTCCGTCCACCAACCATCCACTACTCCATTCATCTGGACCATCCAGGGTTGCACAGCACTCATCAGTGAACAGGACTGTTTGAAAATTAGTCTTCATGTATTTTTCTGCCCAATGCAGCCGTTTCTGCTTGTCAGCATTGGTTAGTGGTGGCCGAATAGAAGGTCTATGGTGGGACTCCAGAGTCACCAGCAGCTTCAAATATCTGGTTGCTGCTATGTAGTGGTATATTGGCAGCTGCTCTCTTGATCCGATGCATGGATCTGGCAGAAATCTTCCTCAATTTGCCTTTATCTGCACAAACCCGCCTGTGCTCTGAATCAGCCACAAATCTCTTAACAGTGCGATGATCACGCTTAAGTTTTCGTGAAATATCTAATGTTTTCATACCTCTTCCAAGGCATTGAACTATTTCACTCTTTTCGGCAGCAGAGAGATCCTTTTTCTTCCCAATATTGCATGAAAATGGTGCTCTGCTGAACCCCTTAAGGACACATGACATGTCATGATTCCCTTTTATTCCAGAAGTTTGATCCTTAAGGGGTTAAAGGACCACTATAGTGCCAGGGGAAAAAAAACTCTTTCCTGGCACTAAAGTGCCTTGAGGGTGCCCCCACCCTCATGGCCCCCCTCCCACCAGGCTGAAGTTGGAGGAAAGGGTTAAACACTTGCCTATCTCCAGCGCTGGGCTCCCTTGGTGCTGGGGACTCTCCTCCTTTTCCCGTCATTGGCTGAATGCGCAGGCCCGGCAAGAGCCGTGCGCGCAGTCAGTCCATAGGAAAGCATTCTCAATGCTTTCCTATGGACGCTGGCGTCTTCTCACTGTGAAAATCACAGTGAGAAGCGCAGAAGCGCCACTAGCGGCTGGATTAACCCTTATGTAAACATAGCAGTTTCTCTGAAACTGCTATGTTTACAGCAGGCAGGGTTAATGCTAGATGGACCTGGCACCCAGACCATTTCATTGAGCTGAAGTGGTCTGGGTGCCTATAGTGGTCCTTTAACACCTTAAAGACACATGACATGTGTGACATGTCAAGATTCCCTTTTATTCCAGAAGTTTGTTCCTTAAAGGGTTAATGTGGAACACCCTCCTTTAGTAGTTTTTCCTTAAATTGGGCTCACCTGGCAATCTAATTATCACAGGTGTCAGAGATTGTTTTCAGTGATCAAAAGAGCCCTGAGACACAATGATATCCATGAGTTAAACTGAAAAACAAAATATTTAATCTTTGACACTTAAATAAAATTTGCATAATAATTTGCAACTGGGTGCAATTTTTATTTGCACTTCTACACTAGCAAGCATCTAGTATTTGTCTGTACTCCCAGCTGCAAAAACAGGGTTTTTAATAAAGGAGTAGGACCCAAAGGAGATGGGTTAGTAAAGGCTGGAGCAAAAGCATTATTATTGTTACTTTAATAATATCTTAAGTCCTTCTGATTTGCCAGACATGCTCTATGTATGAACTTCATTTATACAATCAGCAAGAATGTCATTAATCCTCAGAGCGCTTCCACCCCCCTTAATTGACATAGGAAGGATAACTTCAATGTTAATTTAAGCAAGTAGGAGTTAGAGGTTTTCTACGCATGGAGCAACAGTGCCTTCTAGTGATATGTAATAAAACTGCAAGCATTTTCATCCAGTGCTGCATTAAAACCAGCAGTCCCTTCTCCCCTCAACCCCCCATATTATTAGCTAAACGGTATTTACAAGGGGAATAGTAAACTTTTTTTTTTTTTTTTTATGTTTTGACTTTTATTCACTGTTACATATTCAAATTAAATCTAAAGGAGAAGATATTCTTTCACATTTGGTTTAACAAATGGAAGTCTCTTCTGAACAATAAATATATTTCTCGATAGACACACTGCATTAATAAGGTTTTAAAATCTAATTGTCTGATCATAATATTAAACCCTAGTTTATATACAATATGTATTCCTTCATGAACACTGAAAAATTTACACCCTGTCATGAATCAGAACAGTATGCGTGCTACATACCTTAAAATAGAGCTTGACAAATTTGCTTCACATCTAGGAGACAGATTTTTAAACGTCAAAAAAACTATTCTTAAAGGGACACAATATTCACTAGAACCACTACAGCTTAATGTAGTTGTTCGGAAGTCTATATACTGTCCCTACACGCTTTTCAATGCAAACACTGACTTTTCAAACTAAAGGCATTGCTTACATTGCTGTCTGAAAACACCTCTAGTGACAGTCACTCAGACAGCCTTTTAGAAGTGTTTCCTGGGTAAGTGCTGCACACGTTAATGCTATACATTAGTACTATTAAAAATAATTTAAAAAATTGCTTAAATGCTTAATGTAAAACCATTTTGCAGTTGTTTATAGCCCAGCCATAGCAGCCACATTATAGATTTAGCTAGCATTTGCCTACATGTTTATATATTAGATTTAATAAAATTAAGGTTTTTAATTATCTCTTTGTACTTTACTGTGCCCCCACATCTGTGCATCCATTAGTGGATTGTATTGGGGTCTTTTTTTCTTCTGATTATACATAAATATTTAAAACCAATACATTATAATGCACTTAATTAGAAATTAAGCTGCATTATAAATGCAATACACGCTGGGGGGGGGGAAAAAAAATCAATTATAGTATTCCTTTAATAAAAGATGGCTCTTATTAATATAAATTTCATAATAATTCGAAATAAACAATACGGGTTTAATATTACCCATAAGATAGATGCCAGGCAAAATAAGTGTAAAAACTTTAATGTGGTAAGGTTCCGAGAACAAAAATCAGTCTCAGATGCTAAGAACCGCAAGTGTCAGGTCTGCCATTGCAAGGGTCAACATAAGAGGAAATCTGATACAAACTATCCCGCTGTGAACAGGGAGCTGGGAGCTAAGAAAGCTTGACTACTGTGCAGAATTCAAGCAACCACACAATCCAATGTCATGCTCCCATCTCCAATGTATATTATAGCTGTCTACAGAACAAACTCAAAACAACTTCTCACAATATCCCCTTGAGAAGGTATAAATCAATTGTGCATTCTGCACACTTCTTTCCAAAGATGACAAATAGAAAGCTCAAATGGTCATGTGCATGTGTAATAACTTCACTTCCGCCTATGTATTATTGACAGAGGAATCAGTAACTGTACACTTAAAAGGACACTATAGTCACCAGAACAACTACAGCTTAATGTAGTTGTTCTGGTGAGTATAATAGCTCCCTTCAGGCATTTTCATGTAAACCCTGCCTTTACAGAGAAAAGGCAGTATTTACATTGCCCCTACGGACACCTCCAAGTGACCACTCCTTAGATGGCCACTGGAAGGGCTTCCTGGCTCAGGGCTGCACAGTAGGCAACCCTGCCGTTCAGCATCCCCACGCTCTGCATAGGGATGCAGAGTTTTCCTCATAGAGATGCATTGATTCAATGCATCTGTATGAGGAGGTGCTGACTGGCCAAAACGGCGTTTGGGTTGGCTAAAAATAGGCTATTTTGATGATGTCACCAAGTGGGTGGGGCCAGCACCAGCAGACCCGTGGAGAGCTGTAAATAAGGAGAGTTTTAATCCATTCGGAGGGTGCTAGTCACATAATTGGTAGCTTTTCACTTTAGGGTCAGGAATACATGTGTTCCAGACCCAATAGTGATCCTTTAACTTCTCAAGTATAGTTGCCCATAGTTTAATGAAATAGAATGTTTAAAAATGTTCGTACATCCCATGAAATCTGGTTTCTTGCTGTATTACCAAATGTCAGCCCACATTTCTCTGAACGACTCGTGGGGCCTATACAAGAATGCATTTAAAAAGACATATGAAGACAAAGATGGCACCATATTGTTTCAAAAACAAATAAATGCATTAAATAAAACATTAAAACAAACATGAGGAACCTTCAGAGACCAAAGACACATTCCAACTTAATAAGCAACCAACAGGTTGAAAGACTTTGTAACACAAATAAAATAAAACCCCAGGCTAAGGATTATGGGTTCTATAACACAACAGCTGCAGAGCTATATATTGCAAATCTTAAACCCTTCATAGTACCTGAAAAACATTTTAAGCAATAGAATCTAGACAGGTTAAAAACACTTTGCATGCAGTTGTGTATTCCAGTATCTTCCCACCATGTCTTTAGAAGTAGTCGATGGCAACTAGAGTTAATACCATTTATATGAGAAGTTTATATTATGGAAAGTCTCCTTTAGGAAGAAAGTTCAAAATAATAAATCTGCCACTGGAAAGTCACATCACTAAAACAAATGGTTTATGACAGATTCACTTTTTTTTTTTTTTTTTTTAAAGCTGAAAGTGGGAGATTCGTTTCTGTTCCCATTCTCGACATCAATATCAGAAAGCAGTTGACTTGAACCTATGATAATGTTTGTCGGCTGGTAGCCTGCTGTGATGGGCTCTGTACACAGGCCATGAGAAAGCAGTTTCACTTCCTGTTTCAGTTACTACACTGGTAGAGCTGAAATCCCTGGATTGCAAAGGAAATGAAATGTGAATTTCTCTCCTTTCCTATGGCACCAGTACTTCCTGAGCTTGGCAGCTTGGTGTGCATTGGTCAAAAACCATTATTTCCCTGAAACATTCCAAAGTGCTTCTGTCAGGGGTAATTACATTTACACACAGATAAGAATAGCAACATTTTAAACAAGGAAATCTAGTTTGAACACTATTACACAAACAAGGTTCTTGCCATAAACAAAATGTCACTTTTGAACTTTCCATTCCATATTGTCAAAACGATCAAGAATTTTTAGCTCCTCTACTAATTCAACAAATACAATATTTAAACATGTAGCCAGAGAAAAAAAAATTAGGGGTGACAATGGCATTTAGGCAAATGAGGTGCAAGTCAAAAGTTAAATAACTGAGAATATCATAAAGGAAATTATACCCAAATTAAGTTAGTAGTATTGCTACCTCAAAATATTGGGATCTGAAATAAGTTAAACTGGTAACAAAATAACAACTAACAGCTATTCAGAAATCCCTAAAAGTACAGCACAAATCTGTATAAACTTAATTGCTCTTACTTATATACTTTGGTAACTAAAAGTATTCCTTAAAATGGAAGAGCTTGTTCACTTCATACAGTTCCCATTGACTTAAAGCAAGTTCTATTTTAATTGAAATTCTCCTGAATAAATTCGCATTTAAGGTAAAGTCCAAAAAACCAAGGCTATCATCTCTCAGCTGAATATTGAGACTGAAGTCAACTACAAATAAAAGAGTGCATTAAACTAACCTGAAAAAAATATTTTGTTAACATACATTTTAGGTTTTATTCCTTCACACATCTGCAGACCCGAGAAATCAATAAACAAAGAACTGCCAGTAACCAGTGCGTTTCATCTTAACCCCTTCAGGACGGAGTCAATAGTACACGTTCTGATCAAAACAAAACTTAAACAAAAACTGGAATTTGCGCTATAGGTCTGTTCACCCGCAATTCACCGCTGTCACATTAAGTGCACCCACACTTATTATATATCATTTTGTTCAGGAGAAACAGGGCTTTAATTTATCATTCATTAATTATTTATATATGGAACATTTATTATGAATAAAATGTAATTTTTTTTTTTAGAAAATAAGATTTTTCTTAAATTTGTATTTCCGTCTGACATTTTAGCTGTTAATGTCATAATACTGTTAAGTATTACTGCAAAAAAATGCACATATTTGTAATCAGCGATGTCTCACGAGTACAACAGTACCCCCCATTAACAGGTTTTATGGTGTTTTGGAAAGTTACAGGGTCAAATATAGAACGTTCCATTTTCAAATTGAAATTTGCCAGATTAGTAATGTTACCTTTGAGACGGTGTAGTAGCCCAGGAATGAAAATTACCCCCATAATGGCATACCATTTGAAAAAGTAGACAACCCAAGGTATTGAACGTGGGGTATGTTTAGTCTTTTTTAGTAGCCACTTAGTCACAAACACTGGCCAAAGTTAGCGTTCATATTTGTTTTTGTGTGAAAAAAGCAAAAAACTAATATTTGGTCAGTGTTTGTGACTAAGTGGCTACTAAAAAAGACTAAACATACCCCACGTTCAATACCTTGGGTTGTCTACTTTTGGAAATGGTATGCCATCATGGGGGTAATTCTTATTCCTGGGCTACCATACACTCTCAAAAGCAACATAACCAATCTGGCAAATTTCAATGTCAAAAAAATGAAATGCAAGCCTTATATGTGACTCTCTAACTTTCCAAAACACAATAAAACCTCTACATGGCGGGTATTGTTATTCTCGGGAGACTTAACTAAACACAAATATTAGTGTTTTAAAACAGTAAAACATATTACAACAATAATATAGTCCATAAAAGTGCCGTTTGTTTGTAAAAAATGCAAAAAACTTCACTTTTTCTTAAAATATCATCATTGTAATACAATTTACCAGTTTGAAACACTAATATTTGAGTTCAGCGAAGTCTCCTGAGTAAAACAGTAACCCCTATGTACAGGTTTTATGGTGTCTTTGAGAGTTACAGGGTCAAATATAGTGCTTGCGAATTAAAGGACCACTATAGTGCCAGGAAAACATACTCGTTTTCCTGGCACTATAGTGCCCTGAGGGTGCCCCCACCCTCAGGGACCCCCTCCCGCCCGGCTCTGGAAGGGGAAAGGGGTAAAAACTTACCTTTTTCCAGCGCTGGGCGGAGCTCTCCTCTCTCGCCTCAGATCCGCCCCGCCGGCTGAATGCGCAGCGGCAAGAGCTGCGCGCGCATTCAGCCCGTCGCATAGGAAAGCATTTACAATGCTTTCCTATGGACGCTTGCGTGCTCTCACTGTGAAAATCACAGTGAGAAGCACGCAAGCGCCTCTAGTGGCTGTCAATGAGACAGCCACTAGAGGATTAGGGGGAAGGCTTAACCCATTCATAATTATAGCAGTTTCTCTGAAACTGCTATAATTATGAAAAATGGGTTAACCCTAGAAGGACCTGGCACCCAGACCACTTCATTAAGCTGAAGTGGTCTGGGTGCCTAGAGTGGTCCTTTAAATTCTCTGCACTTTCTCCCTGTGTTGTCAGGCATGTCAATCAAATTTTAATTAATCAAATCACATAATTACGTTAAAAGATTACTTAAATATACACGTAGAATTTTAATATATATGTATTTATAGGTATTTAAATTCTACGTGTATACTAATGTAATCTTTTATGTAATTATATGTATTTATCGATATATTTGCGGTTATTTGTATTTTATATATATAGAATGTCATTCTAAGTGTATTTTGTTACACATATATATATATATATATATATATATATATATATATATATATATATATATATATATATACACACACACATACATACACATACACACTATAAATATATAACAAAATACATTATTTTATTTATGTAATTATACATTAATATATGTGTGTATATATATATATATATATATATATATATATATATATATATATATATATATATATATATCTCGTCATTCTAAGTGTGTTTTAATACTAATATATATACTAATATTAGTATTAAAATACACAACGTATGACGTTATATATATACACATTTAATTTATTTTTACACATGTTTGTTTATTTATTTTTTTCATTTCCCACCAGCAGGGGGATTGTCTGATATTTCAGACAGTCCCCCTGCTGGCAGATCCACAGCCAGCTATAGGGGGCCTCATTCGCCGGGGGAGGGCTGCGAGGCAGCCCTCCAGAAGAGGATCGCAGCGGAGGTAAGTAGCTGCGATCCCCTGGGGGCTTAAGCTGTTACGGCGTTCTATGCCGCCGCAACGGCTTTAAAACCGCGACGGCATAGAACGCCGTAACTGTGTTAAGGGGTTAAAATCCACGTGTTTGAAAAATAAATTGACAAATAACTAATTTTCACATTTGAGTCCAACCATTAATTGTATAGGCACTTCAAGGTTACACTGTCAAATTTATTCTTTTATTTAAAGGGACACTATAGTCACCAAAACTACTTAATTTTAACGATGGTGTATACATCATGCCCCTGTAGTCCCACTGCTCAAATCTCTGCCATTTAGGAGTCATTAAATGACTTTGTTTATACAACTCTTGTCACACCTCCCTGCATGTGACTTGCACATCCTTACTAAAAACTTCCTATATAAAAAAAAAACAAAAAAAAAAAAAACACAGCATCTAATGTATACACTACACTATTGCGCAGTCTATTTAATTTCTTATCTCCTGCACTATTAACTAGTGCCTGAACCTTCTGGGGGTAATTTCAATTTAATGACCTGGAGAAAATATATATATTCAGATTAACCCTGCTATATAAAGCATAATATTGAATGCCGGGTGCTAAAAGCCACAGCCAAAATATACAAACATATTGTTATATGGGATAGCAGTCACGGTCTTCTAGTAAAAAATATCATCTTTTAAACTCGACGTTTCAGCCGTCCTGGGCTTTCTTCAGGAGCAACAAACAACAATATGGAATAACCGAATAAAAGAATGGAGTGCTAACCCATATTTCAATATGTTTGTGTGTATATCTATCTATCTATCTATCTATCTATATATCTATATATCTATATACACACACACACACACACACACACACACACACACACACACACACTGAAATATTTTATATATAAATTCTAGCGCAAAGTTAGCATCTAATTGAAAACAAAGCTTTTTTTCCCATGCATGCACGGCACTACCAGGGTAGGTAATAAAGTGGTTTTGGTAACTAGCGACCCGTTAAATAAAATTAGCTAGTAAAAGCGAGGAAATATTTTCATTGTACAGATTCAATGCATTTAATTTAATGCAGTGCAACCAAAACACACAGGAACATTGATCACCAAAAAAAAGATCCGCTATACAGTACTGTGCAAAAAAAAACTATAACATAAAAAAAAAAATAGAAGCATGACTTATTTCATCTACCAGAAGTTAAATACTACAAATCATGATCTCTTTTAGCAATCTGAAGAACTTAAACTTAAGATACAAGTGTACCTTGATCACAATCAGGGTCAAATCGGTAGGGAAAAAAAACAAAAAACACACAACAACAACCTATTATGGGTATCTGCTGTAGACATGACTCCACTCAGATCATGATATCCATAAAATTACAACATGGCCTGACAGGATTGCTTCAACTTGTTACATTTCAGTTAGACATAAGAAAAACAAGAAAATATTACAGTGCTTGGTTGATGGGTTTACAAGGTTCAAATGTAATCATCATCTGGAAAGCTAAAGGTTGCCTACCCCTGTGGTAAAGTCACCTTTATGTTCTGCACAAGTTGAATTCCATCTCACTCTTGACTTAACATTTTTGTAAAAATATAGTTTTATGGTAGATTTTAAAAGGCTTCATAGAAACAACATTGATACATGGATTTGAACAAGGCACAGAATACAAATTAATCATAACCTGCCTTTATGTTGTATGTTAAAATATAGGCAGCACAAAGTAAAAAAGTATGCCACACATTTCACCTCCTTGTCGAACTCACAGATTTTTGACCCCTAAACAGCTAGCATAAAGAACCCATAGCTACAGTTTGTTTGCTCAGGGCAGACACTTATTTTTTCTGAAATCAATAAACAGAACTAGCAGCTTTATTGTATGGTTGACCAATTTCATAGGGGTTTTCGTTATTGAAAATTGCTCAGGTTAGCTGTGAGACAAGAATCATTCAATTATCAGCTTCTGGGGCATACTGAAAGTTCAGCTGGAAAAGGGGGTGAAGGGACACATTTTGGTTTTAGAATGAATGCAGTTGACCATATGCAATGCCAAATATATTTATAAAAAAAAAAAAAAGCCAAGATGTAAGAAATATTTTACAATAACAAAAGCAATTTTACATTTTTTTTTTCCCCACAGAGAATTTTTTATTTTCATTCTGTATGAAGGGATACAAAAAGGAAGAGGGAGCACAATTTTACATTTTTGAAATTGTATTATAGTCACCAGAACAGCTACAGCTTATTGTATTTGTTCTGGTGAGTAGAATCATTCCCTTCAGGCTTTTTGCACTAAACACTGTTTTTGGAGAAAATGCAGTGTGTTTACATTACAGCCTAAGGATACCTCCACTGGCCACTCCTCAGATGGCTACTAGAGGTACTTCCTGGGGTAGTGCTGCACAGAGTCTTCACCCTCTGCATGCAGACATTGAACTTTCCTCATAGAGATGCACTGAATCAATTAATGTCTATGAGGAGATGCTGATTGGCCAGGGCTGTGTTTGAATTGTGCTGGCTTGTAAAAATGGTCTGATCTGCCTCCTTGACAGTCTCACACAATCCTATACTTTTCTATGTGATCAAAACTTCTGATGATATGACCAAATTATTGCGCTATTATTGAAGATGGTAAATCTGAAAGTAAGCATAGAAAAATATAGTGCAGATGGTATACAACAACAAGTATATGGGAAAAGGTGAAGGGTAACTAACATGGACCAGAGCCCTATCACCCCTGGCTCTGGGTTTGCAAGGCTCTATTTGAGAGGTAGAATCCCACAGTCTGTAATTAAAGGCTGTATAGTATAAAATCAAAGCTATTCTGTATGGAATACATGGAATTAAAGGGTCTAATATAGCACATTCCATTTTTAATTTTTTTCACATTGAAATTTGCCAGATTAGTAATGTTACCTTTGAGACCGTGTGGTAGCCCAGGAACGAGATTTATCCCAATGATGGCATACTATTTGCAAAAGTAGACTACCCAAGGTATTACAAGTGTGGTATGTCCAGTCTTTTGTAGTAGCCACTTAGTCACAAAAGTAGTCAGTAAAAGTGCCGTTCGTGTGTATACTTTTACTAAGTATATTGTTGCAATACAAGTTACCATTTTGAAACACTAATATTTGTGTTCAGCAAAGTCTCTCGAGTAAAACAATACCCCCCATGTACAGGTTTTATGGTGTCTTGGAAAGTCACAGAGTTAAATATAGTGCTTGCCATTCAAATTCTTTGCACTTTCTGCCTGGGATGTCAGGCATGTCAATCAAATGTTAACTAATTAAATCACATAATTATGTTAAAATATTACTTAAATGTACACGTAGAATTTTAATATATATACACATATATATGTATTTAAAGTCTATGTGTACACTTATGTAGTTATTTATGTAACTATATATATATATTTTATATCATATATATGTGTAACGTCATTATTTTAATACTACTATGTATGACGTTACATACATATATACACACACACACACACACACACACACACACATATGTATATATACATATATACACACACAATTTATTTTAAAATTTTTATTTTTATTTTGTGATCCTGGTGATCCAAGAGTTGCAAAAAAATAAAAAATAAAAGCCGAATGCTTTTTTGATGGAAAAGAACAATTCACAAAAGACGATGAGTCATCAGAAATAAATGGCATATATACATTATACTCCCCTTTGAGGATTGCTGCCTTTCTTATAATTTTATTGTGGCAATTTAGCGCTGTTTATTTTTCTCTTTTTTCAATTCATTATACTAAAAATGAGCGATATGGAGAAAAATAAAACAAAACAGGAAATTTAAAAACATCCTTTAGATCTAATAAATTGCTGAAGACCCATGAGTGTTCAGTCTGAATTTTGTGATGCAGGTTTATATTTATTAAAGGGACACTATAGTCACCAGAGCAACTACAGCTTAATGTAATTCAAGCATGGGCCACATAAACAAGGCGCTACAAGTTTACGTGGGCCCAAATTTTTTTTTCTATTTTCAGAGAAATGTAGATTTTGAAAAGTACAGTATATAAAAAAAATATTAAAAAAAAAAAAAATTCAGTATCCTCCCTCCCCATATACTAAATACCAGTACCCCCCTCTAGCCAACAAGTAGACTCCACTCACATTGCCGCTGCTAGTATGCGACTTTGGATTCCGGCCTCTGGTATACCCCAAATGGCGCGGTCCACACCCAGTGCCAAGTCTGATCTTCCCGCTACTTCTTGAAACCCTGTGAAGATTGAGCACGTCAATATCATGTCAGAATGTGACGTGGCGTTGCGTGCCTCCATGCACCTCCAGCTACTCCACTGTCCAGTTGCAGCCAATGCAACACTGACCAACACACACTGATCATTTTCTTTATTACTCCCTTCCTTTGGGAGCCGATATGGGGCCTCTCCCTGGGGTCCAGTAGGAATCTTCTATCTGCTCTTCAGTGCTCCCTCGCGTGGTTTAGTGATGCCGGAATATGGCGTCATATTCCGGCAGCAGGCTTCACCGCAGACGGCGTGTGCGAGGTAACAGTGAGGAGCAGGAACACTGAGCTCCCTCGCTGGCCATCCTCCCGGGCAAGTTTATGCAGAGTAGGAACCTGCAATGTGGGGAAAGCAGGAGCCGACTCTGCTATAACACTAAGGATGTACTCGCGGCTCGCCAGGCCGCAAAGATATCCATTGTGGGCCGCGAGTTTGACATGCTTGATGTAGTTGTTCTGGTGAATGTCGACAGTCCCTTTTTGCAGTAAACTCTGTATTATCAGAGAAAAAGCAGAGTTTACATTATAGCCAAGCGACACCTTCAGTGGCCACTCCTCAGACGGCTACTGGAGGTTCTTCCACCCTCTCCATGTAGACCCCTAACTTTCCACATGATGACTTGATTCAATGCATCATTACGAGGAAATGAGGATTGGCCAGTGTGGCATTTGGCTCTGCCTCTGGCCTGTCTTTTTTGGCTGAGATCATCAGAATTGACAATCTCAACCTATCCAATGTGAAAGCATTGCGATTGTCTGATCAGCACCAGCAGATTTGAATAAAGGTAAGATTTAACTTTATTTAGGAGGGCAAGGGGGGCCAGATTGATAGTTTAACACTATATACATGCTTGTGTTCCTGACTCCATAGTGATCCTTTAAAAAAAGTCAGTGTTTAGAAAACATTAAAATCGAGCAAACAAACTTGGAAAAGCATGTCTTAAATGACACCCCCAAATTGTTTCTAAACAAAACAGTAGGATTAGCCAAAATTTTAAGTATTAAAGGGGAATATGACAAAAATAAATAAAAGCCAAACTGAATTTTTTTTTTTTTTAAATACATGACGTAATTAAGAACAAAGCAGTTTGGGTTTATATATCATGCTCCTGCAGTCTGTTAAACTTTTTATGGTCCCACCTTCATCAATCCCACTCCTAAAAGGCAGATAATTTAATTCCTTTTCAGAGTGATCTGAGCGGGGACTGGGAGCCAAGTTGACAATTAATTCGGTATGGGCAAGGTTTGAACAAGTCGAGCAGGGCTGTTTGTTGGCTACTCCTCATTTAATGTAAATAAATAAATCTTAAGTCTGCACAGTACCTTCTTGTGAAGAGGCGATGAGAGGTAAATAGTCTGGAATATATTCCTTCCGATCCTCAACATCTTTACTGTCTGGAGGAGGAAACTGCAAGACATTGTTCTTGGAAACAGGAAAGGATGGAAGCTGATGCGGGAAAGTAACTGGTTCGATATTGTGGATGTAATCTTCAAGTTCATTGAGGTTCACACCCATCAACTTAAACGCCTGACCAACATCATCCAAAACTGCATCTGTGCGCCCATCTGGGGAAGAAGAACAAAAATTTTACTTGGCATAATTTTTTTTCTTTCTTAGTATAGCGGCAGTACAGGAGAGCTGTTCTACCTTTAGGTGGACGAGTAACTTTTAAAGTAAAATGTTAATTATGTTATTTCCCTCCCCTCTTCATACCTTAAAATATGAGGTCTGTATCTGACTGCCCCAGTAAAAGCAAGAATAAAGAATACAGGAGACCAAAAAAAAATATCAAAATACTTTATTACAAATGGATGCCACTATGCAAAGGAAAGATGAAATGTTTTGGTAAGTAGAATTTCTGGTTTTGTTGGCATGTAGCGGCAGTACAGGAGGGATCTAGCAAGATCCCAAATATAAGTAGTTCAGTAAGATAAAAGCAACTAGAAGCACCTTATACCCAGAAAAAGCTTCTCAGAATTAAAAGGATGTCTAGCCTGTAGTGATGAATGAAGGAGGACAATGTGACCACCTTGCAGATATCCTCTGGAGAGGCCAATTAATTTTCTGCCCAAGAGGTTGCCATTGCTCTAATGGAATGTGCCTTGGAAGGTGTAGAGACACTGACCAGCAAATTCGTAGCCCATGTTAATGGATTCTGTTAACCACATAGCAATTATGGCTTTGGAATCCTCTTTACTCTTATAGGCAATGATCAGAGGATCTGAATGCTGATGGCCATTTGAGGTAAATTTCCAGAGTCCTCTTTACATGCAACAAGTGGAAGTTGACTTCCTCAGGAGAAAGAGATTGGAATAGAGTGGGGAGAAAATGATGTGTTGACATATGTTCACTTTAGAAACATTGAGAAGCAGACAAAGAGACTGCCGAGGTTGATGTTAATTGGCTTCAAAAACAAATATCATGATAAGAAATAACTTGCACCACACAATTACATTTTTTTCAAGATTCTCAAGTAGATTTTAGAAGCAGATCAAGCATCTGTTCCTCTACACCCTTATTCCTGAGGATTAACCTTGCAGTGGCTAGGCAGTCAGTATAAGAATCTGCAGTCTCTCTGTTGGAAGTGGTTTGTTCTCCAGTATCGGTTCTGAGAGAGGAAGTTCCCAATCTACCATGGCCATTTGTTTTAACTCAGAAAACCAGCTCTGATTGAGCCAATATGGGATGATGACCATCACTGTTACCTTGTCTGGTTTGCTTTTCTGTAAGAATCGTGGAATCAGGGATATGGGATGAAAAAAAAAAAAAAAAGCCACTAAAATCTCAAGTCATTACGGGACAATCTAAAATCCAGATAATCTTTCCAGAATAGAAAAGTGAATGTCGGTACTTTTCAGTTTTGTCGCCATGAGATCGATCTCTGGATGACTGAATTTCTTAATGATTCTTAGGAAAACCTTTAGATCTAGAGACGATTCCATTTGTTTCCACTGTGCTCTGGTCAGGAAGTCCGCTATCAAATGGTCTATTGCTGTGATGTAAATTGCAGAGATGGATTCTAACCTTTTCTATGGCAAAGACGCAATGTTGTCACAAAGGCGAGAGACTATTTTTGTGCCACCTTGGTTATTCAGGTAAGTGAGTGCTGTGAGGTTGTCTGATCGTATCTTGCAAGTTTTCCTATTAGCCAGGGTTTGAAGGCAAGTAAAGCTTTCATTTCTCTGAAGTTTTGACTTGATGCAAGAAAGTATTTAGAGGAGCTTTCAAACGGTTTTCGAAGCATCTGTAGTGATTGTGACCATTTCTTTAATTGAAGGATAGTCCTAGAGATAAGAATTCTGAGTGAATCCACTATCTTATCTCAGTTCGAACATTTGTTGAAATAAGATTGTTCCTCAGACCAGGACTGAATGATTTCCCATTGTAGAGGTGAAAATGCACTCATGCAACATGGTGAATTTGTCCGAATTTTCCTCATCTTCCTTCTCTTTTGAAGAGGAAGGTGAAGAGAGAAAGACATAGAAACAGAATTCTTGTGGAAGGAGAACCATCCATATTTCTGCAATGGTCAAAGTGTAGTTTGAAAGTTTCCTTGAAGCTGAAGACTAATTGGCTTCTAGGAACCAATCATCTAGATAAGGAAAAACTGAAATACCCTTTTCTCAAAGACCAGCTGCCAGCGGGAGTACAATTTTAGTAAAAAAAAAAAAAGCAAGCTGCAGAAGGGCAGAATGGAAGGGCTTAGAACTGAAAATATATATAGTCTTTCTTCCTGCTTTGATGACAAGTCTTTGGTATTTCCTTAATATTATTGCCATGGGAATAAGAAGGTATGCGTTCTTTAGGTTTAAGTTGGCCATATAGTCTCCGCTACATAAAATATGGATGGCATACAATCCTTTTCATCTGGAATCCTTAATACTGGATGCACTTGTTCACATTCGTTAACCCCTTAAGGACACAACATGTGTGACATGTCATGATTCCCTTTTATTCCAGAAGTTTGGTCCTTAAAGGGTTAAATGCAGGACAGGGCAAAATGACTTGTTTCTGCACTACAAATAGTCTTAAATAGACTCCTTGAAATAGTTCTCATATTGGAACCTTTTCTAGGATGCCTTTTTGGAGGAGAATTTGTGATTTCACTAGTAGAGCATCTGCTTTTACTTGAGAAGTGTAAGCAGAACAAAGGAATTGGGAAGCAGGTTTTTCTAGAAATCTTATATTGCATCAGTTTTCTGATAGGGTTTAACATCCAAGGATTTTGAGTGCTTATTGTGAGATTTGCAAATCCACTTTAGACAATCTTGCCGGTTTGAATCATGTATTTTGAAAATGTGTTTAAAAATACTTTGCAATAAAGGCTTTTTTCTCTGGGTTTTTCCATTTCCGATTTATGAGACTTAAGAATCTTGGATGCATAGTCTTTACCTTTTTTTCTTCAGGGTATCACCTTCATCCATAATTTAATAAAATGGATTCAATCCCTCAGTCAGGAAAACAGAATCAGATGGCAAATCCTGGCTGAAGACTTCTGACCAAGAAGAATGGGAGCATTAACTGGATGACAACTCAGAGGAGAAAAAGACCCACTTATGTTTCTTCCTTTGATAGAACTGTTCTAGACAGACGTAGATTACCTGGATTCAACTGCGGTTTCTTTAAAACTTCCAGAAGTTTGTGATCGATTATCCTGAAACAAGTTCAGGAACTAATGCATCTCTTTCTGTTTAGCCTTTTCTTAAGCTTCCCCCGAGCACTGATTACAGATCTTGTTTTAAAAACCATCAGGAAAAGGGGTGGCACATTTGCTGCAGGATAGGTGTTTAGGTTTGCAAGATGGCTTCAGTTTGGGAGCAGGTGGAGGTATTTTGTCCATCTTATCTGGAGAAACAGGAATAGACACCTGTAAGATAAACATCAATTATCATAATTGTTAGAACAGAAAGTAGAAAGAAATAGAAGCCTTTAAGGTAAAATAATAAAATAATTCCCCACCTAAAAGACCTCAGAACTGTGTGTGGAGGCTGGTGACATTTTATTTCTTTACTGACAAGCACCCTTGCTGTCCACAGCTTAAATAGACAGTCAAATTTAGTATTTTGAAAAAAATAAAAATAAATCGGCATTCCTACTGTGCATGTGCAGCAGTCCAATAAGAACAGTGAAATGCAAACGCTGCCTGGGCGTATGTTCCACTGCTGTGTGCAGACTTACAGTGTGCCTGATCATTGACGGGCTTCCCAGGAATGCAGTCAGATTCTTCCAAGCACCCCAGGGGTGCATAAGCATATAAAACAAAGCCCATTATTATAATCCATAACTGGCTTTGACTGGCTCCAAGCCAGTAGGCATGCACTTCACCACCCGGAGAACAGTCTGGCCAAGCCCTCAAGTAACAGCCTGTGTACTTCACCAAGCCGTCATGCACATCTGTCTCAGAACAGATACTTCTGTCCAGCCGACAAGCGAGACAAGAAAGAACTGGGGAGTCTTATTCAGATCAAATATTTACGGTATGAATGGTAGGGGAATTGCAGAATAACCATTTTATTTCAGAGGCTACTTGTTCATCTAGATGTAGAAGATCCCTCCTGTACTGCTGCTATATGCCAGTTAAAGAACATATTTATCTATAATCAGTTAACCTTCAACATCTTAAAGGAACACTCCAAGCACCATAAACATTAAATCCCACTGTAGTGCTCATGTGTCAGCAGTGGTTTAACGACTTACCAGGGGTCTGCCAGGAAGCTCCTTGCAGGAGCTCTAGCTTCAGTAGAGGAGGCGATCGACAGACCTCAAGTAAGTTGTCAAACACAGTGACTACTTATTCTGATAGGGAGCTGCCGGGTTTATGGTGTGTGGAGTATTCCTTTAAGACAATCCGGTATGGACTTGCACATAGGATCCACAACACAACTTTATTTTTATTTTTTTAGTTATGTAAGAATTTCCATCTTTTTTACTCAAACAAATTATAAAGTTTGCAGAATGTTGTTATGCCATGAGAAAATATATATTTGTCACCAATTGTCTGCATAGAACCACAGCAACTGAACATCGGCATATATGATGTAGAGGAGAGAGGAACTTTGATATTGGTATCGGTGTATCTGAGAGGTATGCAGCATTCTGCCAAGTACCTAGGTTGAATGAGGAGTGTGGCTGAAGAGAAGAATGATGCAATATCTGTGCTAATGGAACACACTTTATAGTCTAAAAAAAACCTTTCAAAGATGTAACAGTTGCCATTTACAAATGTGCTCCTTTCTCCTTTTAGAAAACTGAGCCCACTTTTATACATAAATACAAATTAATAAACAAAGCAAAAACAGCTATTAAATTCACCTGTAATCCTTTGCCATGCCAGTATCTTTGCAGCACCTGCTCTGCCACTTCTGCATCACTGCTCATGGATCTTGGTCAAATTCAATGCTTTTCATAGAAAAGCACTGGAGACCTACTGCACATGTGTGGCAATCATTATACTCCACAAATCTGATACTTCTATTGTAGGGTTTGTCACTACTGAGAAATTCAAAGTGAATTTTAAAATTAAGGCCAAAGTAGCCAAACTGAACTGGTGATAGCTTCCACAAATTGCAGATACTCAAGGGTAAAAAGTGCCTCTAGTGTGGATCTGACAGGCACTTAATCACATATGTAAACATTATCATTATCTATTACAAATGCCAAAGTTTACATTTGTCAGAATGAAGGGACAAAATCTATACACCAAAACCACTACGGTTTTGGTGCTTGTAGTGTCTCTTTAACAGCATTCTGTGCATAATGACACTAAGCTACACCTTTCATTTTCTAAGGTCTTCAGGAGCACAAATGTAAACAGTCATTTCTCTAAAGTGGAAATGTTTTACATTAAAAAAAAAAAAAAAATAAGGGCTACGCTCCAAATCCACTTTATGAAGATCAAGTTATTAAGGCACTGTCCTTTTAAGCCTGACCTTCTAGTGCATAGCTCTATTATATAAGATCCTTACTTGCATCACATATATCAATTCTACAAATATGGTTTTAACAAACTACTGCTTTCAAACAAAATTATCAGGCAATGGTGGTGTCACAGCACCTTAACCAGGGCTGAATTTCCACTTGCCAATGACAAGTAAACGAGTTAACATTTTTTAGCCCTGATGATCAATATTATTCAGCAACTAAGACTTCACAGGTAAATCCCAGACAGACAGATTGATTTGCTTGGGACTAGATTGGAAGAAATTTGATTAATTCGATCCACCTGAAATGCAATTGTGCACTAGTCTACTGGATATCTTCATGTAATCTGTAAACCGCAAATCACAGTTCAAAGCAACTTTAAACCCTGTTTACCCGTAAAAGACCAGACAATAAGAAATACATATCATTGGGCTCAGTGGTAGGATTACACCAATATTATTAAATGATTACTCCAACCACCATGACCCCTTCAGTGATTTGAAGTGGTCAGTAAATTCAGTGTTTCAGTTTGAGGTATTAGCAGTTGTGTGCAGGGGGCTAGTTGCACTCCCAAACAAACATTTTGGCAGCCGGAAACTCTTTTCCGGGCACCAAAACGTCAATTCTGTACAAAAAAAAACATGTCTGTTGTTGTGCACACTGTACACTAGCAACAGGCGTATTGAGTTCTTTTTGTCCTCCCCATAAAAGAAAGGTTTAAAAAAAAAAAAAAAAAAATTCTCTCACCCACCTCCCTCCCTCCCAGTCACCCTTCCCTCACCAGGTGTTTGGACTATGTGAAGGCCCTTGTAATGTCAGGAGGGGCATGGAAGGCACTACCTGGAGCTTTGGCTGGCGCTGGAGTTCAGGTAAGTAATACAAATCTTTTATACAGCTTATACTGAAAATGAAGAGGTAGGCCTAACTCACACAGCCCAATGGGGCTTATTGCAACACTCACCACCCCCAAAAGGGTTGGAGTAAAACTTTTTTAGTGAACACGCCATGTACCATAACCACTACAGACCACCGTAGAGTTTATGGTGCCAGAAATGCTCAAAGTGGTCAAACCATTGTGTCCTTTCAGACACCTGCTGCCACAAGCTCCTGCTATTGAGCCATGCCTGGCTTTACACCTTTGTGACAGCCACTGTCCAGGCTACAGTGCCCACCACTTAGACACATTTGGTGATGGTTGCATTGTTTGTTTAAATTGCTCTAATGATGCTTGTCTCGCTAGATGGGCAAAACTAGTCTTCTTCTTAAGGACTCCGTAGTGAGGCATCATAGAAATAGCAAAATGGAGGTACCCCATGATAAGCAATCATGGTGACTGTCATCAACGACAATCACTACGTCCATCACTGCAAAATAGTCTGGGTTTCCATTAATAACGGCACAACCCGCATTCTGCTGGGTGTACTTGCTATTATTGGACAGCCTCATTTATGAGAGATGTTAATGTTGCAAGCTTTCATAGAAAGATTAAGGACTAGTGATACCTGTTGAGTGGACCATATATTGTGACCAAAGAAAATAGTCTTTTATCACCCCTATCAGTTCATTTAAGAGGTAGTTATATATAGTTAGAAAGAAATTCTCTAGCATAATATAGGCTAGGTTAGCATTATATTAAAGCTTTCCCTCAAAAAACAAAACAAAACAAAAAAAACAACACATGGGTGCACCAACTAAGAGGTAATTTCAAAGAGACAATATTATGTCTAAACTCTACGAACAGGTCATTGTAATCTGACCAGGCATACTGCGGTCTGACAACATTCTTGCATGTCCCCTCCAATGAACATCGGATGTTGACAAGAGGCAATGAGGAATCATTGTTTTTATACAAACAGCGGTACAGAGAATCTAGTTAGAGTCCTCTTTATGAGTTCAAGTAAAAACAAGACATTAACTGCAGGTCACAGCTGTTGATGACCTAGCATGCATGCGTTTCATTAATTTTTTTGGAGGCATCTTGCACTAGTTAAAATCAAATGCAACTCTCAAAATTGCAGTTTTTTGATCCAGTTTTGAAACATCAGTTTAAATCAATGGCAAACACTGCCAATACAACCTACACGAACCTAAAAACCAATAACCAGAGCAAGGGGGCAAAGCCTTCAACCGACAGATGCCCTTCGTATACCCCTAGATGGGACAGAAAGCACGCCACACAAACAAGGACTTCAAAACGTCACTCCACAACGCGGTCAATTGCACAGCCTTACTGCCCACGGAGAACACAACCACCGACCCGGCAAACATGGGACGAAAATCCCAGCGGAAAGCAACAGGTGGGTGCAGACACCCCCAAGATATAAGCGCTATGCTCAAGCACACTGTGGTCCCACCTGACCCAGACACCAGCTCCACATGCTCGGAGCCCGCCATGGGGGACAACCTGCACCAACAACCATCCCAGGACACACAGGCTGACCCAGATGCACTAACAGCAGCCACTAAACTGGACATTAAAAACCTTCTAATGGAACTAAAACAAATGTCTGCGGCAGACATGGCCTTAATGAAAACAGAGGTCCAATCGGTCACAAACCGAGTGGTGACTACAGAAGAGGACATCATAAACGTCCAAAAAGACGTGAAAGGCATTAAAGAAACAGTGTCCCAATTAAAAGCCTCACACGCAATCCTGACCAACAAGTTGGATGCAGTAGAAGAAAGAAGCCGCAAATGCAACGGAAAATTAGGGGCATTCCTGATAAAATCAGCCAGGCAGAGTTGCCACACTACATCAGATGCTTGGTCGCCACCATAATGCCACATGCACAGGCCAAAAAAAATTAGCTATTGCAGGGATATTCCGTATCCGGAAATCACCACGGGCACCCCTCCCAAGCAACAAAAGATGTGATCATTCAATACCATACCCAGACCGACAGAAATGCCATCTTCGCTGCCTTAAAAGGCAAAACTGGACTTTGAATCTGCGAGTCTTACCTTTTATCAGGATCTGACAAGAGCCACACTCCAATGGAGAAGGATCCTGCGCCCTGTGACCCGTCACCTCCAAGACGACTTACCACTGTCGGTGGACCGTAACGGCACCACTCTACACCTCAACTCCACTCAGGAGGTGGACTCCTTCCTCAGGGCAATAGGGCTCCCACACGGAAGAGCCCGCCAGCTCCAATACATGGGACCCCACCAGGACTGTCCCTTTTGTAGCCAGGGGGAGAGGAACCCCTGTGGCAACCACCTGACACCAATAACTGTCTTTCAGCCTATAGGCTAGAGTTACTAATGACGCCATTACTGTTATGGTTTTAATTGGTTTTGAACGTTTACTGCTTTGCAACTACTCTAGCAAACAACTAGACACCTCTGTAAGGCATACACCCACAAGACTCCCCCTTGGCTTAACGGATCACAACCACTAACTACAAAGACAATCATTAACATGATAGGGCCAGCACCGGAGCCGCTAGCGTGTTACCCCTGCCGCCTCTGTGGTTAGGGGCCACTGACCACACGCACACCACATGAGCAACAATGCAGTACATAGTTGTATATAATGCAGCATGTGTAGTGTGTGCGCATTATACACACACACACTACATTACATACAGAGTGTGTATATATAATGCAGAGTGTGTGTGTGTGTGTTCTTAAAGGGATGTGATTTTTTTAAAATGGGGGGGAGAAAGGCATTTTTTATTTTAATTTTTAATGTTTATATGTTTCATGTTAATTTTTAGTCCCCCCTCCCTGCTTGTTACCTGGCCAGGGAGGGGGGCTATGACAGTCCCTGGTGGTCAGGTGGCATGGATGTGCAGTGGGGGCCGGCAGCAAACGCTTACTTACCTTTACAGCAGCTCCCTGTGTAAATATCGCGGCCTGCGTGCCCCCACTGCACATCCGTGCCACCGTGTTTAAATCTTGCGAGTCCCACGGCCATCTGACGGCCGTGGGACTCGCAAGATTTAGACAGGGAGCTGAAAGAAAGGTAAGTAAGCGCTTGCTACCGGCCCCCACAGGACTGCCAGGCTTGTAATGAGCCCGGCGGTCCTGTTATGTATTATCGGCAATATCTGTATCTTTATTGGCCGATGCCAATACCGATATTGCTGAAAATACCGAATATCGGCCGATAATATCAGTAAAACAAATAATTGGTCGATCCCCACATAGGGCGGCCTAGGGAAAAATACCTAAGCCCACACCAAACACGCCAGGATAATGGGCCCTAGACAATGCCACAATGACAAGAAGCGTGGCACACATTTATCGCCATAACCAACACTACAAACCACCTACACAGAACGAGGAATAGTTGCTCAGAACCCAAGCCATACACTAGACTTTAAGAGTATATTGAACGCACACAACTTCTTCCTCTAGACAAGAGAATGTAGCGATCTAGCGAGAATGTTGTAACGTATGAACCTAATTCAAAAAACTGTGCTCCGTATATCAATGCCAAATGTTTATGTTTCATGCTTTGAAGCCTGAGAAAACTGTTGTGGCATCTCAAGCGATTATGTTCAATGAATGCACAACAAAAATAAAGAATAAAAAACACAAAACAATATTTAAACTCTCAAAATGTTTAACGGACTCAGATAAACATAAGTCCAGTAAGTTGTGACACAAATCACATGCTTGTTTAACCCCTTAAGGATGAGGTCCTTCACTCAGGTGAAAGTGTTAATGACGAGTGACGGACCTTGTCCGTCACGCATTAAAATTAACCCCTGATTGCCGCGGTGCCGCAATCGCGGGGTTAATGCTGTTGCTGGGTGCCTCCGAGTCCGGGGCAGACCAGCAACAGAAAATCGCGATGTCCAGTCACAATACATTTTATTATTTGATTTTATTAGTTTATGATTTAGTTACTTGGGTGGGTGGAATTTAGTGGGAATTAAAAAAATTTTTTTTTGTTATTTAGTTAAAGTTTTGTTAGCTGTGTTAACTGTATTTAACAATGTTCAGGCAGTATACTGCAGAGGAGGCTTATGCCCTGTTAGCGGCCGACTCAGAGGCGAGAGACACTGCCTCAGAGAGTGACGCAGGGGACAGGGACTATGTGCCAGATACTGCAGGACCATCAGGGGAAACCGACAATTCCCCTAATGCTGAACATGGCGCAGATGACTGGGTACCCCCTAATAATTTTTCCCCAGACATCCCAGTGTTTACAGCCAATCCTGGCATACAGGCTGACCTGTCTGGCTATAGTGCGCTGGATGTTATGCAGCTGTTCTTGGGGGGATGAGATTTTTGGGGAGATAGTCACCCAGTCTAATCTCTATGCGGAGCAGTATCTGGCACGCAATCCAGACTCTTATCTCCAGGAAAGAAAGATGGAACCCAACCAGTGTGCCAGAATTGAAACAATTCTGGGCACTGACCATGTTAATGGGGCTAATTAAAAAGCCCACAATTAGGATGTATTGGTCTAAACATCCTATTTGCAATACCCCCATTTTTGCCGAGACAATGCCGAGGGAAAGAGATGAAGACATACTGCGATTGAAGCACTTTAGTGATAATAGTAAGTGCCCCCCAAAAGGTGATCCGCAGTATGATCTTTATAAAATCCGCCCTTTAATTGCCCACTTTAACAGTAAATTTGCCACTATATATACCCCCAATAAAAACATTTCCATTGACGAGTCCCTCATGAAGTTCAAGGGAAGACTGGGATTTAGACACTATATCCCATCCAAAAGATCCCGATATGGGATCAAATTTTATAAACTGTGTGAAAGTGGCAGTGGCTACGTACACACCTTCCGTGTATACGAAGGAAGGGATAGCCACCTTGATCCCCCAGGTTGCCCAGATATAGTAGGGACAAGTGGGAAAATTGTCTGAGACTTAATAATGCCACTACTTAATAAAGGTTATCATTTATACATTGATATCTTTTATAATAGCATCCAACTGTTAAAAATGTTATACTGCTTCGAGACCGTGGCCTGTGGCACTATTCGAAAGACTCGCACAGGTTTCCCAAAGGCTCTAGCAAACAAAAAAAATGAAAAGGGGGGAAACAGCAGCTCTCTGCCAGAATGAACTGCAGGCACTCAAATACAGGGATAAAAATGATGTTTTCATCTTAACCACCATTCATGGTGAAAACGGAGGGTCGCAGTTCGTGGCAGAGAGGAAAGCAAACGAGTGCCAGTCTGCATACGGCAATATAATCGGCATATGGGGGGTGTTGACCTGTCCGATCAACTGATGCAGCTGTATTTGATCATGCGTAAGACCAGGGCATGGTATAAAAAAGTGGGTATATATCTGATGCAGACGGCAATACACAATGCATTTGTCATTTTCAAAAAGGCAAATGCTGGGCTGAATATCACTTTTCTTTCGTTCCAGTTTAACCTCATTTCTGGGCTACTTGAGTGCCACACAAGAAGACCATCAGTGGAGCCTAGCAGAAGAATGGAGGCAGGTCACTTCTGCTTTAAGATTCCACCAACCCCTAAAAAACAAAACCCCCAGAAAAGGTGCAGGGTGTGTTACAAGAGGGGCGTAAGAGCTGAGACCAGCTATTACTGCCCTGAGTGCCCCTCTCAGCCCGGCCTATGCACTGGCCACTGTTTTAAAAATTTTCACACCCAGACCGATATAATAAATAAGCATTTATATATATCTATATGTGTTACATCAAATTAAAGCCCTTTCTGTCCTTCAAAATACAATATATGTGTCGGTGCAATAAATTAGTAAAATGCAAATTGCAGTTGAATGCAAACTGCAAAAAAATGCTGTTGTCATTAAGCGAAAGACAAGCTTCTGAAGCTCTGTCCTTAAGGGGTTAAACAAAAGTCTGACACAAAAAACAAAACATAACAAAACAGCACACCAAATACAATAACAACCTGGGAAAAACAAACTATCATTTTACCAATTATGACTACATTTAGAACCAATTGTTTTAATAATCTGACAGCAAACAAGTGATGGACTCTTTGTTTTTAAGTAGTTGAAATCCATTTGTCCACTGGTTTGAGAGGGCATTTATACACAATGTATGCTATTAATTTAATTAATTCCTATTAATTTATATGATTCCAATTTGCAGGGTTATTCCTTAAAGAGTGAATTGCCAGTCATTCAAAACCCATTTTAAATTTGAGGCTTAAATAACTAGAGGATTTATTTCCCAAATTAACAGTGTGCCCAGTTCAGCGACATTGGCCTACAATTGGAAATCCACTCTGAATCCCTCTCAGTCAAAATAGTTTAGGAAAAAATATGGGTACAAAGCACCTATATGAAACTGTAAGGTTTTTTTAGTGATAAATACATATTTCCAGTCTGGCTATTGCCCTTAAAGGGATACTGTAGGCACCCAGACCACTTGAGCTTATTAAAGTGGTCTGGGTGCCAACTCCCATCACCCTTAACCATGCAAGTGTAATTATTGCAGTTTTTATACCAGACAGCCACTAGAGGGACTTCCGGCTGGACGTCCTCATGCTATGTATGAGGACCTCCAACGTCGCCGGAATCCCCATAGGAAAGCACTGAATAATGCTTTCCAATGGAGAGGTCAAATAGTGTGCGCGCCCATTGCCTCACATGTGCATTAGGTCTCCCCCGTCGGCAGACGTCAGCGGGGAAAGAGCATGGGCGGAGCCTGACCCAGCGCCAAGGGTCATCAGCGCTGGATTCAGGCAAGTGTCTGAAGGGGTTTTAACCCCTTTAGCGACGTGGGATGGAGAGGCACTCCAGAACTCTCTAGTGCCAGGAAAACGGAGAATCCCTTTAACAGATTCAGGTGGGACTTTACACTGGCAAGGTGTTTTATTTGTAGTTTCTTTCCCAAAAGAAAAATAAATCATTTGGCGATACAAATTAGCATCTAACAAGTTGCTTGGATGTAAAAGCAACATTAATGATTAACAGGTAGAGGATATAAACAGAAGTTCTACACTAAGGGTCCCAAGATTTACACAGGAGAGCTGGATGAGCTGCAAGAAAGGTAAGAAAGCTTCCTGCGGGCCCCACCAGTACTTAACAAGCCACCGGACCACCAGGGAATACACCAGGGAGGGACTAAAAAAAAAAAAAAAAATAAATATATATATATATATATATATATATATATATATATATATATTATTTATTTTAAATGCCCACCCCCCCATTTTACACAAATTACATCACTACACACACACTGCATTCACTATACATATGAACACTACACAAACACTCACTGCCTTCACTACACACACACACATTCACAAATACACACTGCATCCACTTCACACACACTACACAAACACACAGCTCCCTTGTCTAAACACACTTCATCCACTACATGTGACATGTATATTTTGTGCATTTACCTTTAGAATTAGTTTATTTTTTTCAAAATGGTAAATGTACAGAATATCGACAAGTTATCGGCTATCGGCCAGAAAGTTCACAGGGTATCGGCTCTAAAAAAATCAATATCGGTCTACCCCTACTCGGCATTATGAACACGGTCAGTATGTACAGTGTAAACATTAGCGTACATGGTCAGTACAGGGACACTCCGTACGCAAACACTGTCAGTACTCGGTGTGTACGCGGTGTGTGCGCGGTGGGTACGCGGTGATACTCACAGAGCTCGGAGTAGCGGTGTGCTCCCCGGCACAGTTGCTGCAGGTATCGGTGCAGTACGTCGGTGAGCAGATCGCAGGCTGTGACCTGCACGGAGTCCCAGCCCAGGGCTTGACAGATCTGCGCCACCGACACTCGCAGTAGCGAGCGAGAGTAGCTCTCACACATCCCGCCTTATCCCGCTCCCATCACACGGTCAGGCGGCTCGGGAATATCCGCGTATTTCCCTCTCGATTAACCGCTCGGCCCCTTCCGCGCTTTCATTGCAGCCGCCATCTTGGCCTTTCCTCCCCTCGCCGCCGTTCCTGGAGCAGATCCTGCAGGGCGCACCAATCCATAGCAGAGCGAATCGAACAGGCTACTTCCGGCCGCGAGCTGTTGTTGATCTGAAATCGACCATCGAGTCAGGAGAAGGTTTGTTTTAAGGAGGCGGGTCGACGATATTGAGCCGGTTTCGGCTCCGACATTTTTGTTTCGGGCAAGAAGTCAATGTTAGCAGTCTAGCTACCCTGGGGAGTGACAGTGTACGGCAGGCACACACTGTGATGTATTGCATGCTGTGCTCGGTTACATGAGTTTTATTGCGTTAAAGGCAACAAATATAAAATTCAAATAGAAGGAAGAAGGTCCAGGCAATGCAATGCTCAAAAGGCATCATTTATTAGGAACACAGTGAATCCAGCAACATTCCCACCCAAATGGGTCTTTCTCAAGCTAACAAACACTAGTGAACAATTTATAGGCAATGTAAACCCAATTAGGATTAAGTGAATTAATAAAACAATCAAAAAAAGGTACTCACTGAGTGTCCATATGGCTCATGTGTGCCCAAACTAAGACAACCAGCATAATGGCTGCCACAGCGTCATATGGCATAACAAAAAAAAATTATTGTAATTAAAAAAAAAAATAAATGAAAGAAAATATCCAAAAGAACAGTATCGATACAGTGCCGGTGTTCTGTCAAAAAAAACCCCTATCCTGTGAAAATTTGCTACCCCTGTCAAGTCCGGTGTCGTGTGACGTAAAGCTGAATCAGTCGTAGGTCAGCATATCTGTGTGGGGCGCCTGAGCCTCACCAGGAGGGGGTATGGGAGTCTCACGGTGCACATACGCGTGCACAGTAAGTGCTCTGGTGCAAGAACGTTGCTAGATGTGCTTGTGGGGTGCATGTCATTATGATGTGAAACTGCACACACGCATCATTGGGGTAAGGTTTTTTCACGGTACTGGTGCGCATGCACCCAAATCACCTGTGTGGTACACATGCGCATTACAGGAGAAGGTATTCTGCTGGAATCACTGCGCATGCACCATCAGAATTCCCTACCATGTACTGTGCATGCATACCCCATAGTTGATTCTGGCCCATCTGCATCAGTAGCGTGAGAATACCCTACCCCAATGATACGTGTTGTGGAAATAAGGTCTGCACATATTTCCTAGTTAGTGAAAAATGTCTATTTACTCATTTCACGATATATATACATATAGCTAAGCACACACGTTATAATTAAGATGGCTGCTGGAAGCTTCTAGCTCCTTCCCCCTCCCCTCCCTTTCTCCTTCCTAACATCGACTAACTACCTCGTGCACCAAGATGGCGCCGGTAAACCGTGGGAGACCCTCATGGCCCCGGTGACATCACCTACAGTAGGCAGAGCATTGAAGCAACCACTTAACACCTAACCAATAATTGATGTATTATTCCATGTTATCTCTGACAATGCTTATGATGTAATTTTGCTTTAAAAGGGACTTGCCGTCCCCTCTGAATAAACTTTCCTCAAGTTATTCAACAACCTAGAACCTGTGTCTGGTGTGAATTACTTCAGGGAGCGTGCACGCATTGTTTCATTGATTTGGCCAGGGGCAGATACACAAAGAAATAATCAATACTTTAATTGATTTTTCCATTTCAATACGCATTAGGGATGTCATAGAAACACGCCCCAGACGGGCCTCCGCCAGTGCATCTGCAACATCACAGCACCCTAGCACGTGCAGCGCACACGAACGAGCCCTCTAGAATCCCTTTCCCCTTTTCTGGTGGGATGCAGGACTCTCGCAGGACAGCGATCTCAGATGTCTCACCTGGAATCTGTTGAAGCCACTTCCCCAACTTAGAGGTCACAGCCCGAGTGCTCTTATCACAACTGGGACTACTACTGCCTTCACCTTCCGCATCCTTTCTAGCTCTAGTTCCTTCTTCCTGATCTTATAGTCACTGGGTATTGCCACATCCAGCACTACTGCAGTCTTCCGTTCCTTGTCTACCATCATGATGTCGGGTTGGTTGGCCAGCACTTGCTTGTTTGTCTGGATCTTGAAATCCCACAGGATCTTAGCCCTGTCATTCTCAACTACCCTTTGTGGTATCTCCATTTGGACTTAGGCAGATCGCAGGCAGCGGTACATGGTCGTTGATGGTCAGGAACTATTCTCAGATACATGACCCCACGAACGCCCAGGAAACTAGTACTGCTGCCCATCCAACTTCCTGAACAGTTATGAGAACAGTGTTCGGGAGGCATAAACTAATCTTATAGATTTTTTTGAATGGGTAACTAAAATTATAGATCAGAGTTGTGCAGTAGACATTGCTTACCTAGATTTCAGTAAGACTTTTGACACTGTTGCACAGATAAGGATTATAAATAAACTGCAATCTGTAAGTTTGGATTCCAATATTGTTGAATGGGTAAGGCAGTGGCTGAGTGGCAGGTAACAGAGGGTTGTAGTCAATTGAGTATATTCAAAGCATGGTCTTGTCACCAGTGGGGTACCTCAGGGCAGGGGCATATTTGGAGCATTTGACAACCGGGGCAGATCCTATATTTGGCACCCCTCCACCTCCCACTTAAAAATGTAAAAGAAACACCCGCAAGTTTTTTTAATGTCTTTAGCACTGAGCAGTGTTTTTATTTTTTATGTATTTAGCACCAAGCACTGTTTGTGTGTTTGAATGTAAGCATGTTTTTGTATGGAATATGTGTGAATGAATGTACGGGTGTGTTTGCACATATTGCCATTTGAATGCAGGAGTGCATTTTTCTGTAGTGTGGTTTTTGAATATGGTGGTGTGTTTTTATGTAGTGTTGATATTTGGATGCAGGGTTGTATTTGTGTGTAGTGTAGGCGAAATGCTGAGATGTATGCACATATACATACATATACTTACATATACACACATTGGCACACATACACAGACACATAGGTACACACATGCAGTTACATAGAAACCGTCATACACAGATACAGACAAACACTGACACATACAGATAGATACACAGATAGACAAACACACATATAGATAAAAACACACACACACATACAGACACAGAGAGAGACACACATACAGAAACAGTAATACAAACACAGACACACAAACAGATACACATACACACACTGACACATACAGATACAGAGACACACATGTATAAGTGTGTGTCTGTGTGTGTTTGTATAGTGGGTAATGGTGTGAGGGAAGGGGTGATGGTGAGAGGGAGGGGGGTGGGTGATGGTGTGAGGTGGGTGAAGTGAGAGGGAGCTCAGGGAGGGGTGATTGTGAGAGGGGTGGTGATTGTGAGAGGGGTGAAGATGAGAGGGGGTGATTGAGAAGGAGGGGGAATAGAGAGGGAGGGGTGATTGTGAGAGGGAGTGATTGTGGGAGGGAGGGGTGATTTTGAGAGGGAGGGGGGTGATGATGAAAGGGATGGGGGGTGATGAGGAGAGGGATGGGGGGTGATGAGGAGAGGGTGATTGTGAGAGGGAGGGGGTGATGAGGAGAGGGAGGGGGTGATTGTGTGAGGGAGAGGGTCTGATTGTGAGAGGGAGGGGGTGATGAGGAAAGGCAGGGGGGACTAAAAAATTAGCTTAAATCTCTGGTGGTCCAGTGGGGGCTGCCTGGTGGGCCCTTTTCTGGTGGGATGCAGGACTCTCGCAGGACAGCAATCTCAGATGTCTCACCTGGAATCTGTTGAAGCCACTTCCCCAACTTAGAGGTCACAGCCCGAGTGCTCTTATCACAACTGGGACTACTACTGCCTTCACCATAGGTATTGTGTGTCTTAGTTTAGCTGTGAGCTCATCCATGATATACTTCTCTTCTATTTTTGCTAGAATGCCTTGTAAAGATGGTCCTTCCATTTAGCCAAGTTGCTGCTAGAATCCTCTTGGCTGCTAGGGCAATTAGGTGAAGTCGTTTTTGCGAATGTTTGGCATACCCTCAATTGGACTTAAAAGTAAGAATGTCCATGTGCATAATTCTATAGGTCTCTGGAGAACTTTTACTGCTAAGTCCTTAATTCCTTTATAATAGTTGTGGAGTTTGAGACAATCCCACCATATATGTTAGTAGGTCTCTTTGTTTCCGCATAATTACCAGCTGAGAACAAATCTGATCCTGTGGGATAATACAAATAGATATCTTAGATGCTGCTTCCCAAACTTCTTCCCATTTATCCCCTCAAGGGATTCTCCAAGATCATCCAGTGTTCTATATATTGCATGTGTTCCCAGCAGGGGGTTCTGTGCATAAATGTATGTAAAAGAGTGAAATCAATCCTTTTTAACAATTTCCTTCATTACAAAAGTTTTCAAAAGTTGTGGGTATTGCTGTTGAAGCTTTTTTAATGTCTATGGAATGTGCAAAATTACATATCTGTAGATAAAATAAATCAGGAGTTAGATGGTGTTTTTGTTGTAGAATTTCATATATAACCACCGATTCTCCTTACCATAAATGGTCTCTGGATCCCCGCTCTCTCTAAATATTTAAAGTCTTTTTGGTCTGGCCCTAAATGTCTATGGAGTCTAATATTAAAGGACATTAAATTTGAAGGAAAGTCAATTTCATTAAACATGTTTCTAGGTCCACGCATTTATATTTTCCTGGGGTTGTGTGCCACATCACTATTTGGGAAAGTTAGGCTGCATAGTAATATAATAATAAATTTAGAATGCCCAGTCCTCCATGTTTTTTGGATGTATAGAATAGATTTATGGCTAATCTATGTAGTTTTTTTTTCCCCAAAAAGTATTAATCGATCTCTAGACTAATGTAGACTAGCTAAATCTAATTTTGTAACTAGAATAGGTAGGGCTTAAAACAGGAATAAGATTCTCGGTAGTATGTTTATTTTTTATACAATTAATTATCTCTAACCAGGAAAGGCAGCAACTTTGTGTGTCTCTTTGCTAATAATTATGCCATGAGTGGAGTCATTTTCTTTTATGAGATGTAAAAGAGGTTCTAATAAGAGAATAAACAGACTTAAGACAATGAGCATCCTTGTCTAGTTCCATTGTAAATATTGAAGGGTGGGCCACGGGGAACCTGAAATCAATATGGGAGCTTGAATATTGGATTATAAAAGTATGAATAGTAGTGATCATTTCTTTGAGTCAATTCCCAATGACTCAAAAGGCCAAACAGATATGACCAATTAACTATCAAATGACTTCTCTGTATCCAGACAAAGGATGTATGTATCAGTGTGTGTATGTGTCAAAGTGTGTAGAGAGGTAGAAGTTCTCAATCAGCTGATGCTCTCAGACAATAAGCTTTCCCTGCGGTGCTTAGCAGCTATCTGAATATCCCGCTTAAGAGCTTCTGGCTCATTGTATGTAGTGGAAGCAGAGATCAGTGACTGGCGGATTCTAAGTAACAGTAAAGATTTGACTACTTACAGTAGGGGGAGGCACCACTAGTCTTAATTTTCCTTCTTTCTCTAAAAATGTTTTTATTCCAGTCTGTTTAGTTGAAAATGGACTTATTTCTTGCTCTGTTGTCAGCTTCGAGAGTCTTTGCATTTTTTTTTTTTGTACCTCTTGCAGTCCCTACTTGATCTTCTCATGAACAAGTTGTTATTTCAGTGAAATTCCAGCACAGATTTTCTTTATGAAATGCTAATTTTTTTTTATGGGATGGGGGGAGATGGGTGACAGAGCCACTTTAATAGCCTGCAGGAGCCTCTTATGCATGATTAAGTTTTAATTAACAGCGCAATAGGTAAAAACTTCTAAAGCAAGCATACTGTGCGGTCACATCTGATTGAAAATAAAACACCTTTTTTCCCCATTTAGACTGTCAGTCACAGCCAGGAAAGGAGTGACAAGGGCTGCATAAAACAAACAAAAAACGATTTAACTCTTAAGTAGCAGAGCACTGAACAGCGAGACTGCAGGGGCATGCTAAAGTTGTTTTTGTATTTAGAGTATTCCTTTAAGAAAGGTTCATGGACACCTGAGGACACGCTGGCCCACTTTTTTTTTTTTTTTTTAAACCTTTTGATTCATTTAGCAGGGCTGCTGGCTTTCCTGATTTTTTTTTTTTTTTTTAAATACATACAAAAGGATACTGACCATAGAATGCCCTCTTTTGCAAATTTTCCTGGTGTCCAATAAACCTCATTTGAATATGTCTCTGAAACCTGCAAGTGGCCCAAATCAGTATTCTACCCAGATTTGGACTGGAAGTGGCGCGACTGAATTGATCCGCGCGTCTTTTCCTTTTATATGTCGGTACATCAATTTAAAAAGTTGGGGAATTGATTTAATATAGGCAGTATAGGTGTACTGGCAAAATTTATCTATATCATAACATATACCAATTGATGTCTATTAAAATGATCCCCACCATTTGATATGATGGAAAAAGAAAAAGAGAAAACAACAAAAGATACAAGGGTCAGTCATATACATACAAATATAAACGTAAATGACGCACAGATCAATTCAGTTACGCCACTTCAGGTCTAAACTAATGGACATGTACCCATAAGGAAAATGTCTTAAAGGGAATTGACAGTAAGGTGAATAGGGACGTTACGTCATTGCCGCTTTCCCCAACAAGCAATACGTGGACTAATTGATTTCTCGTCATCTCGGACTCTGATTGGAAGAAAGTCCATGAGATGGACCAACAGGATTAAAGACCGGGAACATTTAAAAAGCAGCCAGAACGGATGGACACTATATGCAGATTGAGAAAGCCCTTTTGTTTTGGGTGAAACTCATCTCGTATTTCCAGTCTTACTTGGACAATTTGATCTTCGCTTTATGTTTATATTATTTTTTAATTATATTTTTAATTTAAAGTTTAACAAATACTATATAGTCCTTACCGGCTTCATCCACTACTTGCTGCCCAAAGAAGGGATGATGCCCCCTCTATAGGCACCAAATCTACATACAAGGTTTTGGCTCTGAAAAAGGTGAGCAAAACCACCAGCATTTATATTTATGTATTAGAACGTACTCCACTAGAAAGTTCTTATCTTGTCTTCTGAGAATACCAGTTCAGGACAAAAAAGGGTGCAGTGTCAACTATGACACCAACGCTGATGTAATCTGAGCCTGTCCCCTAGAGGCTCTCAAATGCGAGTTGATACATGCGTGGTGTACCTTTTAAGCCCATTTTTGTGTATTTACACTATATTGCTTTATTCTGTTTCCTATTTATGTACTCACTTTACGCCTGAGTTCAATACGCTTTTTAGGGTAAGTGTATCCCCTCTTTGTAAGTAGCGCTCCACTCACAAAATTAGTATAGATCTGGGTATAATACTCACATGTAACTTGTTTATTTTTTGTTCACTAGTAAATATATAGTGGCTAAAAGAGAAAACCACTAGAGTGTGTAGCAGCTTTATTCAATTACTGTACTATCTTTAAGCGCACTGTACATAGAAAACACTTTTTCTTAAACCCACCATTTAGCTTGTCGCCCCTTAGTCCACTTAAAAGGAATTAAAACTTACCTTATTTCCTGCCCCGATCGACCTCCTTGATCAGAATTAAAATATTTTAGCCAATCTAATGCTTTTCCATAGGGAAAGCACTGAATTGACTGTAATTGGCAAGGAGGTGGGACGGGGCAAGGCCAAACAGCACCTCCCCATAGAGATGCATTGAATCAATGCATCTCAATGAGGAAAATTCAGCGTCTCCTTGCGCTGAACGGCAGTGCTGCACACGGTTCAGCAATGCCCCAGGAAGCATCTCCAGTGGCCAAAGACAGTGTTTACATGAAAATCCCTGCAGGGAATGATTATACTCACCAGAACAACTACATTAAGCTGTAGCTCTTCTGGTGACTATAGTGTCCCTTTAACTTTTTTATCCTTTGGATATATTCTAACGCATATATACATATATATATATATATACATATATACACACACACACACACACACACACACACACATATATATACACACACACAATGCATTAAAATCTGTCAGTTCAAGCCTACAGTCACTCAACAAGCATATTTTCATAAAAGTTTCGCGTAAAATAGACATGTAAAACATTAAGAAATTCCATACGATTCTGTCCATGTAAGCTGTTTATTGTAATATAATTTACAAATATTGTTTTCTTCATAAACTGGACCATCACTTGCTGAGGCATTTAAAAATCACAGACGTCATGCCAAACAGTTGGTACATTATCTGAAAGTGAAAAAGCAAAACTAGTTTAAGAAATGAACCACTGTTCAAGATTTTTTGCAGATTTCATAAGCTGAAGTAATGTATAATTGAATCATGTTGAAAATGTAACCAATGTTTTCAAGAGGAACGGTTACTTTTACTTCAAGGACTCATCATTAAACAACTATTCTCCAGCTGCAATTGGACATCTGCTTTGAAAGTACCACACAAAAGCATGGGGTTTTAAGTCATTTTAATATTATGCTATGGCAGTGCCAGGACAGCCAGCCCAGCGTAAAATGTAAAGGAAGGGATGGAGGGAGGAATGGAGGGATATGTTAAAAACCTCACATTTCCTACATGCGGCAGCATTATAACATACACCAATAATATAACAAGTAGGTCTGACATAATACAAGCCTATATTATTACCTTATGACCTTGGATCACGCTGACATTCATTTCAACTCCTGGTTAAGTGTTAGAAACAAAACAAGCAAGTTAAATACACACACCATGCAATAAATGCACCATCTAGGGAAAGTTAAAAAGCTGTGAAACAATATAAAAAGGGATAAACTGGAAATACATTTATTCCATGAAAATTAAGAAAGGCAGACATGTATGCAAATATGAATTCTGAAGTTGCAAATTGGGGAACTTTGTATCCCACACCTAATGTGCAGTGAGGAGTGAAAAGGGAATACAGAAAACAGGATGGAAGCCTGCTCTACCTTTTGTTCCTACACAGAAAAGAAATGGTGACTGGGAAATTAATGGCAGCTGACATGCAAGTAACAGTGGCATTCACAATGTGCAGAGTTTTTACTACTCTACAAAACACTCAGAATTGTGGAATATTTTATATTTTACATACTTGAAAATGAGCAAAATAGGAGAAGATAAAGGACTCCGTGTCAACACTATCATGAGATGACAGAACTAATAGGTTAAGAGCAGTAAGTTTAATATACATGCAAAATCGCATGTGCACCATGCCTTTACCCAGCTCAAGTGTGCATAGTTTTGAAAAGAGCACCAAACTGTTCTAGGTACTTACAGAGCAGCAGCACCAGAAATGATCTCAATGAGTTCCTTGGTGATGACAGCTTGACGAGTGCGATTGAATGTTAAGGTCAGCTTGTCAATTATGTCAGCTGTAAAGAATACAAGATATCAGTGTACACAACAAGGCATTCATTAGATATTTACCAAACTAAAAATGAAACTAGCACTTACTCCAAATACTACTTTAACAGGCATCACACATCATTAAACATTTCAAAGTTTTTTTCTTCAGCATTAAATGGTAAGAGCATATTATAAACTTACAGGCATTCTTGCTTGCATTGTCCATAGCAGTCATCCTGGCACTCTGCTCGCTTGTAGCAGACTCTTTCAGAGTGTAATAGAGAATATTTACCAAAGCAAACTCCTGATAGTTTCGTAACACATCAGCATCAATATCATCATAGACACTGATACTTTCTGCAGAAAGACAGAATAAATGTCAGATATGTATGTGAAATTAGACTTTTCAGTTATCTTACTGTACAGATATTCAGCACTAAATTAATTTTCATTAAAAGGACAAAATGTATTATCCAAAAATAAAATGTTTTTGCCAATACATATAATTACATCTATACAATGTGTTAGCAATTTTCCTAGCAAATGTATAGACTGGGAGAAAAACCTATTTAAACAATATTTTTTCTCCCACTTGTCTATCAATTCTTCAGCATGGATTATGCTGAAGATAGAGAGATAGAGATATAACAAACCAACAAAAGAGCGGAAGAGACCAACCCCCCCATAGTTGTCCTGCTCTACTCTACATGTTTATCAGTCTGTAGTGGTAATGTGCTGTTATATACACACACACAAGGTAATTTTGGCTACTTATGCAAAGATGGCATGATTTCTTACTGTGCATTTATTAGACACAAATCTTTAATTATTTTCTTCCACTCTGTGTACTGTAATTGTTTCTACACTACTGTTTGAGGATTTACTATGAATTCCCACTCCAAAACAACTTTAATAGATTGAAGTGGATACAGTGCCTGAAGATCATAGGCACCAGTCCCACATCACTGGCTAATCATTGCAAAACAAATATTCTCTCTGGCAGCTGGACCTTCAACAACAAAATGGTCAAAGCGGAGTTGAGCTTTGTTTCCCACCATTCCACGTGCAGCAGATAGTGATAAGCTAAGAGCTCTCAGGGAATTCCTGGTATGGTGGAAGCATAGCTCTGCTTCATTGTGGTTGAGGTTGGGCTGCAGACTGCCAGGGACTGAGAATCTCTGATAAATGGGCACTGAACAGTTTTGCAGTTATGTGGGACCTGGTACTCATGCACTCCAGGTCCCATAACCACTTCAAGCTGTTATGGTGTCTACAAGATTCCTTTAGGTATCCATGAGGGTAAAAAGGAGATTATTACAAAGACGCATTTTTAAGTCATGTTAATCCTATAACCTCAGCTCATAATGTATGCAGGAACTGTATGGCTCGTTTGTCTTCACAACATGCTCATAATTCCCCTAGTGCACACGTATTATAGAAATAACGCTAATTACTTACATAAGCCTGCTACAAGAAGTCATAACTAAAAACTCACCTGAATTTGAAACAGTTTCTAGAGAGAAAATTGGCTTTCCCTCTGTCCTGTAGGAAATGACGGATCTAAAACCAAACAAACCTGTTCAGAACACATCCATTAAGATGAAACAGAATCATATGGAAGTTTATTTATTGTTCATTTTTTTTTTTTTACCTGAATCTGTTAAACACGACAGATCCTTGGTCAAATTCATATCCAGAGTTCAGCAGCTCAGATGCAATGACTGAAGCATCACCAAAGGTAGGGGGTTTTCTACCAACTTCTTTAAAGGTCAGAAGCAAATGCGATCCATGAGTCCTGAAAAAGAACGTGTTTTAAAAACTCAACAGGGCAATTTAAAATGTCATGTTTCAGTGCACCATCACAACTTTCAATCATAGCTTAGATCATTTCAAGGCTACTCAGCTGTCAACCAAGCAGAACAGAACTCTTGTTTCCTTGTTGTGTGTCCTGCTGGACAAGGATTTATGGAAGAAGAAAAGAACCTGAACACCAGAACTGGACACTCTTAAAAGGAGTATCTCTTACTGATGTGTGAGGGGTCCGCCTCTAGTTGTACAGAGAATCACTAAACAGTAATTACTCCAAGAACTCTGATTTTAAATATTTCATAAAGGTATAATCTTTATGAAATACACATTGACCGCATTATAATTTCTAAGAAGCTTGACAAAGGACTACTTTGACTTATAACGGGAAACAATGAGGTTCAAAAAAAGTTGACAAGTTTATCAAAAGCCAAAGCTGCTGTAAGTTAACACTACGGGAAAGATGCATCTTCTTGCACATCATGCAAGTTTGTCTTTGGAGGATCCCACTGTCTTTCAGGATTCTCCATAGAGCTCAATGTTGTAATCAAGCACATGCTCTTCTGGTGGATGAAGTGCCAGGAGCAAGAAAATGATGGTGATGCCCTCAAGAAAGGGCTCCAAAAGTATAACTCTCTTCTCCCTCACCCATAGTGACCGCACACAATGTTTCATGTAACCTTCAGGGGTGTTTTCAAAATATGCAAAGACCCTCAAAAGGTGACAGAGCCAATCTTGCCCCCACAGTTTTCAATGCCTGTAAATTCTACAACTCGATGTTTATATCAAAGGAACTCACCACTGACCACTATATGGGGTAATTTACATTTCCATTTTGAATAATGTTCACATTTTTCTGCTTTGTAATACATATCACTTTTCTATCATCATAATTCTCAATCTCTTCAAAAAAATATAAAATAAATCATCAGCTTTAGAAGAGATGTTCATTTGGTCTTAAAAGGGGAGTTATTTAAAAAGAAAATCTAAAATTAAAGAGAAATTTAGGGAAATAGATCATTTGCACTCCAAAAATTAAGTTATGCTAATTTATAAATAAAATTTAAAAAAAACAAAAAAAAAACAGGCACATGAAGATAGTTAAAAAAAATTAATGTAAACAGGGCTAGAAACTTCCACTCACCAATGGTAAATAGGTGTGTGATAACAGAGCATGGTGTGCATGTTATTTTCAATTAAAGGCACACTCCACTGGCCAAGTACAAAGTAAATAGAAATCACTATATCTAAAAACAGCTTGCAAATGTAGCAGTTCTGCCTTTGCAATCCTCCTCCTAATAACCTTGCCCAGACTTTCTGTGGCTGTCCAATCACAATTGCAGCTCAATGAGAAGTCTTTGCAAGGCAGGTGCTCTGTGCAATTACCTGCCTTTTGAGTTTAGCTTCACTGAGCTAACCAAACTAGGAAGTAACAGGATATGTTGCCTGCTTGAAAGCAAGGGAGGAGTGTTACCAAGTTGTTTTACCAAAGTGTAATTTTCTATTAAAATCTGTAGTTTTTTCAAAATGAAATAAAGACACATTTTTTACACAAAGCTTTTCAGCAAGCTAAATTTCTGGAGTGTCCCTTTAAACTCATGTCTGAAAAGTAGCTCTGGAGGGGGTTTCTGCCTATGGTGGCCAGCTGGTTTGATCATAAGAGCTTGCATGGCATGGCAAGTTGTGTGCTAGAAATCTCCAAATATTCCAGTACTTGTATATATTGATTTGTGTCTTGGATACTGAATAGGTTTTCTTCTTCACCCTGTGCTACGTGATTCAACAACATTTAGTAGCTGAATTTTAAAATCATATCACAAACATTTACCTTTGGAGAATTCCTCTCAGCTTGTCCCCAACACCAACCACCATAACATCCTTTCCAGTCCCAGAAAGAGTAGCTATTTCATTCTTAATAGATTTTGCCACACTGGAATGAATACCACCACACAGACCTCTGTCAGAGGAAATGCCAATGAGCAGGTGCTTCTTTTCGTCTTGAGGTGATTTAATTTCAGCTTTCTCATACAAAGCTAGGAAGATGAATATTATTAATGTTACAAATTCAGTTTTCAGAAATCAATTTGTAATTTGCAGTTATATAGCAAATAATGTGAAGTGAAACACTCAATAAAACAGATACTCTTTTTTTCATCAATATTTGTTCATGATAATCATGGAATTTAATTCTCCAACAATGCAAAGAATGCATGAAACAATTCGGAGCACTTTAGAGAGTCTAAGCACCATTACTATGGTCAGAACTTTGGTTCTCCAGGTCCCTCTACCTCTTTAGATGTCATTAAAGTGGAAGTCCAACTTTTGCATTAATGGCACCAATTCTGCTCATCAGCCAATTAATTACATCCAAATATAAATCAGAAGGGGAACTTCCTCTTTAGTCATATCTGAATAAGAAAGCTGGACAAAAAGAACCCAGGTAGGTGCTGAAAACAGTTTATTACCACATGACAGCACCAGGGTACTCCCGGTAGTGTAACCTTGTAGAACAGTCTGTAATGGCTTAAACTGCGCCTTACAACTTTTTTATTTTATTATGCAGAATTGGTAAGCTCAAGAGACTCAACTAATAAATATGTCAATTTGAGCCACTTTAAAAAAACAAGTTGATAATTTATCAATTATAAGAATATAATTTTGACATTTGTTTTGTGGAGATAATTATGAAATTCCTTAGAATTCTGGTGCAAACAAGAACATTCTAAAAAATGCTTTAGATAAAACTTCTGCTTCCATTTCTATATGGTTTACCTGCATACAGCTTTCCAAGTATTTAAATGGAACAAAACCAGTTATATCTTGAAGCCCCGCAAACATGGTAAATCTATGGTCTGTACTTTGCCAAAATACTAAAAAAATATGGATATTCTGGCTTTTCAAGGCAAGCCATTCTGAACTCTCTTCAGAGACAAAAATAACTGACTGCTAATTTAATTAAGCAAGCTAATTGGGCACTATATGGGTTTGATTTCAAACACCACCACCACCCTACCCTCACCAAAAATAAATAAATAAAAATAACAAAACCCACAACCTAAAACAAAAACAATATGTTCACAGACGATTGTATTGCAAACACAAATTTGTGATAAGCTGACCAACTGCTTGTTAGTATAACAATTACCCAGAGCTCCCGTTCCATATACACGAGCTGGCTTTAGTTCCCTTTCAGCTCTAGCATACTTTGCTGCTGCCACCATCTTCATGGACTTTGTAATCTTTTGAATGTTCTTGATGGATTTCAAGCGTCTGGTAACTATCAAAATAACAAGTAAGTTAGATAGCAGCAACTTAAAAATAATCTTGTGATCAAGTACCAATGCTTATCCAAGGCTTAGTTATTCAGGATTTTTTTTTTTTAAAGTAACTTTTAAAGGGTTACTACAAGCATCATAACCACTACAGCCCTCTGAAGTGATCACGGTGCAAGGAGTAACCCTTTAAACCAGGAAAAAAGTAAATCAGTATTGTGAAAGCAGATAAACTGTTCCATCAATTATAACAGTATCTCACAGTTTTACTTTTTATTTATTCTGTAGGATTACCACTTCAACAACCCATGCCTTACAATGTCAGTCTTTTTAAAAAAATATATATATATATTTTGGAATACAAAAAAGTAATAAATGTTATCATGCAGTAGTGTTAAAAGTAAAAATGTTTCTTATAAGTTTACCAATAAGGTATATAAAATGCAGACATTTGGCATTTTTCAAACACTGGAAAAGAGTAATCCACACAACCTTAGCTAGTTTCCTGGAACGCTATCCCTTATAACTATTATGCACAATGAATTGATGCCCGGATCAATGCAAACTTAAAGGAACACTATAGGCAACCAGACCACTTAAGCTCATTGAAGTGGTCTGGGTGCAGTGTCCCAGGTCCCTTAACCATGTAATGGTAATTATTGCAGTTTCTGATAAACTGCAATAATTGTCTTGGAGGGTTAACTCCAACTCTACTGGTTGTGTACCAGACAGCCATTAGAAGAACTTTGATGCTGGACATCCTCACACTATGCATGAGGACAGCCAGCGTCTCCCAAAACCCTAAAGAAAGCATTTTACAATGCTTTCCTATTGGGAAAGTGCTAATGCTAGCGCAACGCTCACCGTGCATGCGCATTTGTTCCCCTCCGCAGGCTGACGTCAGCGGGGGAGGAGTGGAGGTCGAGCCTGACTGAACTAGCGCCAAGGGACATCAGCGCTAGAATCAGGGAAGTGACGGAAGGGGGCTAAAATCAGATAAGCTGCGAGGGGGGTGGGACCAAACAAACAAAAAAACAACTTACTGTCTTTTAGAGTTGCCATGCTCCTGACTTGGCCCCTGTAGAGTGAAAATATACAAATATTTTAGCCATAAAGTGTCTGCATGTCTGGCAGGACAGTCAAATATATATATTAAAAAAATAGTTCGATCAGCTTTTACATGAAATATTGCAAATTAAAAACAATGCGTCACAGGCATTGGCAATCCTCACCTAATTCAAAGAGGCTAATTCCCAGCACATGTATGGGGTCTCCAAATGCCACCTTTTCTATAAATACTCCTCCTAAGTATATTTGTCCACCCCCTTACATACATAAAGATAACCCCAGTTTTGCAGTGATCTCCTCTAGTAATTATTAGTAAAATACCCAGAAATGTCATCTAAAGCTTGTCCTGTCTTTGAATGTAAATATGCTTAAAAAAATGAAATACCCAAACATAAATAATAAAAAAAAAAAAAACATTTTTTTTTGTTATGGAGGGGGGAGCGAGAGAGGATAATAGCTCGGGGGAGGTACTTTCTACAAATAATTTTTGTGTTACTAATAAGGTTGTAATCTCAGCATGCCATATTTTGCAAAGTTTTAGCTTCAAAACTGCACTCCTTGCAGTATTTGTTTTATAACTTCTAAAAATGTATTTAAATCCTAGACATATTGGGCATTTTAACAATCAGGACTAATTAGTGAATCTATTTATAGTTAATTTTCTTTTCTTGCACATAGTGTGTAGAAATGAATGCATGTAAAACTCAAGTGTTTTGTTTTTTTTTAGTTTTTATTTATTAAATATTCTCTTACGAATATTGCAATATATATATATATATATATATATATATATATATATATATATATAATGAAAGGAAAGCCATATTTTTCCTTTAAAAAATTATATATAAATTTGTATGGGTGCACTTAGACAGTGGATAATAGTGGTGGAATGAATGCATGTCAAAACCACCAAAAAATGCCTTGGTCACAAGCACTTTGGCATCTCAAAAAATCCTTGGTCCTTAAGGGGTTATGAGTGAGTCACCTTGTCAGGCTGTCCTGCGTTAATAGGGTTTCTTAGGATATTATGTACCGATTTTATTTTTTGTATATTTATTCATTCACAAAAGGTTTTGAGAGAACAATCTAGAGGCAAGATGGTATTTTGATTTGCGTAACTATAAACTAAAATGAATAAAACTATAATAAAATTGTAAAAAAAAAAAAAATTAAACAAAGCAAGGAACAAGTCAACTTTTCTCAGAACTGCTGTGTATAAGACATTAGAATAAAATCAACCAACAAGTTACAAGTAAGGTGACCTCGATGTCCCTGACTGCTGACAACATACAATCCAAGTGAAATATACCAAAATAAATGGCTGTCAATGGAAAAGAGCTGCTGTGAAAAACACCTTTCGTGGTTTTTTGAAGAATAAACGTAATCTACAGCCAAGTGATGGCCAATATTTTTGAGACGAGTATGACTTCGCAGAGTACTACAGGAAAATACTGTGACATTGACAATGAAGGATCAGTCCAACCATTATAAAACAATGAAAGGTTACACTTCAAGTGACATCTAGACGTCAGAGCACAGAAATACATTTACATTGCATTTGGTCTGGCACACAATGTCTGATATTTCCCATTGTTACACCCAGTGTAGCAAAAATGAGGTTAAATAGATTTAAAAGCACAGAATGCTTCAAAGCCATGTGACACAGTGATAGTAATGGCATTGTGTGACATGTTCTGGGATTAGGGGCTGCAGGCAGCCGGCACACAGGTTCCATACATTGCTGCCATCTCTCTATTATTAGGGCTGCCCCCAGGGAGCCATGGTAAGCAGTGTGCTCCCTCCCCACAGCAGCACAGGGTGCCCGGCCTCACCCATTCACTGACAGACACCGGCCGCGGCCTAGACACCGACATAGACACACACACACACTGCAATGCCCACCCTGAGCAGCATGTCCCCCCTCATTCAGACTCGGACCCCCATCCCATACTGAGCTCCCGCTATTCTCACCATTGTGGCTGGAAGATGAGGACAGTGCTGCGGGACAACATGGTGACTGCGGGCAAGGTCAGACAGCGCACGGTACGCATGCGCAGGACGCGGGGACTCGGACGCGGGACATCGGCGGAGAGCTCGCGAGAACTCGACCAGTTACGTGATGGCCGCCATATTAGATCCGGGCAAAACCTGACCTGAGTTGGAGAGTTTCGCCAGTTCACACCATAGACATAAAATACCTAGACGCTGCATTATGTGCTGAGCGGCGAGGAACGCGGGCACCATCTTGGACCGGTCGCCGCTCTACTGAAGCTATTGAAGAGCCCTTAGTAAACCCATATCACAAAAGGCAAGTGAAGGACTTGGGACACTTAATACCCCTACCCCATGTCATTAATACCCCTAGTCCTTAATACCCCTACCCCAGTCTATCCCAGCACACATAGTCATTAATACCCCATACCCCAGCACACTATGTGTATTAACACTATGTGTGATGGGGTAGGGGTACTAAGGGGTAGGAGTATTCAGTGCCAGGGATATTCAGTGCCCCAAGTCCTTCACTTGCCTTTTGTGAGATGGACTTTCTAAGGGCTCTTCAATAGCTTCAGTAGAGCGACGACCGGTCCAAGATGGCTGCTGCGTTCCTCGCCGCTCAGCATCTAATTCCATAGACGTCGCCTAGGCACCGTGTGACCATCACCATTTAGTTAAAAAATTATCCATGTATCCAAGTATCCCTTTGTTATACCCTTGTGTCCCTCTTTTCTGTGTGCTCCATATTGTTGGTGTGTCTATGAGAAGCCTCAGAGGACGTTTGATGTGTTCAGGCAATGCGTGACGATATTGAACGTCACAGAGCCGAGTCTGTGAGCTGTCTTGAGTGACTCGTGTTTACTAACTCACTTTCTCAATACCAACTCCCTCATTGACGTTCCCCAGTCTTGCTTTTGCTCCCTCCATTCTTCTGAAACTGCCCCTACGAAACGGACCAACGACTTAATCTCTGCTAAATCTAAAGGTTATTACTCGATTTTACTTTCTTCTCAACCTCTCTGCTGCCTTCAAACCGTCCACAATCTTGGACCCTGAGACACTGTACGTTCCTGGTTTACATCCTATCTTCCTGAATGTTCATTTAGTGTCTCCTTCTCTGGTGCCACCTCTTCCCCATTGCCTGTCTCAGTTGGTGTTCCCCAAGGCTCTGTTCTTGGTCCTCTTTCGTTCTCCATTTACTCTGCCTCTGTTGGTGATCTTATTAACTCTTTTGGATTTCAATACCATTTATATGTTGATGATATTGAGATTTACCTCTCCTCGCCTGAATTCTCTCCTGCCCTTCTGGAACACATCACGAATTGCCCATTTTCCATCTCTCACTGGTCTTCCCTTTATCTAAAACATAATCTTTCTAAAACTAGACTAATCTTTCCCCACTCAAATAGCCCTCCACCATCTTTCTCCCGGCATGTCAATGGGACACCTATTACACTAACTCCTCAAGCTCATGCCATGAAGTTACTTTTGACTCAGGTTTTACCTTTTCTCCTCACATCCACTCTGTCTCCAAATCCTGTAACTTCAACCATAAAAATATTGCCAGCGTTCGCCAAGGCACTTATCATTTCCCTACTTGACTACTGCTACTCTTTGGCCTTCTGAAAATCTGCCTTGCCCTTTTTCAGTCTGTAATTAACTTTGCGGCCAGGCTCATATTCCTGACTGACAGCTACTCTTTCTTTGCTCTGCGAGTGACCTTCATCTGACATGTGGTCGTTTTAACATTGCCAACTCTCATCTGCAGTATTTTTCAAAGGCTGCCCCATTCCTACAGAATTCCCTACCCGGTGCCATTAGCTAGCTAGCTTATTTCGACACAGGCATCTTATCGATCAATCCCTCCTACCTACTACATGTATCTTTACACCTTCCTCATAGAGTGTAAGCTTGCTTGAACAGGGCATTTTTCACCTCTGGTATCTGTTAATATTTTTACATATAACTTCATGCTGGTTGTGATGTGGTGTGTGTTAGTGTGAAGAGATTTATGCGGTATTGCATGTGTGAGGATAATGCTTGTGGGGTTCTATGCAACAAGGAAGGCTGCGTGTGTGTGTGTGTGTGTGTATAGAGTGCTGTTTGTGGTGTAGTGTGTATGTGGATAGTGACTGGGACATACATGCCAAAAGGATCTCACCTGTCGACTTCGGCCTTGGCCATCATGCAAATGTCCGGTGGGCCATGATAACGGACGAGTTAGGTGGCCTTCTAACTTGCCTAATATAGAGCCAGAGATTTTTTCCTCCTTTTTTTCCTTAAAGATTTTACCATTGTTTACATTCACAAAATAGGACATATGATTAATATTCCACGAAAAAAAATATTGGTGCAAACAGAAAATGTGACAACATTTTGGTATGAAAACAGACAGTTTTATATAACCTTTTATTACGCCCTTTTGCAGTGGTGTTCTTAGTGTCATGCTGCTAGTGTGCACTTTTTTTGTTATACGGTTTACATTAGTCCTGGGGAGTGACATCATGAGATTTGTCTTTGGAAACCATTTTCTTGAGTGGTGACAGCTTAATAAGCGGTCTAAGCACTAGAGCAAGCGCTGAGACCTACAGCCAGTGAGCTGCCTGGGAACATTTCCGGTGTATAAGGCGTGGTTTGGACTCTGGTGCAGGCGCTCTGCAGTGACGCCGAATTCCTGCGCCGTGACGTAGCTGGTGCTTCGTGCATTCGGCTCGGAAGCTGAGGGCAGGTGAAGCTCTGTGTGTTTGCCATGGGGAAGTCGGATTTCCTTACTCCCAAGGCGATCGCCAACCGCATTAAGTCCAAAGGACTGCAGAAGCTACGATGGTACTGCCAGATGTGCCAGAAACAGTGCCGGGACGAGGTAAGGGCCACATGGATAGGGCGAGGGCCACATGGATAGGGCGAGGGCCACAGGGAGAGGTGGCTATGGGAAGGATTTCATAGGTTGTTCTGTTGCTTTTTACGCTAAAAAAGTCTACACGTTTATTGATTCCCCATTGACATACAGTTCAGTAATCCCCCAAATCACTGACCAAGTTGTCAGACATTGGCCTTAAGTTATTGTTGGACTAAAAGTCTCATTATTTTTTCAAGCCTATAGTCTGCCAACAGGAGGGCTGTATGTATGGCTTTAACAGCTGGAGGGTAGGAGTACAGGTTCAAACACCAGAGACTTGTTGGTTCTTATTAGTTTGAAATAAGATTAAATGTATGGTGCTATGTATTCATTTTGATGTTTTCATTGACCACGTGTTTTTTTTTTTTTTAAAGAATGGCTTCAAATGTCATTGTATGTCAGAGTCCCATCAAAGACAACTGCTACTTGCTTCTGAGAACCCTGATCAGTTTATGGATTATTTTTCAGAGTAAGTGGTCTTTCTAACAATGGATGTAATGTAACTGAATTTACTATACGGCACACATTTAGTTTGAAAGTAGTATTATATATTATCAAGCTATTGGGTACTTTTAGATTTATATATATGTAATTGTGTGTAACTCTAATTTTAATGTTAATTATGTTTTCTTTCTCCCCCCCCCTCTTTTTTTTTTTTTTTTTTTAAAGTGAATTTCGTACAGAATTTTTAGAATTGCTGAGTAGACGATTTGGTGAGTAAATTGGATACTCTAAAAACAAACACAAAATTGTAAACAAAAATGTATCCGTCCATCTTTGATAGCCTAGTCATGTACTTATGTGTGATATTACATTTTCTTTAGATGGCATCAGGGTATTCCACAGTTTTGTAAACTAGGTTGACAAGTCAAAGTTTAGAAAATTACAAAAAAGAGTTGATAAGGATCCCATTCAAAAATGTTTGTCTGAAGGGTATGGATGCAATTTGTTAAAAATCTGGAAAGCATGTTAATCCTTCACCTCAGCACTCGTGTATACATGATTGCCAGATTATGCATTCATACCTCGCAATCGTGTTTTACAAAACTTGCATAATTGCAAGTTAAATTTCATTTCAAATGAATCTCATTTGCAAATTTTGCCTGAAGAAAACTAAGCTATATCACCCCCCACCACTACACACTCATGTTGTCAAATAACCCCCCCCTTTCCCCACACACTCGCCATGTCACACCCTCCTCTCACCCTGTCACATCACATACGTTTCCAACACAAATGCAGTCTCCATGTCACAGTCACTCTCCACACTTACCCCTCACACACAGTCACATTGCCAAAGTCACCCTTTCACACTCACTATGTCACAGCCACTCTGCCACAGTTATCCTTATAAACACAGAGGCACCACAGTAACACTCACACAATCACTCCCGCCCCACACACCACTGCCACATTTTAAAAACAGCAAAACCACAAGCAGCGTTTCTTCCTCCTCCCCCACCCCAAACTCATAACACAATGCAATCAGCTCCCTCCGCACATATGCTCCCAGACACCGATACACAGTTACACAGATTTGCATTGCAGTCAGTCATGGATACACATACAAACATATTTAAACTCACAGATGCACAAGAATACTCACTGCAAGACACACACTCTGACCCATACACGCTACACAATGCCAGACATGCATACGCCGGAACCAATATACTGCTAAACACACTATGATTGTATCTGTCAATGTGTGTCTGTCATTTTGTGGCTCTGTTCATCTATGTGTGTGTATGGATATGTGCTGTGCTCACCTGTACATACATACTTATAAGAGCGCTGCTGGGGCCAATGTATACAACATACAAGTTAAAGCACACTCACTCATTCACTAAACAGCTATTTAAAATTTCACAGAATGCAATTTTTATTTTATTTTTATTTTTTTTTTAAATAAAAACACCTAACTTATCTTATATACTGAAGACCAACTCAGTAGACACATTAAATAAGCATACATCTAGTGTCATAGAGGTTCAATCTCTAGAGTAGATTAAATAAAGCCAGCCTTTAGATGCATGCAGCTGATGTAATGGTATCCTTGACACATAAGTTATCTCAGAATTAAACTGTAAGTTGAAAATTCAATTTTTCTGTACAAAGTCAACTATGATTTGTCCCTTACGCACATCTACACTTGGCCACAATATGACTGTTTGTTTGTTTTATTACAGCAACTACAAATAAGCAATGTTTTGATCTCTTGCCTTCTGCATAACTTTCACATTACTTTAGAGTTGTATATGATATAATGTTTTATACTCTGAGGGTATTCATAAATGACCGTTGGTTGTGAACTGTAACTTGTCATGTGGAATATGCACGATTAAGGTTGTGATTTCCACAACTTGCTTTTTTCCATGTCTGATTTAATTTATTTAATCACACTTCATAAGATTCTGCTACCTTGATGTGGAAGGTACAGCATTCTTTTCGGAGTCTGTTATTAAGTCCTATAATGTAAACAAAAAAGTGCAAGGCACTTATCTTTAAGTATATTTTATTATTAATGTGGAAATAAAGCTAAAATGATTTTACTTGTTATTTGAAATATAAATACAATTATACTCTTATTCTTTAGTGTGTTTTTTTTTTTTTTTTGCATACAATTCATGTGTAATTCTACTGCTTTTATTGTTCTTCTT